GTCTAAAACTTTGAACTTTGAACTTTTTGTAGGAACATCGAAATTTCTTCGTCGGCATCAGAAAAGCTATAACGTGTAATCGGGTTTCAGATTCAGTCTGTGGATGTCTGAATTTTGGACATCCACAGACCGAATGACATGAAATGTAAATGAAACTATTGACGTTTCATTCACATTTCATAGAGTGTCATAAACTGTCAGAAAAAATATCTTTAGTTGTCACTCTCGCAGCCAGGCTGCATTACACAATAAAGCGATTGTCGACTTATGCTGCTGGCTTCGTTCAATTTTGACATAGTTCGTGATCTTGAACCTTTGTGCTGAGAATCGCTCCCCAGGATACGTGACGTCACGAATGACAACCGACACGTAAACGCACTCGACTTGTGACATTAGTCTTGTGTGACGTCACTCCTTATTACACCTAATCATACGCGACACTTATTAACCGACGGTGAAAGGTGTATTATGTTTTCAACATTTTTTAGAGAATTGACTAAAATATATTTGTCACTGTTTCGACGGAGACAGTTAGTAAGTTTTTCCATTTGGAAACTTTAATATTTTTTTTCATGTAATTTCACATAATGGCAGTATATAAATTAAAAATGTCTGCGTGTAAACAAAATCGTTTATTAAAGAAATACAAATTACGTCCCTTTGTTTTCGTAGAAACATAGTAAGGAAACATACAAATTTGATGTGTATGTTGCCCTTAATTTAACTGTAATCCTTTTTTGTAACTATGCGATCATCTATTTTTTGTGTTAAGGTTGTGATTACGTAGTGCGCAATTAATACTTCTTGAAATAAACGGTAATATTTTATTTCAAGGCTCTAACTTGTTGGATATTTTCCGAGTGAATTGTTTATTTGCCAAGTTATTACAGTTGTCGGTCGTGACCCTCAGAAAACGCCTTGTCCAACCATATTCGTAGTTTTTTTATGTAAATTAAAATTAATATTAGGATGAGTTTATAAGAGAGTGAGGGCTTGCACGGAACATTTAAATAATTGCTTTTCTTTTTATTTCAATGTCTTCAACTTAAAAAGTGTATCATATGTCACTTGCGTATACGCAAGGAAATAAATGATTTTCTTTTTGAGTTTTTCAATAAATAATTCATTGTGAAACAAAATGAATTCGGAAAATGGAAAAAAGGTTTTCTACTAGTTAGTATTAATAGTCGCCCTCTCTCGCACACAGTCGAGTAACAAATATTTTGCTAAATGTACGTTCGCCGATCAATATGAACAGTTATAATCATTATAATATCTCCCGCACTAATGATGCGTCTATCATTAATGAGTGAACAAGTTCGCCGAGTCAAACGTCCGACGCAATAATGAAAATTCTAATTTCGCATGTTACTATTGTCCTTTACTGATAACGCTAATTAACCTCGATCACGGTAAAAATTAATTGAACAAACTTTTGGGTTCCGCTCTCCTTATCTGAAAACTAACCTTGTTGAACCTATATGGACATATTATTATAGTTGAAATAGTTTCCGTGGCTCTTATTACTGGCGGGTTTTATTAAAAGTAAGGGAGTGCTATTGTTAGTTGTGTACAATTTCTTTTATTTAAAGGTTCTTGCAAAAATTTTGTAAAAGCATGGCGATTAAAAAGTGAGGAGTTCCTTTTTTCGTCTGTAAATCAAATTTATAGGCTTTTGCAATTTATTTGTCTAAACTAATTAGAAATTATATAATTAATTATTCTTGTATTCTATTGTATTGTACTATTGTATTCTTATTCACGTATAATTCTTATTATATATTAATAAGAATACAAATTGTCTCAACTAGAGACAATTTGTACTAGTGTAAACTACAGACAATACTTAAAACATGGTGGAATATGCCACAGATACAAAAAATCTGCCTATTAAATGGTACATTATACATTGCTTAGGATTACGTCGTGCACAACGGTAATGAAGTTAAACGGTCTGAAATTAAAAATCGATTAACAAAACAAGCATATAAATGTGGTGTTCCCTATGACCCAACTAGGGGAAACGCGGCCAACTGGAGGACACCAACCTGGCCTAACACACACTTGTCAATTGTCCAGCGGTCGATTCGCAGCGCCCCCGTTCGGCAGTCTATGTAAATTGTTTAACGACTTCAGCCACTCCGGCCGCGGTGCACTAGAGGCATTAACATTTTAAAGCGTTATTTGTACTGAGCACACAATTACTTGGCTATTTAAACTGATTAGCCGCCGCTGAGTGCCTCGAATATTCTAACTACGAGTCACTTTACTTAAACGCTCGTCTTTGTTTTATCGCGGACTGAATGGACGTTAATTTGTAACTGTTGAGTACTTGTGTAGTACGCTTAAATAAGGCTTGTGCGTTTGGCTCAAATATGCCTTATCTTTTGTAGTGTCATTACATAATATTATATGTGTCCGTTACTCACGGTACAACGGCAGAAACATTTAAGTGTCCAGAGGGCCTTTAATACCTTTTTTACAATCGTCTTGTTTATTTCAAAATATTGGTAGATTTGCAGTCTTTATGACTGTGAGTAAAGGAAGCAATGTATGGCTATTGCACCATGTATATGGAAACAATATATTTTTTTTTTATTTATTACCGGGTCGTAGGTTCGATCTCCACGGGGTCCGACACTTTTCTAATTTATAATTTTTCTGAAGCACTGGACTTCTGGAAATATGGACATCTTCTGGAATAACGAAATTTCGCCCGGGACTTGAAGTTTATTTGCGTTTCGTTTTCAGTCTGTCGATTTCTGAATATCCAAAGCCAAAATAAGTCAACAGTGCATTTTGTTTAGATGTTATGTGGCTGGGTTGTTTCACGCACCAATTAGTGAACGCCATGCTTATTTGTCCTCTTCTATAAAAAAAAATAACTTGAGTTGTGTTTGTGCATGTAGTTGTCAAGTAACAAAAGGTCGGGCTCGCGTCATCTCCAATTCATAAAGGCGTCAAAATCTTTACGAGTTCAGGTGAAGTTCTTTACGACTCAGCGTTACATATTTCAGCAGCACTTCGGGATTTACGCCTCTGTACGACAATGCATGTTATAAACTGAGAATACAGAACAGACCAGTAGTCGACGAACTCGAAAGTGAGGCCATCATGAATGCACCAAATTGGAGTATAATTCGGATTCGTAACGTTATATGTTATACGTTGGTGGCAGTGAATACATTGGGTGGTATTTTGGAAACGACTAGTACAAAGCTGATGAAACAGTCCTTCTGGTTTATTTGCTATTCTGTGTTTGTATCGTGCCATGCAAATGCTTGCTTGGAAGTCTCGCGACACGGCTGCCAATAAATCTTTCGTATTACATTTATTATGGATGAATCAGCGTCGGACGTTGTTGCACTACACTTGTATACGGAACCCACGATGTAATGTAGAATTAAAGCAGGCTGAAAAGGAGGAATATAAAAAACAATCTAAAAACGGCTCTCATCTAGATAAAAGAAAATATTAATTAATGATTTAGTATTGCATTCTACGTTGAGCTAATTTGCAGTTGCAAATAAACAGAGTTTCATCGTTATATAGTACAACTAGGGTTGCCGTTATCGTACGATAGTATTGTACTATATTTCGGGTCCGCGTAATATGTAGGTACTGTTAAAGTAGTGAATTCCCTACTTTATAAATAAACAAATGTCTTTTACTTTAACTTTTTAAGTGTTGTTAACTTTTCTAGTTATTAACTTATTATTGTTATATTTTTAAAGCAGTTACTATATATTATATACTATATAAAGGTTTATTTATAAAAATGTACTCCAGGACCTGTCGGCCCACGTATGACTTTATGTTTTGACGGTTCCTAGCTATAACTATTGTTAGATGAAGCAATACGTTTTTATTAGTTTAAAACCTTTAGTGCTCGACTCTTTGGTATGTGTCTTTTTTTAATTTTTAAATAGTCCTATTTAATTATGATCCGGGCGTGTACTATATTTTACGGGCAATATGTTGCCAACCCTAATTGTGACCGCTGTTTTACGGGCGCAACATGTGTCGTCGGCGATTTATTATTTTTTTTTTTTTTATTTAATATAAGAAGACCGAACCGCAGCCCCGCGGCCGTGACAACTCTCGCGGCATTGTCCCGCAAAGGAGATGCCGTAATATTTTTCACGAGTTCAAATTACCGGAGACCGGATTGCGAGTTTGCGTTCGGCTATGAACGTAATTTAATGGGGATTTGCCGTTGTTTGTTTCCTGGATATGAGATGAAATACAATAATCGCGCGCTGCGAAAAATATTGAATTAATCTCGCCGCGATTCGTTCGGCAAATAGGGGTTGAGCGCGACCGGTGAGTTTGTTGTCAAATAGCGGATTCGTTTCTCTTGTTTTCAATCGGTGTTTTCATATTCACAGCTTGTTTGTTATTAATACTGTGCGTTTGAGGTCTAATTAAACAAAGGTGTTATAAATTATAGCATATCGCTTAATGTATATATAGTTATTACAAGTTACAGTATAATTTATAAGTTATCAAGCCTGTTTTATATTTTATTGTGAGAAGCGTTGTATAGTCGTTTTCAGATTTAAAGATACTTGATTTCACCTGAAACTTATCACGTGTGTTGAATAGTGTCCTATTTGTTATTCTGACGTATACGTCAAAATTTTCTATTCACAGATATATACATACAATGTATATATCAATAAAATGTACAGACATCCTTAAATACTTTTATATTTAGTATAAGCGGGGAAAGTTTAATATAAAGAAAAAAAAATGTAGTACACTCAAAGTGCGCAAAGACTGTAAAATGAAACTCGGAGATAAAAGGAGTGGCGGCGAGTTTGTTGCCAATTCTTGTCGCTCGTTCTACGCCCATGATTTGAGAACTGGTAGTAAATGTCAATTTACAGTCTTTAGTTTTTAACTGGTGTGACGTTAGTGTATCTAGTAACCTACTTGAATAAATTATTTTTTTATTTTGACTTTAACGATATTATAACCATTTTTCTATTTTTACGCAGAACGCAAGCTATTCGTGGGCATGCTCAACAAGAAGCTGTCTGAGAATGACGTGAGAGCGCTGTTCGCGGGCCATGGGGCCATCGAAGAGTGCACCGTGCTGCGCGATGCGCAGGGGCAAAGCAAGGGGTGCGCCTTCGTCACGTTCGTGTCGAAGCAGGCGGCGATTGCTGCTATCAAGGTGAGGGCAAAGAAGTAAAAAAAAAATCGAGCACCGCCAAGACCGTTCCGAACTTTAAAAATAAGAAGGGAATTAAAAATTAGACTTGTACGGTATAAAAACTAAATCTAAACGTAACTTAAGGCAAAAAGGATGTCTTCATTAGTTCTAAATCTATTCAAACCTTTGTTTAAGCAACTAAACGACACATCTATAGGTACTAATATTATAAAGCTGAAGAATTTGTTTATTTGAATGCGCTAATCTCAGGAACTACTGGTTCAAATTGATTAAAATTAATTTTGTATTGGTTTGAGCGTTTATCGAGGACTATTAAGAGCGAAGAACCAATAGGAAATGTAGATGCAACGGGGAAAATTATTCATTAAGTGTCTCCGTTGCGTACGCTGCGAAAACAGTTCAAGATACCCAAAAAATATACCTATAGGAAATAATTATTCATTTTTAAAATTATCGAAAATATTACCGTGACTATGTCTATCTTTTAAGATTATCTTGCAACAATGACGGGACGCGGACGACGTCATGTGTAACAGCTATAATTTGTAAAGATATAAAAAAGGTTTGCGAAAACAAATTCTGATGCCCGAAATAACCATTCTACGCGGCCACAGCTAGTATATCTATTTATTGATACCACGTGTGATTTCAGACTCTACACCACAGTCAGACCATGGAGGGATGCTCAGCGCCGCTAGTCGTTAAATTCGCTGATACCCAAAAAGAGAAGGAACAAAAGAAACTGCAAGCGATGCAGGCGAGTCTCTGGGGTCTAACCCCGGTGACGCCCACATATCAGTTGCCATCGGAAGCGGCGCTATCGCCAGCAACGCAATTGCAACTCTTGCAACAGCTGCAGGCGGTTGGGTTGCAGCAGCAATTGCTGCAAGGCCAGGGTACGACATTGCTGCAAGGTATATTATACGAAATTGAAGGTTATTTTTATTATTCAATATTAAAGTTTTGTTTTATTAGGTCGTTGTGTATTGTTTTTTCATTATGGAACATTTTTTAAACCCTTGTTTTATGCATTACAATTAATATATTTATTCCACCAATATAAAAGAAAAAAACACAAAATAATAATACTCCACCAGGTGTATGTGGAGTTAGTTACATCACTATACTTTTGATGTGCTTGGAAGTAAGCAGAACGCCCTCTTTCAGTAATTGACTTTTAAAGTACATTACAGATGTTTTCATGCATACACGATTTACAAAATACATACCTACAGATAACACATAATGTTTACAATAACAAAATTTGGTAAGACTAGATTCTTACAGAATATTTATAATATTTATCAATGTCGAGTGTTTACTAGAAATATTCATTCTGAAATGTCAAAAAAATAGACCTAAAGCATTTACTAAATTAACTTTAGAAGAATATTATTTAATTTTTAAATTAGAAAATGTAAATCAAAACGCACAATACTAGACGACGGTTTAAAATTAATTTAACGCAGACATTTTTAGTCTAATTATGCTTAACAATCGGACCAATTTGTGCTTTGAAAACAAGCGACGGTTAGAGCTAATTACGCGTTCGGTTTGAGGAAGTCGTACGATTATACCCATTTTAATGATCTTGTTTTTATCTTTCCTTTGAGTTTTTTTTTTAATAATTTCCTATTCTCTCTTCGGTCTGTAATTGTTTAATTGGTTTCTCCTTCTTATACATTTTCTAACTTAATTCATTCACAAATATTTACAAAAATACAGATAAATTAAACAACTTGTGTTTCAGCTAAGACTTCCACATTCGCACAATAAATCACATTAGGTGCATAACACTGACATACTACAACTAATTCAAAAAATTTTTGCACATAATTGAGGCAGAGTGGCCTAATAACAAAAAACATGATTTTTAATAAGGAGAAAAATAAAATTGCACAATTAACATGGGAAAAAATGAATTTGTACTATTATTTGTGTAAAAATTATGTAAACAATTCTCGGCCAATGTGCTCTTGTAGATAACCATTTTTGAACTGTGAAAATATAAATAAGTCAAGTCATAAAATTGCAGTTAGGCTCCTGTTGCTCTAGCGGCCCGTGTCATTTATCATACCATGTTGTCTTTCTTTCTTTTATTACATCGGGCATGAGCCCAGGTTATTTAACGATGTTGTTTTTTATTGTTGTTTTATTCTGTTCTTGTGTTTTTTTCTGTTTTTCTTTTCTTTATTTAATTTTCGTTTCGTTGGGTTCTGTCTTAGGTGTAAACTACCCAGATATCGCTTTCAATGGCGCAGGACTCAGCGGCGGTGCTGTCAGTGGTGTGGGGAGTATCGGTGGTTCGGATCAGCTCGGCGGATTGTTGGCGCCGGTGTCTGTTCAGAACCTGGCCGCGCTGGCAGCGATTACTCAGCCCCCCGTGGTGACGCAGGCCGCCCCGATGGCTCCTGCAACCGCGCAGCAACCGACGGCACCTCAATTGTGTAAGTATAGTAAATACGAATAATATATTGAACAAAATATTTGTATATCGTCAGTTTGGTACTGACTAAACATGATGAACGTATGAAGAATGTAATAATAAGAAAAGATAAAGACAATTTTTGTTCGAACGTAGATTGAAAAAGTGTATAGATGATTAGTAATCTTTGTTTGGTGACTGTCGCATCGGGCGTTTACCAACCGAATTATATTCAAGGCGTGGCCATTTTCCTAAACATGTTATATGAGTATAGATTTAAAGGAAAGGTTTTTCTTTCTTGTTTGTAAAAGTCTATAAAGGTGGACTTCTAACAGAAATATTATTTAAAAATTCGGCAGACAAACTGTTAACGAAATTGTAAATTCCCGAAAGTCGTAGACACTCCAAAAATTTTAACGGCCGTGCCTTAAGCGTAAATAGAGGCTATAAAATACTTAGCAGTATCAATCTGCCGGGCTTAATTGATGTTTTTGCTTCGTCCCCAGACCCCCCCCTCCCGCCGTACCTGGAACAATTACGCCACCGTAAACTCGCCCCTAATTGCTCAACCTGTCCAAATCTCTAATTGGAATGTAGCCACATAAGATATTCGCAAAAATTCCCTCTTTCCAGATTGTCGCCTTTATTACGTATACGACTGATTAAAAAAAGGTTTAATAACGCAAACTTTTTCACACTTCAGGTCTTCTCGGAAAGACTAACATCACAGGTAAACTGAGTGGCGATTCGAATGTGTTGTTATGGAATGAATTTACTCGGCTGTCGATTAATATGGCGTTGTATGCGATAAATGATTTTATTGGTGTATTGAGAAATGAAATTCTTTCAATCAAATTATTTCGATTAATAATTTTTAAAATATCAATAGCTATTTCATAGACATCCTAACACAGACTTGTCTTTCTTTAATGAACTACCCCCTGTTTCCTTTACGACTGGTCTCTACTAAAAGGACATAAAATAAGATTTATTATTATAATATTAATAGATTCCTATAACAAAAGCCCTGCCCCAAAGGAAAATAATCCAATTAAATTCCTTTAATCTCATTTATCGTATATTCTGTGACTGGCTTGAATTGTTTTCTGTGCATTTCTATTCTATTCCAACTTATCTCTACAGGGCTTTGTATTTTGCATTTTGTAATTTCAACAATGGCATTATTAATATGAATTTAAATGATTATTAACATTAAATACTATCTGTAGTTTACGCGACTAGTACACATTTAAATAAAACAACTTAACGGTTTTAAACGCGATATATAAACTTGTTTGAAAATTGTGTTTAACTACGGCCCGACGTTTCGACGTTTCTTTTTACTTTGACGTCAGAGACATCCTCCATCTTTAGTCTCCCCGGGACCATGGCTGCTGAAAAACTTCCGAAACGTCGGGCCGTAGTTAATAATCATTTTCGAACAAGTTTTACTAAACTATATCGCGTTTTTAACCGTTAAAGTGTTTTAGTTAAATTATTAACATTTTCGAAACAAGCGATTTTGTAGGTTAAGTAGAATTTCATATTGTAGTACTCATACGTTTAGGAAGTTATACATTATTCGACATAGCATATGTCGAGTGCCTGTGTTAGATGTTCCAACATTTTACTAAATTCATCATTATCATCTTCAGTAGTTAGTAGTAGTAGAATATAGAATATCCGATTCGTAATCTCGTAGGAAAGATTTTACTAAGTAACCTAGTGCATTGGTTTCTGGTATTCTTAACTTAATTAAGCATAAAAAGAATAGCATATATGTAGGTACTTACAAAGTATAAATTGTTTACTACTGTATGTAGGGAGCTTAATTTGTTTTATGATCAGTGATTTGAGACAGTTCGTAGTCTCAGCGTAGTCGTAAACTTAGTGTATGTATGTCCATTTTTGCATGTCAGTCCTAAATTTTAACATCGTTTTGGATTCCATTTGGCGTACGTCAGATTTGACGATCACTGCTTGTGATTTGAATTATAATTTTTAATAACCATTGTGCATTGTTTTGATAAGTGTATATTATTAATGTCTTACTAATAATAATAATATGGACGCTGATGAATATTAAACTTTATTGTTTTTTGCTTTGTCTCTCGTCACAAGTTGGTAGGTAAATTTTTGTTAAATCATTAAATCTCCACAGTTGGCTATTTCAATATAACCAAAGCAATAATAGTAATGACTACTTCAAATTTACGCGCAAGTTAAGGTCCTTTTGTAACGTAAGTCATAGTTAATAGTAATTAAATTATATCTATACAATACTATAATATTTTAACACAATTAAGATTATTAATATAGAACTTCTTATGAGACTGTTTTTATAAAAATACGTCAGCGAATTGTTTGAAGAAACTTCTTTATGTGTTACCTCATCAACTATAAAACTTATTATTTGAGATAATTTTCTTAAAAGCAATTTTCATATTTTTATAAAATTGACGTAACTGTTCTATTGATCAATGCTAATTATAAATTTCCAGGGTCAACAGCCGAACCGCTGAATTCGGCGTATGCAGCGCAATTCGGGACATTCGCTGCGGCACCGCTCGGTTCAGTGCTGGGCACTGCTGCTGCGGCAGCTGCTGGGAAGCAAGTTGAGGGTAGGTGTTGAAAAAAGTGTATAGCACATTTACTATACACAAATTAATGTATATTGTTCAATGTATATACGCAGACCCGAAATATAATGTACATTAATGTATATTATATTTCGGTTGGCAAATCTGGTCCCATACGGCATTCCCCTCATGGCTAATTTATGGAAAGTGCCACAGAATTATTACATTGCCCACAATTGATTCCAGGACCGGAAGGCGGCAACCTGTTCATCTACCACCTGCCCCAGGAGTTCACGGACACCGACCTGGCGTCGACGTTTCTGCCCTTCGGCCACGTGATATCCGCCAAAGTGTTCATAGACAAGCAGACGAACCTCTCGAAGTGCTTCGGCTTCGTGTCGTACGACAACGCTGCGTCCGCGCAGGCCGCCATCCAGGCGATGAACGGTTTCCAGATAGGCACGAAAAGACTCAAAGTTCAATTGAAACGCTCCAAAGAACTCTCGAGACCGTACTAGCCGCGAGGTGTGTGACGTAGAAACGAAAAACTATGAAAAACAGGTTGTTTACGAACGTTTGTTGTGATGTATCCGGTGCACTCGAACAGTTAGCGGTAAGATTATTGAGTCCACGTGCACAGTTGTTAACTAATAAGTATAAGTAAGGTTTGTGTCAAATGCTGAGTCCTAACAGGGAATATTGGGCGCTTTCGGGTTCTAGAACTCGTAGTCAATGACAGCTCGAAAATGCGAACTGGAGTGTTCTAGAATTGAAATAGTTTTCGATTTGTTCAATCATTTGCTAATGTTAAACACAAAAGCAACAAGTAAGCCCCGCTGAAAATTACTGCGAAGAGATAAACTTTTATCTTTTTCTTTCGAAATATAGTTTCGCTTGCGTTTAGTATTCTCGTGTTTCGAACTCAGCCGAAGGATCGTTTCCAAAGTATTCCCCAAATTCATTTATTTCTATTGCGTTATATTACATTTATTAGTCTCACTACCTATTTAATTTAAGTTGCGTTCGACACCATACAACGGAGGCGCCAAAGAGTTGAGACGAGAGTTTTATTCAACGACGTGTCATATTTTACTTTAAGTAAACGTTTTTTCGTCGTCCAAAGTTCACGTGCTACAGTTTATCTAGTTTAAGTTAAGTAGATTTTATTTATCGTTTTATATAATTCGCTTTTTGATTTCGAACCACAGATTAGAGAATATTTCATTGCTTTTTTGCAATCTGTGTTACCAGACTATTGACGCAATGTGGCCATCAAAGCATATTTTAGTGTTCTTTATTTAACGATGTAAGGTTTTTAGGTTAATAAGATGATCTCAAAGTGATCAATGTATTTATTGTTTACCTTGTTGTCTGTCATAGTGTACTTAACATGTTCAAACAAGGCTTCGATATTTCAAATGAACTTGGAACAATGATTGTGTTATACCATTGTAATGGAGCGATGAATTCTAAACAACAATATCGTGACGTCACAGTTGCCACAAAGTCGCCGGTTAGATAAAGTATCGCTTCTGTGTGCAAACGAGCAACAAGTTGCTCGCGAAAGTTGCCCAATTAATTTATAGACGTCATTGTTCCTTTGTCAACACTTAAAACATCGAATGCTGATTTAGTCAAAAAACTGTCTTAGGATTAAGTATTTAATGTAATGTTTCATACTATGTTGCTTACGTAAGAATCGCGTTTGTTCAAAACTATTTTATTCCTTTACGGCCACTTTGTAATGCATTCAACACTAATTTATGCTCAATGTTTCAGCTTACGTTTAGAAATTGAAAAGTAACTTTTAAATTATTACTAGATGTAAAATGAATTTTCCACATTTGATTAAATTACAAATTTTAATGTTAAGTAGGTATTGATAATTTTATGCTTTTAAAATAACTAAACATTTAGTTGAGAAGCAGTTCTTTATTGTTTCAAAGCTTTGTGCCAATTTTTTTCAAAATCACAGTCGACTTTTTCATATTAGTGACGAAAATGTTTCTTTTTGTTTATTTCTTATTACTGACCCGTCATTCGTGGCATTATTCAAAACAAAGTTTTATGCAACTTATAGTAACGACAAAACTATTTATACGATTAAATCAATTATGGGTTTATTTAAAGACGCGTTAGTTAATTTTAATCATGTTTTTTTTTGTCTCGTGAAAAAGACAATATTACTTACATATTTTTAGACTGAATAAGTTTCCTTTTTCTTAGATTTATCGACTATATTAGAATTCGCTATGAGAAAAATAAATTGTGAAACGTGAATTTTCGCGAGTATATTTAATTCTTGCAAATTAATTTATTGATGCGGGGTTGTATTGACAAACAGTTTGGTTGATTTTTACATGTAATATGTATATTTTTGGATCGACGTTTCTTTTGTCTTATGCGCACTAAGAACAATAATCGAAGGAAGGTTATAGAAAACATGTAGATACCAGAAGCTCATATACCTAAATAAGTTGCTAGTTAGGTACTTGCAAAACATTAAAAAGAAAACATAATAACGTCATTAGACACGACTCATTTTCGTATCTTGTCTTTTTTGAGTGCGCGTAATTCCTTTTATCGTTGTTACCATTAAATCTCGGTGGAAAGCCGCCAAGTCTGTGAATAACTAGGTGGGAGTTAAGTAATGATATGTATAAATTTTTTAACTACATAGCTCTAGGTAGGTGTCTCTGACGAGAGATTTGATTGTTGTTGTAATTTTTAAAATCGATAAGCAGATCGTAAATGTTACAATTATTTCATCTTTCAATCCGTTGACTGCAGGTGGTTCGCTACAGACGATTTCGACGACGCTTTAAGTTGCTTTTTATGAAGTATTTTGAACATAATTAAAATTTTATTTTAGCCTGACCTATTTATTATATTATTTAGCCTCTGTAGCTTAATATCGGTCTTGGGTTCGAAACCCGAGAAAGCAATAGATTGTTTCAGTCAGGCAGACTACAGAAATCTGATCAACTAACAATGTGGTCGCGGAATTTCACTTTATTTATTTTTGCTTGAAAAATGTCGCTCTAAACACAATCAAAATAACGCCCTGAAAATTCTTGTAACTTTGCCATTTGCTGTACCTGCTTATGTACAAATGCTATGAAGTAACGAAATTAGTTTCCATGAAGTCACGGTACCTACATATCGTCTCAAATGTTAGCAGATGCGAAATTATTTTTCCACAGTATATGCAATTCGTATCTCATGTGTACAATCGATGTAAAATTATAAAAGAACTGTTTTATACAACACCCGTTTTGTTGATAAATGTAAATAAATGTCAAGTTAAATTTGTCGTTTTATTTCCCGAATTTGGAAATGTTTATTTAAAAACAGTGTGAAAAAAGCGGCAGGGTAGGGCCAAAAAAAAGTGGGCTCTCATCCCCTCTTTATGTGTAGCTTGAACTTATATAAACCTCGAAAATTAAAAAAGGAACACTTTTAAAACTTCTTTTTTTACTTTTACGCGTCTCTTTTAAAAATGAGGTTATAGGGCCCCCTAACCTCTGGAGCCCTGGTGCACTACACCACCTGGCCCTAAGTTAGCTACACCACTGGGTTCAAGAGGTCGAAGTTGGAAACCGAACAATATCAGCCGTTTAAGAAACAAGAAAAAACCGCTTTGATTTGTCTTTTGTATAGGTTTTGACGGGCTTATCAGTCTAATGGCAAAGTAATGCTAAAAATCATCAAGTTCGATTACCGCCGGGTACAAAATTTTTTAATCAATTTATAATTTTTCTACAATATGTTGGAAATCTGAATATTAAATACTCGGCAGGTAGTAACTTCGACCTTGCACCTTGTATGGCTGGGATATTTCAATATCATCTAAGCAAGCAAGAAAATAAATCTACAAACAATTTATTTCACACTAATCATTCTTATCATCTTTGGGCTTCATCTTAATTAAACCGTTCTCGTCCGCCAAGGGCAATATCTCGCAGATCAAGGGCGATTCCACGCCAAGGATGTAATTGCAGGTCCTCGGCTCCAGAAGGTAGAGAGACACCTGGGCCGGGCTGGACGAGTTCTCTAAGCATTTGAGCTTCACCTCAGTCTGTCTGGGTTTTCCGGTTTTGTCGCAAATATCGCCGTTCGAGTAGAAGTGGGACACCGACGTGCGGACTTCTGTAATTAAGTGGTTATTGAATAAATGTTCGAGGATAATCGTTGTTTTTAACTTATAAATGAGTAGATCAGGACTGATGGTAAGCTGCATATGACATTCAACTTCGCATGACCATAAGAAGGCTGAGACAAATTTTAGCTATTTTGGGTGTCACTAGAAAAACATAGCTTTGTGTATAGATTTTTTTATAATTTCATACGTTTGATTAAGACATTCATCAAAAAAATATCGATTCAATAATAATTGAATAATCGATAACGATTTTTGTTGAAGGGAAATAGTTTAAAAACCAAGACACGTCATGTTAAACTGTTTACGGGCCAATGTTTCGGGTACCTAGCAGCAGTTATGGAGGTGGAACCTAAAATGTAGGGTGACCCTGATGTTATCAATTAATGTGCTACGTAGTTAAAATAAATTAAAAATAACTTAACTATCTAGTTATCGTTTTTAGCTCCAAACGTTTAAGTAATAATTATATATGTATGTTGTTGCTGGTACACATTCACACCACCTTGGTATTATATAATGATAGAATCATAGTACTATTATATAACATACAATAAGAAAGCAACTTAATTCAATATAGCTCAAAGCTATTTAAAAAAGTTGAGATTGGACAATCCAAACAAGAAAACCGGATCCAAACCTTCCAATCAATAAGGGAAGTTTTGATACAACCTTTTTTTTAATGATAAAAGAATATACAAGCATGTTTCATTTAATGGCGAGTGAAATGTACCAGCCATTTAGCATGTCAACAAGATGCGCGGTCAACCTATTTTGTCTTTGGATATTCAAAAATCCACAAACTAAAACCGATTAAAATTAACGGTTTTTTTTATCAGTGGTGGTGCTTGACTCGGATAGAATTTCGATATTTCAACCACCCATAACAAAAATACATGTTACTCATCGTTTACAACAACTTCGCTAGATTAACTGTGCGTCAACGTAAAAATATAAATGATTACTTACCGACTGGTTTGGGCGCTTTAGCCCTGTTCTCCCTGATCCACTCCAAATGAGTTGCTTCATCAAATTCGCCAAGAATCAGCGAAGTACGTTCACCAGCGCGATCTATATGATACTGAACAACATGCTGCCCGTAACAGAACTCGTATTTCCACCAGCCAGTGCCCTAGATACAAAGATATATAAACAATTGATATTACTATACATATTTTTTAAGTTAATAAAGAGTAAAATGCCCCAACTGTACAGGTCAAACAGTCAAGTAAACTTTAGGCCAGTTTCAAACCTATAGGCATTTTTAGACATATAATATGTACGTAACTAATTTACATAGTTTGAGTATTTTTTTAATTATACATAAGAAATGATTTCTGTATGGCTAACAAGTTTATTTTTTAATACAGAAGAGGACAAATAAGCATGTGGCCACATGATGGAAAGTGACCCCAGCCAAATACATTTTTAAAGATGTCGACTCTTTTGACGAAATTCGAAGTTATGATTTTTCATGCAACATTGTTTAAGATGACACTTATGAATTGACTTCCCTTTTTTATTTCGTTTCTTCTTTAGAGAAATACATTGCAAACCTAATTTAATGTTTGTATGAACGTTCATTTATAAGCTATAGTATTTGTTACTTTTTAGCAATTACTTACTCCATTCAAACAATTCTCCCCATTTAAAAACGCCCTTACAGGTGAATCATCGGATATCGGAATGGGTTTGTCCAATGCTGCTGTCCCTTTTGTATCCTGAATAATATCCCCCTCTTCAGCCAAAGGATGCAATTCAAACTTCAAATGCGTTTCACCATCCTAGAATTTCCAAGAGAGATGTATAAGAAAAGAAAAATTCAAAGTGTAAAGACCCTAACCAATATACTATTAATAAATTAAGACACAAGAGATCACAAAAGAAGCTAATGCATGCGTAATTGCATAATTTGAATTGCAGCAATCAATCAAGCTAGCTGCAACAGCATTGAAAGAAAGTGTGAAAAGGCGGGGCACGGAATACCTTTAACTATTTGGTATATCCTTTGAATATAATATAAAAAAGCTCTCATGCACTAGTAACGTCAAGACTAAGGCCAAGTTAAAAAGAGAAACAAACATGCAACACAAACCTTTTCGACTTTTTCAACTTTCAAAACGGCTAAGACATCTTTGTCCTTGTCCTGACATGCCGATGTGTTAAAAAGCCAAGAAAGACAAATAAAATAGAAATTAAAAAACACCTAAGAGCTAAAAACTACAAATATAAATAAAACAAAACAAGTGTCCGACTGCTATAAAAAATACTACTTTTGTTAAGTGAATAAAACTTCAGGTGAGACAAACACTATAGAAATAATAGCTACAATTACCGATGGAACTACTACAACTACAGCTACAACTTGATCCATTATTAGATATAATTTAGTTCCAAAGGCTCAAAATAACTGCTTGTGTGAATAATAATCGTGTAATCCATTCTGAATATTATATTTAAAGTTTGCTGTGCAAATAATTCTACCAAACGGCCACTAACAATTAATGTATATGTTTTAATATTTGCAGGAGATAAATTTTTTTGTTATCTCATATATATTATATAGGTCAAAAATGTATAACTAATATTAAAAAAAAAATTCAAAATATATTTAATAATGGACCCCAAAATTATCAAAACAAGCTCAAAATGTCTTTAACTAAAGATATTTCCAAACTTACTCTAATCCTTTACTTACATTATTATTTAATTTTATAGACTGGTAGGTAAACCTTAGGCTTTCGAATTCACTCCTAATTAGATTTTCTGGTTTCTTTGGGGCACCCTTAAGAGGTAGGCAGCTTATGACATTTTCAGAGTCATCCTTTGGTTTAAATTGTGGATGGTCGCAGAGCAAACCGGATAAGATAATAATTTCATATTCACACGTGGATGTTTCTTTCATAGAGTAAATCTCGTGTTTACCATGCGTGTAGCATACATATAGAACTCTGGTTCTTCGTGGTGATCCACTAAGGTCACAGATTGTGCCTGGAATTGTATATGCTTTTAAAAAAATTTAATCAACCATTTACAACCCAGTATAGATTATGTAGATATACAGCTTAAAAATGTAAATTTAAGTGATAATAATAATAGTAAGGAGTTTGAAATTTCTATGTCCTTGAAAAAAAAAACAATAATTTTCCAATTACTAGGTGAAGCAACATGCAGTCAAAATTTATAATGAATTATAGTTATATAATATACATCAAAATTGGACTAGTAGTATGTTACCATCACTCATTGCAATTTCCACATACGGTAGAGACATTCCTTCCACTTTGGTAGTTTTGAAATTTTCTTTTGCCTCCTGCAATGCCTTAATCTCTGCACCTAACTTTAAATGCTCTTCCTCTGACCATCTTCCCAGAAAAAACTCATGTGTCTTAGCTTGTTTACCTATAATATTGATTTGATAATGCATTAAAATAGCTGTAGGCGTTGCCACTGTTGCCTTGTTTTTATTAGCCTTAAGGTCAAAAAACCTCTAAAATTTACAGTTTTTCAACCTTGACAGTACAATTTAGTGAGATAAATACCCTCTCTGTCTTCATGATACTGCCTCACATGTCTTCCATGACACACTTCATAGCTCCAATAGCTTTCAAGACGATAGGAGCAAATTTTCTGAGAAAAAATTGGCTTGAGAAGATCAAACGGTGTTGGGCCACTATAGTCTTCAATATTAGTCGAAACTCTATCCTTTAAAACCGGTAACTGGCATTCATACTCCTCCTTTTGAGTTGTTTTGACTTTTAATTTTTCACTTTCCTGAAAGTTAATAACACACAAATAATGCATATATTAAAATTTTATAAATGGATGTTCTTGACTCTCACAAAAGTTATTCCAAAATATATGTATACAATTAGATAAACAATACATTAAATAGAAGTCTCTAATATAGAAAAAAAACTCCCAGACTTTCATTAAATCACTTTTAAACTATTGCTTAAGTGTACACATTTAAATAAAACACTTTAACGGTTTAAAAGGATATATGTTAAACTTATTAGAAAATATTTTTAATTGTCGAGTTTCGATGCTTTCAGCAGCCGTGGCTGTGTGTGTTTTATTTAAATCTGTATACATTACAAAACATATTACTAGTGAAAGAGCCAGTGTTAGAGAATTTGCTTCTGTTCTTATGGCCATGCTTTATTTTATACTGTTAATTTGAGAGTTACAATGAAAGCTGTAGTCAATAGAGCCACTTTTGCCTACCATTTTAATGACTAGTTGTCGTAAATGGTTGGTAACAACAATTTATGCCACACACTAAGATTTGATACATTTTCATATTAGCTTACATCTTAAATTTAATTACACATGCGACAAAGAGTTTGGCAATTTAAATAAAGGCACTAGGTACGTAACTCTACTAGTAATACTCATAGTAGCCTGTATAATATTTAGGTACAAATAATTTTATTCAAGTGAAACGATTCAAAACCTACCTGAACTTTGAATTCTTTATTGTCTACTATATTCTCTAATTTGGCGGGGGTGCCAGGCCAATCTATGGTAAACAAAATTGTGTCATCAAAGCCTTTAAAATCATGTTCTATACACAGAATTCGTCCCGTAATACACAGGATTGTTATCATGAAATGCCTCATCTTTGAGTTTGTATGTCGGAGTTGAATCACATCGATGTAGGTTTAGTTAAAACTGATATTATTTAATGCTAAACACTTGAATTTGTTGGTTGCTTCTTATTTTCATCTGTGTTTTAAACTAATTGGATTAAAGTGTAAACAGCTGAGGTGGAGAAACTACATTTGTCAATCTACTGAACAGTGCGGCTTGACGTGACGTTCTTTGTCAGTTGTCAATGCTGCTGATATTTTCTGTGATGGCAATCTTATCTTATACATATTAAATAATTAAAATACTAATATTTAACAATTTATTAAATATATTTATCTTCCTTAATTTCTTATTTTATTGTTATAGATATTTCTGCTTCCATGAAATTGATAACTGTCAAATAAGTTTCTAACTCTATACCGTTCATAATAATTCTTCATCTTCATAGTTTGATGAACATTTGTCTTTGCGGGATAATATAGATGATTGTTGTTTTTATTTTATTTTATTAGAAAAAGGCACTCTTTTTAATTATAATTAATACTTGAAATGATTTTGCCCATACCCGTCTTTTGGATAGAGTAAAAAAAACCATAAAACATAGAGTGACATAGATATTCATAATTATTAATTATTGTTTTCATTTTATACTTTTGTCAAAATGGCGTTTAGCTTCCCAGCTTTTTCATATATTATTGCGTTAATTATTGATGCGTTTCTTATATTTTTTTCAATATTTCACGTCATAGCGTTTGATGAATTAAAAACTGATTATAAGAATCCAATAGACCAATGTAACAGTTTAAACCCGGTATGTATTAGTGTTCTATAAAGTTCAGTGACTTGCACGTAACCTATAATAATGTTATACATTTTGATTTTCAGATTGTTCTACCAGAGTACTTGCTTCATTTATTCATTAATATATTGTTCTTGTTGTCGGGAGAATGGTTTTCCTTAATAATTAATCTTCCATTGATTGTATATCACATTTACAGGTAAAGATCTTCAACTTTTTTAATAAGATTGACCTAGCTAGCTCGTAATTATCATTCATACTGGTGCTAATTTATATGCAGCGCTTATCAATTCTATGATGAAAGTCCAAGACTTGATGTATTTGCATTGATTATATTGTATAATTACATTTAATAAATAAGAAATAATTTATTATTCCAGATATCGCAATAGACCCGTGATGTCAGGGCCTGGGTTATATGACCCAACAAGTATTATGAATGCTGATGTTTTGACGGTTTGCCAAAGGGAGGGTTGGATCAAACTAGCATTTTATTTGTTGTCATTTTTCTTATATTTATATGGGTAAGTTTAAAACTATTATGTGAAATCTAAGTGCATTCAAGCCAAGGCCAAAAATATCTATCTACCTCGACCAAACAAGTGGCTATATCTTTAATATACTCAAAATATCCCTATAATTTGGGAAATCATATATAGAATAGAAATATAATTCAAAAAGCATATTACAGTACAAAGTTAAAGCCACAAGAAGAAAAAAAATTGACTTTGCTTTTTCCCATTACACAAGATTTATAATCTTATCACTTGATAAATTGATAATATGCTGTAAGATCTTTGTATCAAAGAATATCTACTACAAGGACTAAATATGAGTCTGAAGAATTTTTATATGAAATGATAATAATATTATTATTTAATATATAAATCACAGGATTTAAAATAAAATACCTATCATGCCAGATCCTAGGTTTTATTGAAAACTTATCATTTTTCTAGTTAAACTGTTATAAAAAGCTAATCACTTATTTTTATACCAAATTCTCTAAACTATAGAACTCGGTCAAATATTGTGCATTAATGGCCGGTCCCAATATTCAACTAACTTTTGCATTTCAATATTCAATCTATCTGTGACATTTCAACAATTGGTTGCAACTGACTGTTGAGAGGGACAACTTCTTATTGATAGGTTACTTCATAACAAAATTGAATTAAGGCATTTCAATAACACACTGACTGATAAATATTGTTTACAATGGCGACAAACTGTTGCAGATTTGGCTAACCGCCGAGTTTGACGGATTTCCGAAAATTTTCCGAAAAATTTTCCTTTGTTTTTTTTTTTATTAAACGTAAGGAAAATATGGAATTGTTTGTTTAGAAATATAGCCTTTAAATCAGTTGCTCTGACGTTGATGTTTTATGCGCCGGGTGCCGTTCTTTTATCGGTGTTAGATCTCATTGAGCTATCCAAATCATCTGCAAGCCGTATTGAATCTGATGTAGGTATCGCGCGTTATTGCTTGAGTATATCCAATATTTATAAAAAATAATGGATAGTACCCGGCAAAAATTTCATTAGGTAGCAGGTTTTCCTAGAGTTCTGGGTGTCATTAATTGTATACGTGAAGCTGAAGAATTTGTTTGTTTGTTTGAGTACACTAATCTCAGGAATACTAGTTCCTGAGATTAGTGTGTTCGAGTGAAATTATTGTTTAGTTTATTGAGTAAGGCTTTAAACATCATGCTAGTTATTTTGCCTAAATAATACACTGAGTCTTCTAGCAGCTTTTTTTTCCATTTTATGCGCAATTGCTCAGGATGGCGCACTTCAGCTGTTACAGCACCGAATTTACTTGAGATGGACCTTCAAGCTAGTCGAACGTTGCGTTTGCAGCGTTTGTATGACTGGATACTTAGCAATTAGCGTATCTATAAACACAATTTCGTCTTTACTCATTTGCTTTGCTTTTATCCGAAGAAAATATTTGTCAATTAAAATCAACTCAATCATGTTAAATTATTATAAAACTTTGTTAATACTTACAATTTCAATTGAAACTTTTTTTTATATCTGCATTCAATTTATTATATCAAGCCAGGAAGTCCTATTATTTTTTCACAGTTTTAATTCACAAAAAATATGAACAATACTAAAATATTTATTCATTAATTCTTGTCGCCATTTAAAATCATCATAGTAATTAGTAGAACGGGACGTGTAAAACGGGACGTTTGAGATGGAAAGGTTAACCTATGACAGCTCTCTATCTACATTTAATCTTCGATAGGCACGTCAAAAAAAAAAATGAAACGCCAGTTACAGTTACTTTAACTTTTACTGTTTATCAGGGATGGCTATCCATCATTAACTGACAATACGTTATTGGGAACGGCAGCTAGAGTTACGTGCTGTCACTATGAGTAGGTAAACAATATTAGGTCCAGAAATTCACATTGTAACCAAAATGTTAATTTTTCAAGTGCTTAGCTGCAAGCGTTCATTATAACTGAGTGAAAACTTGAAAACTTTAATATTTTTCACATGTTATGGCACATAATGCCACTATATAATTTGAAAAGCAATTGAAAAAAAATTTGTCTCGGGCAGGACTTGAACTGCCATTGTCTGCTTGACAAGAGCGAAAACTGGCATAACAAATGACATTTTTGTAGCTTACTTAACACATTTAACTTTATAATTAAAAAATAAATTGAAAAATTTTTGACTTGGGCAAGACTTGAACCGGCATCGTCAGCGTTCCGTTCAAGTCCTGCCCGAATAGAATTTTTTTTTCAATTTATCTTAGATTTTTAAATTGTATAGTGCCTTCATGTGCAATGACATGTAAAAATAATAGTTTTCTAACATTTAACTTTAAAAAATTTCGACTGTTTATATGTTGTGATGTGAAACCCCATAAATACGTGCAATTGCTGATTTGTTTTTTTCTTTTTCAGAATGATTGTGGTGCTGATTGCGGTGTAGTACTCAGTATTTGTTAAGTTTTATTTATTACTTACGGTCCATTTTAATTATGTGCATCAGTCAATATAACTTAAGTGAGTCTAGAACATAATAGTTAACGATTATGAAGTATTTTGATAACTCGATAAATGAATATGAAGAACAATGCAGATTTTTTTGCCTGTCAACCCTTAACACAATAATTATAATGCCAACCGAGTGCTCAGGCCTAAAGAATAGCACTTTAACACTGACTAGGAAACTACACAAATTTCAAATAGTACACATTCAATTAAAACTTTAACTGTATAAAACGAGAAATAGATTAAGTTAACTTTATTATGAATAGTATATATATTCGCTTTTACCGTTGAAAGTGTTTTATTTAAATCTATTGTTTTATCAATAATTATTATTAACACATTGACATATTCGTACATACATTTTTAATACTGTACTACTGCATCCTTCATTGCATTTTTAACTGCAAAATATATCTTACTCTGTGTAGATAAAGCATATATTTCAAAAGCAGATTACTATTATGCTTGTACTTGCATCTCAAATACAATTCTCAATGTAACGATGCTATTCTGAAAATAGCTCCCCATCTTACAATGTCCCTGCATGCAGTAAACGCGCTGTTGTTTAAGATAGAACACGTTCCACTATGCAGTTCTTAATATTTCTCACTTTAATAGGCTACATACAATGTGCAAAGATTATAGCCCTCTTCGCTCATACGGGCAAAAGTCATCACATGGTATTCGAGCCGCTTCTAAGGAAGCTTGCCCAAAATGGCCACCATATCACAGTCGTGTCATTTTTCCCGCTCAAAGATCCACCAGAAAATTACCAGGATATTAGCCTGCAAGGCATCGCTGATGTCGGAGTGGAGACCTTCGATTTAGAAGCTATAGAACAAAGCTTAGTCTATCACATCCCAATTTTTGGGGAAGTCCTAAAGGAAACTGAAAGTATGGCACCATTTGCCGAAATGGCGGTGGACATCTGCGAAAAGGTGGTAAAATGGCCTACGTTGATTAAAGCTTTGAAACAGCAATACGACGCTGCTATAGTTGAAGTTTTTAGCAGCGACTGCATGCTGGGACTGCTGCACGTATACGGTATCCATGTACCCATTGTGGGGATATCGTCAAGCAATTTGGTATCATGGGCGTTTTCTCGTCTCGGCTTAGTTAATAACCCCGGCTATGTACCGATTGTCAGCGCGCCGTGGACTAGTGAAATGGACTTCGTTCAAAGAATGCAGAACACACTTCTGGCAGCTCATAACTACTTCTGGTACTATTATGGGGTTCAAGAGAAGGAACGAGGAATTATAGAGAGAGGTTACAATGTGTCAGTGCCGCTATATGCCTTGTCTTTGAACTTTACTGTGCTGTTGGTGAATACGTACCACGCGTTGAACGGTGTTCAGTACTCAGTGCCTGGTCTTATTGAAGTTGGTGGTATGCATCTTATCGATAGCAGAAGGAAGTTGCCTCAGGTAGGTGTAAGTTATAATCAATGTAGGAGTTGATTCTCAAATCTTTAACAATAAGGGTTTCCAAATAACAGAACTAGGTCGTATCGGGTCCGCCCAAAACAGAAATATTTGTTACTATCCTGGACCAAGACTGACGTAGGTATGAATATCTTCATGATTATCTGCGAGCTGACTTCGAATTAGTCATAAAGATTTCATTACGTAATTACATTAAAATGATATCGAGTGACAAAGAAAGATAAAATATAAAAAAAATACATACCATACTCTTGTCTGTTGTTTCTATTACTTATAACGAAAGCGACTCAACACCTTGTATTATGTATAATTATGCCTCATTTCTCTTTCTACACAGAAGCCATAAAATCAGTATACTTGACGAGCTCGTTGGTGTAATGGTAGTAACGCATGACGTACGGGTTATGGGTTCAAAGTTTGATTGCTTTTCGGTTTCATTTCATGAATTTCCAAAGCCAAAATACAGCTCGACAGCGCATCTTACAGCGATGCTATGTGGCTTAAGGTATTCCACCAACCGTCAAATATACCCCATGCTTGCATGTCCTCCACTATCAAAAAACATCTATGTTATTAAACTTTTGATAAACTATATGTTTATCAAATTATACAATCAGTGTAAACAAAGAATGGTATATTTTTTCGAATACTATTTGATAAACAAATCTTTTAATAAAATTTCAAGGACAGATAACACTCGGCAGTCCATTGAAGCAAATGTTTGGTCATTGTGTAGCCTCAGTTTGACCCGTGTATTCGTATTATGGCGATGCGCTATATAATTTTTATTGGCGTAGCCATAGGCTTTGTAAATTATGTTCATACGTCGAGGGTGCTGGGCCTCTTCGCCCACACAGGCAAGAGTCATCACATGGTCTTCGAGCCTCTGCTGAAGAAACTCGCAGAACGCGGCCACGAAGTCACAATTGCCTCCTTCTTCCCCCTCCAAACCCCCATGGCGAACTACACAGACGTAAGTCTTCAGGGTATCGCCGATATTGGGGTGGAGACCTTCGATATCAGCCAGGTCAGAGATTCTGGATTTCTATCCAAAATACCGATATTAGAAGAACTTGTCAAATTAATTACAACGCCAGCTTCCCTGCCCGATGTGATCGGAATTTGCGACAAAGTTGCAGTATGGCCGCCGCTTATTGCTGCTCTTAAAAAAAACTACGACGTTGTGCTGTTAGAGATGTTTTTAAGCGATTGTATGCTCGGTCTAGTACACGTGCACGGGGTGGAAGCTCCAATTGTGGGTTTATCATCGACCACTATGATACCTTGGGCCAATAGTCGTATTGGTCTGTTAAACAATCCAGCGATTGTACCTATGGGGTTCGCTCCTGTCCATCGAAGTTCGCTGCCAGAGAGAATGCTTAGCACGTTTCTATACGGAATGATGTCACTCGTGAAATTATATTTCGAGTATCAAGAGAGCGCTGTACTCCAAAAGCATTATGGTATACATGTTCCCCTTGGTGAAGTAGCACTGAACACATCTTTGATTCTGGTAAATGCGTTTCACCCTTTGAATGGTGTTAGAGAAACTGTTCCGGCTGTAGTGGAAGTTGGGGGAATGCATTTGGATCATTCAAGGCAGCAACTTCCAAAGGTAAGGGTTGTTTGTTTATTATACACACACATACAATACACATACACTTTTTACGGTTTAAAACACGAAATGTATCAGTTAAACTTATTTTATGCTTTGCGGCATCCGTGGTCGCGGGGATAATATGTAAATACGTAAACCGTTAAAAGTGTTTTATTTAATTACATAAATAAGAAAACAAAAATATTTTACAACGATGGTTCTTTTGTTTTAGAAACATTCAATGACTGATTTAATATAGTTACATACAATAGAGTAAAAATTAAAAATCACTCACGTAAATTACCGGATTTTACTCCTATACTTTGGATTCGGGATTTTTACTATTAAGACGTTTTTTCGAGGTCAGATTTTTTGTTACAACCGGAATATAATTATTCAATAATTTTACATTTCGAATCAGTAGTTCCCGGGATCAGCGCGTTCAAACAAACAAATTCTTCAGCAAATATTAGTGTGGATTTCTTGAAAAATTGATTGATTGATTAGAAAAATTCAGGCGCAATCTAATATTTAATGCTACGAAATCTAAATTGAACTATAGTTCGTAATACTATAGTATTATCATAAGATTTATTCTATAGTGTTGGTATAGTACCTAAAAGGAAACTAAATGTAATAAAAACAATCGTATTCTGCCAACTTCAAATTGTCGATAATCTAATGAAGTTTAATTAGTTTGTAACTGTGTGTCTTGAACGTTTTTAGTTCCCGTTTAAGAATATATTTCTTTAGGGTGAAAAGTTAAAGTATTATCTCTTAGTATTGTGAATCTTAGTGCCACGCACGGAACGCTGTGAATTCCGATTCAAGTCCCGCACGTGTCATCGATTTAATTATTTCTAAACAGATTGTTAATTTTAGTACTTAAAAAATAACTATTATTTAAAAAATGTGTTCGATGGTTATAAATTTGATTATTCTTGCCTTTTAAAATAATATACTTATAGTACAATGTCCACAATAATTAAAGTAATTAAGATCACCTTGAACTCAAAATCACAGAGTTTGTAGCTTTCAGAAATAGGTAGATACGTAATGTTGATACATATTCCTTTAAAGAGATTACCCATGATCTCGAATCAGTTTTAATCCAACCGCAAGCCGATCATCATGCGCGTTATAGTCTTTATCGCTTTTATAACTGCAGTTCAATCTGCTAGAATCCTTGGGCTCTTCGCGCATACGGGTAAAAGTCACCACATGGTTTTCGAGCCGCTCCTTAAGAAATTGGCTACGAAGCACGAGGTCACAGTCGCTTCGTTCTTCCCTCAGAAAATCCCCATTGCAAACTACACGGAAATCAGTTTGAAGGGCCTTGCCAGCCCAGGGCTGAATTCCTTCGATCTCAGCACCATAAAGAAGCCAAGTATCGTGACAAAGATACCGATTGTCGGAGACGTCGTTAAGTTACTAACTCTTCCTACGTCGCTGCCGAACGTAGTAGATATTTGCGACAAAATCTGTAAGTTACCAGCATTAGTTGATGCTCTTCAGAAGACTTACGATGTGGTGATCGTGGAAACGTTCGTGAGTGACTGTATGCTTGGTCTGATGCATGTTCATGGGATCAACGCTCCAGTTGTAGGATTATCGTCAACCTCACCGTTTCCTTGGGCAAACAATCGTGTTGGATTGATGAATAATCCATCTTTTATGCCGTTCATCCTAACTGGCATGTCGACACAGATGACGTTTAGAGAAAGAATGGCGAACACGCTCTATTACGGGATAGCAAACCTGATATACTACATCCAGGATAAGCAGAGGCTAGTGATAGAGAAGCATTATAACATGCCGGTTCCGTTATATGATTTGTCATTCAACTTGACTATGATCCTGTTGAACACGTTTCACACCTTGAACGGCGTTAAGTATCAGGTGCCTGGGCTGGTTGAGGTTGGTGGCATGCATTTGGATCATAGGCATCAGCGACTACCAGGGGTGAGTATACAGAAACTCCTGTGTTACTGAGTGTAAGACATTTTTTATTGTATTTGTAAAATTATGTTTCTGTTTTTACTTTTTGTGTGAATGTCTAATGCACGCCCGACTGATCACTAGCCGACCAGAACCATTAAACACTCCACTAGCCCGCTACGATGCTTTGAGGGAACCTTGGAAACACATTTGTACGACTCCAAAGCTCCCAGCACCAATGCCCATTCCAGATAAGGCAAAAAAGAGATTAGGGATGATCTTGGCGGTGCGCATAGCGTCGCCTTCTTGGTCCCCGTCTAGCCGCTCTTATGCGGATGAAATCGCCGATAACGATAGCGTCTTTTCCTTTAATGTAAATAAGTATTTTTGAATATTTATTCTATAGGTACCTATAGATCATATGCAGTAGTTTTATGTTTTGCCTTCAAACTATGTCTCTCGAACGTAAACATCATTTCAATGTTAAAGTACCAAATGTCATATAACCATAATATCAATTGTTTGTAATTTGCACATCTTTGGTTAAGAAATGCCGTGCTAAAACTGATATGTATAGTTATAATTATTAATTATTATGTCACCGGTTTTATAATTAGAGTCGGTCCTATTGTCATAAAAAATACCCAGCAGAATATAATAATTAATTTCCTAATGAGAAGCTATGATTATTTTGTTTTATGATAACGACTTTTGCATAAAAACTCGTTTATCGCAGATAAGAAGAGAACTTTTTTTACAATACTTTAAGAATATTGAGGCGGAAAATTGTCTAGAAATCGGGCAATTTACTTTTTTTTATTTGTCTTACTTACTGTGATTCCAAAAAAACATTTAAGTAAACATACCAAAGTTTTTATAAGCAGTCCTGGATATACGTTTGGTATACTTACAGTACTTGCTGTGTCAGCGACTTATAATTTATAGTTGTTACCCACGACGTTGTCCGCGTCTTATCGTTCTTAGCAAGTTAATCTTAAAAGATAAACATATATTGTCGCGGGTGGTTTTTAGATCTTTTAAAGAGGAATCATAGCTTCATGAATATTTTTTGCGTATGTTGAACCGTTTTCGTAGCGGAAAACCATAAAGATAAATTTTCCTCGTTTTTTTTTTTTCACATTTTCCGCTGTCGCTCTTGTTAGTCACAGCGCAAAATTTTATGGCCGACCAACCTTCCTCGATTGATGTTCTAAACAGAACAATTTTTTTTTCATTCGAACCAGCAGTTCTTGAGATTAGCACATTCAAACAAACAAACTCTTTAGCTGTATACATTAGTATAAATAAAATCTAGCGCATTCAATCGTATAGAACAGACCCTAGTGGGAGTCAAAAAGAACCACTAGACATACCAAGTTTTTCAGGATCCGGTTATATGTTTAACCTATAAAGATTAAAAAATAGCAATGCCGAGTCATTAAGTCTCTAACCTCTTATAGTAAGGATTTGGCATATATGTTATTAATAATCAAATTTTTCAAAACTTGCAGGCAATGCTTTGTATGTGTTGTTCAATATGAATGTAATAATATGTATTATGTTGTGCAAATTATTCAATGTGACAGTTAACAAGCTGCTCAAAGCATTGACCCAAAACGGGCCGGTCCCAATGTCATGTTCAAGTTCAAGTTGTGCTTCACTGTGCTTCGATGACGTCATTATTACTGTGATTTTACGACTAGCTGTGTCTGCGACTTCGTCCGCGCGGAACCACGGCATATTAATTTTTACAAACGACCTCTTCATATAATAGTATCTTTATATATATTACCTGCCACTCGTGACTTTCCTCCGCGTGGCGTCTTTCTTGCGAGTTAATCTTAAAATATAGATTTTTTAATTCTTTTTGCTTCTTGATCCGTTTTCCGAGCGCACGCAACGGAAGCCCAAGCATTTCCCACTGTTTCTCTGCTCCTATTGGTCACGGCATGACGCTATATATCCTTCATAATTTTTCAATTCAAACCAGTAATTCCGGAGATTAGCACTTTCAAATAAATTTCAGCTTTATAATAATAGTCACGGGTAGAATGCTCTAAAGCAGCTGTCTCCCCATAGTCTACGCGAGTACGTCAGAAGCATTGAAATCAGACACTTAAATCATTTTCAAATACGCTTTAAATAATTTACACGTTTAAAACCGTTAAAGTGTTTTATTTTAATAAATAGCCTTGCGAAAGTGTATTTGCCCTTTTTGGTCGAAAATTTTATTAAAGGTTTTTGGGTATAAATGCTTGAAACATCGGACATTGTTTTTATTGTTTATTCCAAAAAATCTTTGGCCTAAACGATAGGGCAAATATACAGAACTAAAACCACTAAATAAATTAATAAATTCTTGCGGGTCTAAAACATAGGATAGCATTGTAACAATTAAGTAACCGAGCTTCTAACCAAGTAAGGAACCAAGGAAGACCCCGGCGTGCACAGCAGGCAAAATTATTAGAAACAAATTATTTAGAAAAATACGTAAATATAGGATCAAATATTTTGAAAACCATGATTGTGTCTATACATATAGACATGGCCTAGTGACAGACAAAGCTAATCTAGTAAATTGTTACCATTTGTTTTTAGATCGTCGCGTAACAGTAGCAAAATTGAATTGGGATTTATAATGAAAATACGCCACATTTAATCGTGAATAGCTAATTATCATTAATTAATCTTTAAAATTAATTAAAGTATTAAAACTGCGACGCAAAAAATGTATAAATGAAATGCAATATTAATTTAATTATGATACAGAATATAATTTAAATCCACTAAATAAGTAAGAAGTTAATAAGCAAACCTCATTGTGTATCTTACAGTAGGTATGTTGTATTCTGTATTTAGATTTTTTTATCTAAATCAAGTTTAACTGTCATGATTATGTAACGTTATCGATTAACGGTACCTGACAGCAGGTGGCAAAAAGTTCTTCACCGTTTGGTGTACGCAAATACCTACGAAGTACATAAGAATGAATACAATTTATCACTACGTTCTTGTTCCTATTAAGTTTGCTTATTTATTACATTACGTGTGAAATTCTATTTCCATTCATGGATATAGTTGACCAGGCTTTTATACCTTGCCCGACCGAAATTATACCTTGCTTCCCAACGATTAGAAGCCTAATTCAACAATATGCTATTGGGTCATGATACTCGGTTCAATATAATGGGAATGGTATAATAAACATGAAAAAGTTAGAGTAAATATGAAGTTCATCTTAAAAAAAGTTAGACTCAACAATTTTTGGCAGTTAGTTAAAACCATGGATCAAAACAGTCAATTTAGTGGTTCAAGTACCGAGAGACAATTTTGAAAATTATATGTTTGTTACCTACACTTTTCTGAGTTTGTCGTTTGGACAACTAAACAAAAAATTAAATTAAAAACCGGAACAAAAGTTAAAAATTGGCTCTATGAACGCCCTTTTGCTTCCTTAACACTCTACAGTATGCATCTTCGTCTACATAAAGTGAACCTCGCGTATATTTCCTCAAAGATAAAAAAACTGTTAATATATAAAATAATATCTAGGTGAACCTGTTGTCAACTAGGTTGCAGAAACTTAAACTGTAGATGATCTATAAAATAACCACAATCAATATTTGCTTTATTTTTCAGCGTCAAGGTTATATTACAATGCTGATTTTCACGAATCTTTACCCTTACAATCTAAAGTTAACTTAAGAATGAAGAATTTGAGCAGTCAAAACATCTTCTTTAAAATACTGTATTTTTCAAACGGACTAATATTGATCATTGATATAATTACATTAGTGGTTAACGGCCATTAAATAAATTTGTGGCATTAATTTATATGCTTGCTGCAGTGACTTAGCAATATTTCATATAACCTTTGACCATACGTGATAATATGTGGTTACACGAGCCCGATTTTCGTGCACCCGCGTGTATCTACAGCGTAGATAAGGCATCGATTACATCTCGCTGTCATCGAAACTAATAACTACAAAGTTGTCAAAACTCGCGCAGTAGTTCAGTCGCCGCTGCAAAGCGAGGTATCACCGCGATGCATTACAAATTCGCCCATATTCTTGTAGTGACATTCGTCTGCCATGTCCAAGGTGCTAGGATCCTCGGTCTCTTCTCGCATTTCGGTAAAAGTCATCATATGGTCTTCGAGCCGCTGCTGAAGACGCTAGCGGAACGTGGACACCATCTCACTGTCGCGACTTTATTCCCCCTGGAAAATCCACCACTAAATTACACTCAATTGAGCTTCGCTGGCTTGACAAACGCGGGTTTGGAAGTCTTAGATTTGAAAATGTACGAGAACCCGAACTTCAAGTACCGATTACCAATAATCGGAGATATTTGGAAGCAAGCTGATGAATTAAAACCTATCGTTGGGTGGGCCTTGTCTATGTGCGACAAATTGAAGGACTGGCCGCCGCTGGTGAAACTGTTAGAGATGGATTATGATCTAGTCATCGTAGAGAATTTTAACAGCGACTGCATGCTCGGTCTCCTGCATATTTTTGACATAAAAGCTCCCGTCGTAGCGCTATCTTCATGCAACGCTATGCCGTGGTCTGCTGAACGGTTGGGTTTCGTGGATAACCCTTCGTATGTGCCTGTCGTAACCTCGCCTTGGTCCGCCCCGATGACATACGTGAAAAGGTTCCAAAATTCATTTTTAAACATATATCTTCAGTATATTTTTCGATACAATATCCAGGAGAAAGAAAGAGAGATGATCGAGTCGCATTATGGGAGGACAGTGCCGTTACACGATCTATCGAAGAATTTATCCCTCTTCTTAGTGAATACGTTTCATGCTCTAAATGGTGTTCGGCCGTCTGTGCCTGGTCGTGTTGAGGTCGGTGGGATGCACCTCGATGATAATAGGAAACATATACCAGAGGTAAGAGATTATTTAATTTGACCCCTACTAATTGCAAAGTAGCATGTTGGATTAATTTTCTATATCTACAATAAATTTATAAACAACATAGGGCTCGCTACGATCACATCTCGAAGTCTAAATCAAAGTAAAAACATTTATTAACGTAGGTTACTGTACCGGTTAACGTATAGTTTAAACGTCAATAGAGTTTGAAACAAAAGACTGCATTTATATTTCCTTCTCAGTTCCGAAGTAAGGGCATATGTAGAATGAATGAGAAGAAGTTCTTATTATTGCAAAGTTTCAATTGACAAAGTCTTCGCGTACTCAGAAAGTGGCAGCAAACTATGTCAGCTATATATAGTTTGCTGCCACTTTCTGAGTACCCGAAGACCAGTCCACTCTTACCAATTCTTTAAAACCTTTCAATCTATAATCGATTTTAAACTGTGTACTATTTATTTTATAATTGTATATTTCGTCATGTTTCATCAATCTTTCATGAAATTGAAACATACTTGCCTATTAATTATGTTATTATCACTATCTACTGTAGTGATTTTATCTTATCTTATCTAAACGTTAGTAATTTATATACTCTGCGAATTTAATTATGTTTTGTGAACAGACTGCGTCGCTGAGAATCCGTATATGCGCCATATTGTCACGGCATGCTTTTACAATACAAAATAATATATCATTAATTTGGAATAAGCAGGCAAACAAGATGTTACTGTTAATTACCAAATAAGATCATTTTAAATAAAACACTTTAACGGTTAAAAACGCGATATATTTACTACTTATTTTAACTATGGCCCGACGTTTCGGATGCTTTACAACAGCCATGTCTCCCCGTGATCCTTTTTTGTGATTTAAACAAATTTGGCGGGAAATACTGTGACAGCCTCAACAGTACTAAAATAAGCACGTCACCAGTTTTGAAATAATCTTGTTTTTGAAGACAAACAATGAACACATGTAGCACCCTTTTAAATAAGCATTATTTATATCAGGTACATTTATCGTATATTTAGATAACTGTTATATAATAACGTTAGGATTTTAATTGTATAGAAAACTCTGTCTTCTATTATGCGCGTGTTTTAAGCTAAGTGCTATGAAATTTATCACAGGCGTATTTAAATCTCTATATAAATAAAAAAAAAAAAGTATATATATATATACTTATAATCATTTAAAATAGTCGAAACTAATGCAAAATAATTGATTTTAATGCATAATATTTAAATTTAAATATTATGATAATCCTATTTTAGCTATTTACGTACAAATACAAGAAACAGATTTGCGTTTAACACATTTTTTTTTTCAATTAAATACTAAGTAGCTTGAGTGAGCATCAGTATCAGTATCAGTCAAAATACTACACGGTACCTATATATTTGTTTCTAACGTCTTCAGCTTATTATAATTTTACATTTCATTTATTTTAAATAAAACACTTTAACGGTTTAAAACGTGATATATTAATTAGCCGTGACTACGGCTGCTGCAAAGCATCCGAAACGTCGGGTCGAAGTTAAAAAGAATTTTTAAATAACTTTAACTAATATATTGCGTTTTAAACCGTTAAAGTGTTTTATTTAAATGTGTACTACTCGCGTAAGCTGTAGACAGTATTCAATATACAGCTAGATAAACTGAAAAGACCATAAAATAAAAAATAAAGAGCCAGCTCAACAAGAGTTTATAGCTTGATTCAGAATAAATACCTACTTTATGATTGAAAGCAATTTAAAAATAAAAACAAATCAAAATACCTAGACAGAACTACATTATAATTATTGAACTAGAATAAATTATTATGAAATTACTAATAGGCATGTACTAATAAAATCTATAAATAATTCATAAAATAATAAAAAACATTTTAAATTTAAGACGTACAAAAGATATTAGAAAGTAAACGTCACGCCTTGCTAACTGGGGTACGAAAGAGATCGATATTTGGCAATAATGTCATACCAATAATAATAAAAATATCAGCATTTATTTCAAAGTATTTTTTAAATTCTAAATTTGCTATGACTATGTTTATTAATGTATGTTTATTCTAAATTTGCTATAGCTATGTAAGGTGCGTGATTTAAATAAATGTTCATCGATAATTCAAAAACCGGTTTAGTCATATTTGGCAGACGCGTCGTATTCAATTGGCTGGACCATTACTAAGACAATAGCGAATGTTAAGGCTAGCGATACACGCTTCCGTCGTTATCGTAACAGCCCGCTCGGATGTCTCATAACTCGTTCTGAAAATAGTATCTGGAAATCAGTGCTGGCTCGCGTCGCTACAACACGCAGTGTTCCGCGCGCCATACAGCTGGGAACATGCGTTCCACACTCGTAATATTCGCGGTCATTGCGCTACACAATGTCCAGGCTGCGAGAATTCTCGGCCTCTTCCCCCACACGGGTAAGAGTCATCAGATGGTCTTCGAGCCGCTGCTAAAAAAACTCGCGGAACGGGGTCACCAAGTTACCGTCGCTTCGTTCTTTCCCCTCAAGAATCCACCCTCTAACTACACCGACGTCAGCTTTGAGGGTATCGCTGGATTGGGCGTGGAAACTTTCAGCTTGACGTGGCTAGAGAACCCTGGACTATTGTTCAGCGTGCCAATTATGGGTGATCTCTTAGCGCAAATTGGAGGGTTCACACCTCTCGCTGGAATGGCGCTAAACGTATGTAGCAAGGCCCTGGATTGGCCTCCCCTCGTTGACGCTCTCAAATTGGACTATGATGTCGTTTTGGTAGAAAACTTTAACAGTGATTGCATGCTTGGATTGCTGCATATTTACGGTGTTAAGGCGCCGGTTGTTGCATTATCTTCGTCGAGTGCAGTGCCGTGGGCCGCGGAGCGTATCGGGTTCGTCGATAACCCGTCATACTTGCCGGTGATTAGTTCACATTGGACACACCCGATGACGTTCCTAGAGAAGCTGAAGAATACCTTTATGAACGTGTTCTTTAAGGTGTGGTTCCACTACGAGGTACACGAGAAAGAGAGGGAGATGCTGGAGAAACATTACGGTAGGAAAGTGCCATTGGATCAGCTGTCGAAAAATTTCACTTTGTTGATGGTGAACACTTTTCATCCCTTGAACGGGGTGCGACCGTCTGTGCCAGGTTTAATCGAAGTAGGGGGAATGCACCTCGACAACTCCAGGCAACACATTCCGCATGTAAGTGTCACGTGATTAGCAAATTTTCGGTTTAGCATTTTCTCGTAAACAGTTCCTCAAAGTTTTTGTGACATTTTTTTGTGATTGGGCAATAATCATTATTCTTCGGTTTTTATATTAAAATGGTATTATGATTATTTCTGATTACCATTAACTTAATTTTCAAATATTTAGCGTATTGGTGAAGAGACGCGTACTAATAATTCATTTAACATAAGTCAAGTTCACGGCCTGTTTTAACGACGTGTTTTATTGCTGACCGTCAAAGTTTAATGCAACATTACGGGAAGACATTATTTATTGAACACTAAGTAATTACATATTTTCTAGGCATTTAACTGGTATACTCAAATTTAAAACCTCTTAGATATATAGATAGAATCTTGTTATTTAATTCTTTTATTCAAACGAAATACATTTTATAATTAATCACGATTTTTTTTAATGTGGTCAATTACGTAAACTTTATCTGTGACATTTTGAAGATACATCGATCTTCTATTATTTTTTTGTTGGACACCATTAAAATATCCGGTCTTACATGTTATTGCCATGTAGGTTTTATAAAGTAGTAGAAATAAAAATTTAAATAATATATTTTTACATTCATAATATGACATAAACATGTTTTATTTAAAGCGCGACATATTAAACTATCTTTTTATTTATTTGACCTACTACTCTACTATAACTATTTTGAGATTTAAAACGACAAAAGTGTTTTATTTAACTTTGGCTTTGATTGATTTTACTTATATAGTAAAGGTAATATCTTAAAATCATATATCTCGCTTGCAGACCGTCTACATAATTTAGTTTAAATCGATTCACTTTGAAGATTTGGAACACGCAAACATAACACAAAATATATTTATTTTTAAATAATTAGCACAAAACAAATATCGTAAACATTAAAAATTAATTAGGGCTAAGCCGCAAACTGTTTAGGCGCTTGCGCAGGTAATCGATACGTAATGCTCTATTAACCTAATTCACTAAATGCATTAATGGATTTGTTTGTTCATCCGAAATATCAAATTAAATGTGTTTTGTTTCGACACGTCTAGCTTAGCACTACTGTATTTTATATGCATTTACTATTTAAGTAATTTTAATTACATGATTATACTTGAAACAAAAAATCTGTTTACTACACATTTAAATGGTAGTAAATCAATCTAAAATCGATTCTTAATATATATAATATCAACATGTGAAAGTATTTAAGTTATAATATACCGCCGAATATATGCCGCGATACTTAAATAATTATGTGGTATGTAATAAAAAATAGGTCATATATAGGATATGGGGAAGTGGCAAAACAATTCAGAAATGCATTGATATCAAGTGAATATAGCATTGAATTATTAACTTGTAATAAAGTAGGTTATTCTTGAGCAGAGCTGACCTCCGACTTATCTCTAATCTATTTGATATCAAGCTCAGTGATATGTTATAGTAAACATACTGTAATTTCCTTAGCAAAGTTGACGATTTTTTAAAATATTCTAGAATTCAATTTATTGTAAAGAATCTGTTAATAGCAATTACAATAGTTATGAAACTGTGCAAAATATAACAGTAATGTTATTGATGATACGGTAGCTCAATTAGATGCAAGTTTATATTTTATAGCCGTGTCGTATTAAAAAAATCTTAAATCGATTTTTAATTTATATAGTGCCTTCATGTGCAAAAACATGTGAAAAATATTGAAGTTTTCAAACAATCTTATTATCCTATATTATCTTTCTATGTTATTTTTTATAATACTAATTAAACTCAAAATAATAAAAAAAGTATTTGTCGGTTTGCCTTTCGATTGCCAATCCAATTACATAAATGGACATACATTTTTGTACTTAATATTATTGGCCCCAATGTTTGTGTTCGGCGATTGTAAATCTCAATCTTGTCAAAATTTCACAGAATTTCGATTATGTATATGCTGTTATGTAACTGTCCTATAATGTGATAAAGGTTTTTTATTAAATTGCCTTTAATAATCTTTTTACTTTTGTGTAGTTTCTGAATGATTCTTTTGTAAAGAGTATCTTTCTTCTGTTTCAATTATTGTACTGAAATAACTTAATTTCTTTTTCAACTACATAAGACACTACCTAGTGATGATGGTCGAAGTCGTCTAGAGGTCAATTCTATAAAAGTGCCATTAGATCAATTGATCAATAATTCCCCGCATAGCCCACTTACATGTTGTTCTTTTAATGCACATTTTTAACACAAACCACCTCCACAGATTAATGAATCACGAGAGGTCCTGGGTTCTGGGTCGGATGGGGCAATCATATCTGATCAACTATTTGCCTGTTAATAAAATCGATCAGTGTAACGGCCAGAAACTTTCCAATGATAGCAATGTAAGGCTATTAATAAACGGGGTTTGGGTTGAAATCGGACCAAGTCTTATCAAAAAAATTCTGAAACATGATCGACCAATTCAAATTGGTCGAACCACCATAATAATTAATATGGAAATGACGTGTGCGTCACGAACATATGAAAAATAAGTCTGTGGATTTCGAAATTCCCTTGGACAAAGCTGAAATAACACGACAGCGCATTTTATTGAGATTCTACGTATATGGCGAGGGTATTTGACTTTCTATGAAGTGAGTATGGAACTCTTGCTTGTCCGATCTGCTGTCAAAGAAGTACATATTTATATACAACGTTTTCACTGAATTCAAGAACTAGTACAAACGCATAATATTTTATATCTAATCTAATTATGTTCAAATTACGAAATAGTTTTAACACATTTTCTTTGTGTCGTTCTAAAATTTATTGTCGAGAACAATGCGCTATAAGCAGTATGATTAACTATCTTTCACAAATAGTATGGCTACTTTGTAAATGTTGCGTACACATACTAATAATCACGTATTGTAAATTGCGCCTCGTATAAATCTAATTACCAATCAATGAGGAAATGGAAGAAATAAATTAACAAATCCCTAACCTACATACATGTGAAATATTTAATTAAACAAATAGTTTATTGTTTTGTTTGTATATTATTATTTTATTTGTTTTTATGGTAGAGGAGGACATTGAAGCACGGGGTTTATTTTATGTAAGCTGAAATACTCCAATAAGATGCTGTGGGCCTATTTTGACTTTACACATTTGGTATTCCACAGATTGAAAACGAAACGCGATTAACTTTACAGTTTTTTCATCTGTGGATGGTGGTTTATGACGGATGGAATCTCGATTATTTAATATCCAGATTGCCAAACGAAGCGCAACATGTTTCAGATGAAAATATAAGTTGATTAAAAACATGTTGGACGTGTTAGGGGATCGAATCCACGATCCATTATTATCCACACTTGGCTGCCATTACATTAGCGAACCCGTCGACGAGAACGTCGTCTCCGTCGGTAACAAAAAGTGTTTATAAATATTTATAATGAACAATGCAAGAATAATTATCATATAAATTGGAACAAAAAATCTATGTATGTTGATCGTCTAAGCAAGCGAAGAAACATACTAATAAGACATCATTATTTTATTATCATCATTATTTAAATAAAACACTTTAACGGTTTAAAACGCGATATATTGCTTAAACGTATTTGAAAATTATTTTTAACTTCGGCCCGTGACCAAGGCAGCTGCAAAGCATCCGAAACGTCGGGTCGTAGTTAAAAATAATGTTCAAACAAGTTTAAGTAAAATATATCGCCTTTTAAACCGTTAAAGTGTTTTATTTAAATGTGTGCTACTCGCGTAAACTACAGACAATATAGAAATATTGTACCTTAATACTATAGTGAGAAGATGACCACTTTTGCGTTGTAGACCTTTTCCAAATCCTTGGGGTCAATGACTGCTTTTAATCATTTGCCAGCGACTCAACAGCCCGCAGTCTTATGTTTCTTTTTTCTGCGCAAAAAACAGCAAGCTCCATCAACGTTCATAGCTTAGAATACTTTTATCAATTTAAATAATACTTTATTTTTCAATTATTTATCGTACAAACATTTATTTTTGAAGTAAAATATTTATTAAGCAATGGCGGTGACAGAATTGTCAACGAAATAATCAACGATGATTTGTTTACCTAAACAAGCTAAGCTTAAGTGTTGTGTTGAATTAATAAGTGCATACATTAAAATTTATTTATGACTTTTGCGCAGTATTTTATTAAAAACCCATTTTAAATGTCAATATACCATCATACAATATAAAGTAATGCGTAAATATATTTTTTGGGTCAAAGTGTTACTTGTTGCTGATATTGATAAAACAAATGTTAAATATGACGTCATCGTGCTACATCTATCACCCAGTACCAGTATTTTTATCTTTTACTTACTACTGCGTCAGGTTTCGTTTGGGGCTACGAAATTATGCAAAGATGCAACAACTAATTCTCCCTGTTTCGTATTTTTTTTAAAGAGTGTGTTTTTTTATTTTCTATCACTTTTTGGTGATTCCTGATTATTTTGTTTCCAGCATTGTTAAAAGTGAAATTTAAATATTTATAATTAAGCGGTATAACAGTATTTATTTAAATAAAACACTTTTAACGTTTGCAGCATCCGCGGTCACGGGGAAACTAGGGAGAAGTTCTCTTCTCGGACCACGGATGCCTCAAAGCATCCGAAACGTCGGGCCTTGGTTAAAATTAATTGTAAATAAGTTAACTAATACCTTTCGGGTTTTAAACCGGTTAAAGTGTTTTGTTAATTCGAACCCTAACAGTTAAGTCGATCTCAAGAAGCTGTGTCGTCATTAGACAATACTATGTTTTCGGGTATTTTAAAAACTTGATTTTGGGTTTTAAAATATTTTTAATAATGGGTAATAAGGTACCTTTAATTTTTTTTATTGTAACCGCATTTTTATATAATTTAATTATTTTCAGTATATCGAACGATTCCTCAACGAGTCCGAACATGGCGTGGTGATCTTCAGCTTCGGTTCCCTTATCAAGACAGCAACGATACCCAAATATAAGGAGGAGATAATTACTAGCGCTCTATCCAAGTTGAAGCAAAGAGTGATATGGAAGTATGAAGATAGTGCTGAAGAAGGAACCCTTACGGGAAATATATTGAGAGTGAGATGGCTGCCACAGTACGAGCTATTACGTAAGTTTTTAACGATAAAAGATGACAGACAAGCAATTCGGAAATCCACAGACTGAAGCGCGATTAAACTTCCCGGCCCTTTCCCCCCGGGGGGGGGGGGGGGGGCCCCCCGGGAAAAAACCCCACCCCCCCCCCCCCCCCCAACCCCCAATTTTAAAAAAAACCACAAGTTAGATATCTCTAATACCCCCCCCCCTCAGAGGGGTAAAGATGGATTTACATTTCACCTGACTGACGTGTTGCGATGACTAGTGTTTACATTTATTTATGCCACTAGCCCAAGACGTCGCGTCCCGTCGTTCTTGGAAGTTAATATATAAAGATAGATATATATACTGTTGCAGTATTCACACTTATTGGTCACAGCGTAATGTTATCTGGCCTAAAGCCTTCCTCCATAAATGAACTACTTATCTAAAAAAAAAAAATTAAACCAGTGGTTCCCAAGATTAGTGCGTTCAAACAAACAAACTATTTAGCTTTATTGTATTAGTATAGGTGTTATGGTGCGTCGTTATATTATATGATAGAGGAAATGCTTGTTTGTAAAGATATAAAGGACTTTCTATTGTACACTTAGAGGTTTGATAAGATAATACAGCCTTAGGTTTTAATTTTGTAATTTACCTAATCTTAGGTCAACTTGTTGAATTAATCCTTTATCCTTATCGGATGTGGGAAGGAAATCTGTATATTTTTATTAAGGAAAAGCAAACCGTAATACAAAGAAAAAAAACATTAGTTAGTGACCGACCATAACTAACTTAATTCAAGTTAATAACTTAAAAACTCCTATCTTTGGCTTTGTTCGTTTTGCAATAAAAAGTATTTTAGAAAACATCGCACTAATACGCAAAACGTACTGCTTTACCTGCTGTTGAACATAGGAAGATACAAGTCATATTAAAATAAGATTAACTATTATATATAGGCGTTTTAAATCAATAAATTACTACCACCTGCGTCCCATAGATGCGTAGTTATAGATTGGATATTTATATGCTCATATAATATTTCTATTATTTACCTTTACAGAGTGGAAGTTCTTAAGAATAATTTACGCTTGTCCATTCTTATAATTAACGGTTAATTTACTCCGTACACAGCAATAACACAATTACTATAATTCTTACGTGGTTATATACAAGAATGATTAATCGAATGTTACAACAGAAGACGCATGTGTGATATTCTTCTAGAAGTCTGTATGCTAGTGAAAATCGTGTAAATGTTAGCAACAATTTTTATTTATCTTTATTTATTACTATATCTAGCAGCGAATTCGTCCACGTAGAATAGTTATTTTGGGCAACCAAAGTCGTTTTTGCCAACCCCTGTAACGTCCCTTCCCGTGTCCAGGTGTCAAGACCATGTGTCTATCTTTTAGGATTAAAATTTGTTTTGTGGTTTTTCCAGTAGTTCCTTTTAGGAGGGAGATTATTCGCAACAATTTTTTGGGTAGCTTAACGGTATTTGGAACGTACGTTCGATAAACAAACAATTCTCCAAATTTTTAATCGTTCTAATTTTTTAGACATAAACAACGTTTTATATGTATACTAATATAATAAATTAATTAAATTTTTTTTTAAATTTATAAGGAGGTTGACTACTATAAAACATCTGTGTCGCAGTGACTAATAGAAGCAAATTTACAATAACATTTGTATGCGCACATTAACAATTCTTCGCGATCGAAGTCGCTGACGCAGCTAGTGATATTATATACCTTTGCAAATATAAACATTAATCCCAACTTGATCTCGTAAGATATGCAAGGAAAATCATATACAATCTGTAAGTATCAAGAATACCTATATTACGATATAATTCTTGTGAAATAGTCTTGCGCATGTATAGCCACAGAATCGTGTTCTCACAAGGAAATTATAATATAAGCTTCCCATAATTTTCACAGAAATAACGTCTCAGTATCATTTTAATTACAATTTCTACGCAACGTGTATATCTAAACACGGTCGTGTGCAGACGCAATGCACTTATTAAGAATGTATTTACAAGTGTTTTTACTTACAAAGTAGGTATATTAGAATATTACTTAGTTGTTTGGTACTTGTCTAGTCAGTCTTCCATAAAGAAGTCCATGCTCTCCATGACCACGGCTGTTGCAAACCATCCGAAGCAGTTAAAATCATTTTAGGGCCGTAATTACAATAATTTTCAAATAAGTTAAACTAATATGTATCGCATTTTAAACCGTTAGAGTGTTTTATTTTAGAAGTCCGTGCTGTCATAACAGCGTTCTGTTTTCCAACGGATTCTATGGTTTTTTTTTGTTCTCGCCTAATCGACGAGCATCACTAATTCTTGTTCGTGATAATTCCTACAATTTTGTCTATTGCATGACTTAGTTTCGCAATGGGCGAAGTAGCTTATAACTCTTTGATAGAAAATATTTCTAGCGAAATTCTAAAGACGTAGGTTGCAAGTTCGAACAGATACTCCCTCAGGCAAATTAAAAAAAACACTAAATAAAAATTTAATTACATTGAAATAATATAGGACACTGTCGGGACTTGAACTGGTATCTACAGTGTTCCGCGCTACTACTCTAACCAATTGAGCTAACGTATCCTACAAGTCATTGACGAATTGAATTAAATTTTTACAATCTATTGGTAGATGCACCTCTCACGCACTGTAACTTCAATGTCTTGGCATCTTAAAACAGTACACGTTTGAAAACTTTACATATCATCTATTTAGATTGATAGATACCTTAAGATATATAATTTGTACAATGCCATCATTAATATGTGAAAATTTTTACTCCTAACAAGCAACAAAACAAAGTCAAAGATCTTTCGTCCTATAGAATTCGTTGCGATGCAAAATTTTAATTGATGTAGGAATATTTCTACTTGTCATAGACTACAAAATATTTATTTTCACGTCCGCTATAAAATTATTGTCCTGAGAGATCCACCCGCGTAACGCACTTCCTAGTACTAATACGGAAAATATACAAAACAACGGACCCACATAGTCACTTAATATCTGTCGTTCGACGTTGAATAGCAATGAATGAAGAGGGAAAACAATAAACTACTTTGTCAACGCGGTTAAACAAGGTCCTTCCATAAAAGAACTTATTTAAATAAAGATGGCTTTTAACAACTGCCTGAAGGTTGACGTAATGTATTGTAAAAGTATGTGGGAAATGACTGCTTAAAATTCCAAAAATTTACGTGAGATCAAAATTAATGGTTTCTTGGGAGGTTTGCTATAAATTTTTGGCTGCTTTCGTTTTTCAACGCATTGCCTTGCCTTTCTTTGCGAAAGATTTTAGATTTGAACCCGGTGAAAAACAGATCGCATCTTTTCTTAAAGAATATAATATTTATTTATTATAAAATAGTATTGAAAATAACCAGCCATAATTTTTTAACACGTCTTATACTGTCTGCGGTTTACACGAGTAGTACACATTTAAATAAAAAAAATTAACGGTTTAAAACGCAAAATATATTAGTTAAACTTAATTAAAAAGCAAGGCCGTAGTTAAAGTATTTTTTTTAATATGTCATTAAGTTTTATTCCAAATTCAATTATACAGCCAGCATCCACTTACTTTTCTTAATCCGAAACCCTTAATTTTCCAGGGCATAAAAAGGTGGTGGCCTTCTTAGCACACGGAGGTCTCCTTGGTATGACTGAAGCTGTCTCCGCTGGTAAGCCTATGGTTGTGGTGCCGTTCTTCGGAGACCAGCCCTCGAATGGCGCGGCGGCTGAAGCGGCTGGGTTGGCGAAGGTTGTCTCTTACAGCGATCTGACTGAAGACTCTCTGAGTGCCGCGCTAGAGAAAGTCCTTAGTGCAGAGTAAGTACACACTTAAAGGGGAGAGGATTTTCATATGTCGCATCTTCTTTTAGACATAAAAACAAGAGTCTGGGTGCCAACTCAGCGCGAGGTAAATTACTATTTTTGTAGTTTTTAAACAATAATTTAAAAAGTTAAATAAAACACTTTTAACAGTTTAAACCGCGAAATATATTCGTAAAGGCTACTTTAAAGCGACCGTGACGTCAGGCCGTTGGTGAAAAATAATTAACCCAACGTACTACTGAGCTATTATTTGGGCTATTTTTATAATAGCTCATATATGAGATAGGGGTTCATTTGATGGTAGGTGAAATACCCCAGCCATATAACATCTAAACAAGATGCGCTGTCGGCCTATTTTGGGTTTGGAAATTCAGAAACGAACAGCCTGAAACCGAAACGCGATTAAACTTCATCTGTGGATGGTGATTTGTTCGTTCGTAATACTTGACATGTAAATCTATATAATTTAAAAATCGAAAATAAATTGAAAAACTTTTCGACTCGGGCAGGACTTGAACCGGCATCGTCAGCTTTCCGTGCTGTTGCTCTACCAATTGAGCTACCGAGTCCTACACCTCATCGTCGAATTTTTTCAACCTATTGATACATGCACCTCTCGCGCAGTGTAATTTCAACCTTAACACTTGCGTACTAAGGTTCAATGTCTTCCATGTGCAATAACATGAGAAAAATATTAATGTTTTCAAATGTAAATCTATGACAACTTTTTCTATTCGATTATACCAGCGTGAAATGTTCACACTTTATTTTTGTATTGAGGGCACTTAGTTCAAGGACCGAAATGTTTTTAAACGATAGGTAATAAATTATAGAAATGCTAATGAACATTAAATATGTTGATAATTCATTTTCTTATCAATTCATATAACTTTGCCCTGTTTGTCCTGAGTACAATATATACTGGGTACAATATATTTCATATCTTCATACAAGAAGAAAGATTATACTATGCACTGTCCCTTTGCTTTGCTTGCTAGGAATGAATTTCCACCTTTTAGTATCTACAAATCGATGTCTATGACTGTTTTGGTTTGTCTATTATAGTCCATATTGTCTGCTATATTACCAGGCCATTAAATATTATTAAAAAAAATTTTTTTTTTTTTTCGTAAGTATATCTTTAGGGAAATAATATAATATTAAAGGAAAGATTAACATGCTTTATTTCGGAATCGAAATCAAAACTTCATTTAAGATGTCAAATAATGAATAATCAAATACCTTATAAAAATAATCAGGCAAAGTACCATACCATGGATTTTTATATAACTTTAACAGTTTAAATTAAATATATTATATGTAGTACTTATTTGAAGATTACTTTAACAACGGCCGAACGTTTCGCGTATTAAACCGTTACTATTTAAATAAAACACTTTAAAGGTTTAAAACGCGATATATTCGTTAATCGCGTTTTAAACTGTTAAAGTGTTTTATTTAAATGTGTACTGTTTGCGTAAGCTACAGACAGCACTTAATGCCATTAAATTTTAGTATACTCATATTTCTTCATCTCTTCAATATTGTGTTAAATATTATAAATGACTTAGTTAATAAACGAAACGCAGAACGAAATAGCTTATTAGAATGCACAAAATTATAATAATTGAATAAACAAAAATATATTATAAACCTGAGAATGATACAACACTCGTCAATGTTACATATTGTTATTAATATGGATCATTTTACATCTATTAACACGTGTTATTCAAAGATAAATCATACTTAGATTATGCGTTGACTACGAGAACCATCTACATTCTAGATTCTAGACGAGAGAGTTCTAATTTAGTTGGGCATAGAAGTCTTGCGTTCGATTCCCCGTTATTTAATCAATTGTTTGAAGAAAAACCAGTAATGGGATTATAGAAATGTGTCCGGATTTATTACATGCTTCGCTACTCGCAAGTTATATATCGCGTTTTAAACCGTTAAAGTGCTTTATTTAAAATAAAGACACGCTTCGTTTAAATTGACAATAATAAAGAACTATCTAATACAGCTCTAACTTGTGTATGCTTTTTTATGTGTTCAAGTAAATACCATAATCCTCGTAACAATGCACGATTTCTTCCTGGAGGTTTGCTAATCATTATTGGAGATTCTCAATCTGACATTAAGAGATTAATAGAAAAAACTTTTAAACATAAGTGATTTTGGTTCCATTTTCAAAATACCTCAAATAGTCATTGACATTAAAACATACATTTGACGCTGTCAATTATTGTCATGGATTTGACAAACATTGATAACCGGGCGTACCAACATTGCCCGTACTATAGTTTAGTCATTGATACAAGGTTTTTGGCACCTTCGATATTCATCGATTACTACATATTACGTTTGTAATCATGGATTGTGGTAGATGCACGAAGAAATTAAGTATGGGGTAAAGTGCAACTCATGCTTACATGGTTGCATTTTACTGTGCTGAATTGTCCGAACAGGATTTTAAGAAAATTTTACCGATGAAAAAATAAATGGAAGTGTCTGAATGCAATCTAAAAAGAAAACTATTCCATCGAAACAGTTTCACCCGATATACGCGTCCTTAAATATTGAACGGAGGTTAACAAAGTAATGGATTAAAACGCTTAATGCAACATGGCCATGACAAAATACTATTTCGGAGGTATCCGAATTCGGAGACATAAATGCCTTGGAAAGTCGAATGAGTGCATGGGAGGATAATTAGCTCAAGTAGAATCGGCGGAAACCACGCTTCCGCCATTTTATCACCTACAATTCTGGAAGAAAATGCCGTACTCCGTAAAGAGTTAAACTTTCTCAATTCGACACCCGTCAAACTTCTCAATTGCAACCTTGAGGTTCAAAATGTGCCTGAAAGAAAAGGTGAAAATTCACAATCCCTAACTTGGCAAGATCTTAAATGTCGACTAAAGGATTACGACTAAAAAATGTTCATCGAGTTGCCCCCGGAATACCGACGACTAAAAATATTATACTGCAATTGGCGACTCGCAGGAAACGTGACGATCTATTGCAGAGCTCGTGTGCGGGGTTCCTTAACGGTTGGTCAACTACTCAGTGGATCTGCAACTGTTTCGGATGTAGATGATAATAGTCGGTTTTTTGTTAATGAGCACTTAACTTGAAAAAAAAATCTTATTTAGTAAAACCGCCAGCTGGCCAAAGATAAGGGTTACAAATATGTATGGGTTAAGAATTGTGTATTTTTCAGAAAGTCTACGAGAGTAGGGTTACCCAAATGCGTTCTCTAGACGATTTAGCCAAATTATCTTGACTAAATTATTACCCTGTGGTTGGATACCCTATAAATTCCAGGAATATTTTGCTTGCCCTTCATTGGTATTTAGTTTTAAGTTTTGAATTGATTTTAGTTTTTAATGTTAATACGTTTTCTTTTTCTACTAAGTTATTTTACACGTTGTTTGCATACTTTTTGATTGCAGTACAGAGCGCGATACTGGTTTTACTCTTTTCGATTCTTGCTTTTTACTTTATAGTGTCTGACTATGGATAATGGCTCAAAATACACCATTATTACAGAATTGTGGAGGCATAAAGAGTAAACTAACGACAAAATTTACATTCCTAGTATTACGATATTGTTCTGGTAGAGACTTGGTTGGTAGATTCTATTTTGGACGAGAGCTACACTAATGATTATTTCGGCGTGATAAGATCTCGTACGTACTCAAAAAAGGTGGTGAGGTTCTAGTAATGATAAAAAGAGATTGGAGCAGTTAGGATGACTGAATTTGAATCTTCTGATCTGGAAGAATATACTTCACTTCCCCACTCTACTTTACTTAGCGCTTGTTACTTTCCACCGGCACTACTACTACATTTCAATCTTTTTTCTAACCTACATGTCTTCTCTTCTTCGCGCTTTTCCAACATGTAATTACTGGTGACTTATTTTCCAACTTATCTGGTCTTCTACCCCTACTCTTACTACAATCTGTAATACTGAATCTCAAACTTGCTGATACTATGTCTTTTATGGATTTAAAACAAATTAATTCTATTTATAACTCTAATCGCGACTTTAGATCTTGTTCTTCTAACTCCTACCTGTATAGATAGCTCAGTTGACCCGCTCCTTAACATAGTACCTCATCATCCAGCTTTAGATATTTTATTAACAATTAATAAGCCATCCGTTATGTCATCAAATAGTATTAATCGGAGAAACTTTTTAACTGATTATGATTAATTAATAAGGCCATAGAAGAGATCGATTGGGTTTCTTTACTTGCCAACTCACTGTTGAAGATGCTGTTGCAATTTTTTTATTCTAGATTTATAATTTATTGCTACTACGTCCACTAATCAAACGTAAGTACATCGATATCCTGTCTGGTTTAGTAAAGGTCTAATAAGTGCGTTAAATCGAAAGCAAAAACTTTGGAATCGTTGGAAGACATACAACAATTTACGTGACTACCAGGAATTTTCTCTACTTAGAACTCGCGTCAAAAGGCTGATAAAACTTTGCTACAGTCGTTATATGAATAGGATTGAAAAATTATTACACATAAATATTAAATACTTCTGGAAATATACATCAAATTTAAAGGTCAGTAATTCTGGATATCCTCAAATAATGAAATGTGGTAACAATTCATCCGATGATCCTAAAAAGATAGTTGAGATGTTCTCTAATTATTTTCAGTCTGTCATTGTACCTAGATCTGAATCAGGCCAAGAGATTTCATACAACATTGATGAAAGCCTTTCCAGTGACTCACATATCCTCATCAACAATATTAATTTTTCCATAGCCGAAATAGGTAATGAACTCGAACATCTAGTAAAGGCCCTGGTCCTGATACTATAGGTCCTGTCTTTCTAAACGCACATACCAATCATTACGTCTTCCATTATACATAATATTTAATAAATGTTTATCAGAAGGCACCTTTCCTAGTCGCTGGAAGCTTTCCCACATAACACCTATTTTTAAGTCCGGCGCTAAAAATGATGTAGCTAACTATCGTCCGATTTCAATCCTTTCGGCAATTCCAAAGATTCTTGAAACGCTTGTTCATCGGTATATATCTTCTAAACTAAAGCACGTAATAGTTGACCAACAGCACGGTTTTACAACTGGTAAATCTACCCTCACAAATCTACTTGTTTTTACTAACCATATTTACAACGGCTTGGATAGCAAACATCAAATTGACGCGATCTATACAGACTTTCAAAAGGCATTCGACAAGGTCGACCACATAATACTCTTACAGAAACTGTCTTTCAATGGTATTAAAGGAAATCTTCTACGTTGGATAACAGCATACCTGCATAATCGTGCTCAGTCGGTTGTTATAAATGGATTTACTTCTTCACAAGTTTTGGTGACGTCTGGCGTACCCCAGGGCTCAATCCTTGGACCCTTGCTTTTCTCTAATTTATTAATGATATATCGATTGCTTTATAAACAGTAAATACTTGCTCTACGCAATGATCTAAAAATATATAAAACAATACTTTCACCATCTGACGTGTCGCGTGTCCAGGAGGACCGCGGCTGGTAGCATGTAATCGTAATAAACTATCCCTCAATTATAATAAGTGTAACCATGTCATGTTTACTAGAAACAAAAACATAATAACCTCTAAATTCACTCTCGGTAACCATACTCTTCAATCCGTTAGCCTTATTAGAGACCTTGGTATTCTTCTTGACTCTAAACTTATCCAAAGCGTAGACCAAATAGTAAATAAAGCTTACCGTATGCTGGGTTTCATAACACGCGTCACCAGATCATTTAAAAATAAAGCCACTTATATTTATCTCTATAAAATGCTTGTACAGTACATTAGAGTATGCCAGTCCTATTGGATCCTAAAATATACGTACCCAAGTAGAAGCTGTCCAAAAGAAATTCTTGCGAATTCTTAATCATCGTATGAAGGGCGCCAAAACCCACTACAATGATCTACTTAAGGATTATAATCTACATTCTTTAAGTCAAAGGCGTCACCTAATTGATTGTGTTACCTTAAGAAAAATATGTGTATATGAAATTACTTGCTCTGAACTTCTTGAACTTTTGATATTTAATGTACCAGCCAAGCCTTTGCGCACGCACAAACTTTAATCTACCGACTCCTAGGACCAATATAGGGTTCCGTGCACCCCTCCACAGAATGTGTTCTTCGATAGACTCTTTTGAGGATATTGACCTGTATTGCCGCTCCTCGACTGCCTCATTTAAAAATAAATTAAACAATACTTACCTTATTTTAAAACTTGTTTCTAGTTTTCTTTTTTTTTTTTTTTATGTCAATTTGTGTAAAATTAATGTTAAGTGCTCCTAATTTTAATTGTAACTATAATACTGTAATTTTGATGCATATCATTGTTTTTCATGGTCTAGTTGTGTAAGTTATTGTAAAACCTCAAATTTTATCTGTGAAACTATTTAAAGGGAATATCTGTACTCTTATATATATTTAATTCCTTATGATATGACTCTGTGATATTTCTGTTTGTTTCCTGTTTTCTTAAATAAATAAATAAATACTGTTCACATGAACGTAATTTGCTTGTTTGTCACAAATAAACTTTATCTAATCGTTTCTATTCGCGTTCATTGCATAGTTTACAAACTTTTCAACACAATATTAGGTATGACCATTTTTTTCTAAAGAAACTTAATCGATTTTTAAGCACCCAACAACGTAAAGCAATAAACAACGTTTTATTGTTGACGATTTTTATTTGCATACAAATGAGTTTAGAAAACTCATTTAAACATTTTGAGTCATTTTCGGGTGGTGACTCGTAAATAAGTACATTCTGTTATACGCAATCCTTTCTTATTACTGAATTTTCATTTCGACCACGGTTGCTTGGAAGAGATAGCTATTTAGCTATAAAGTCGCCATTTGTCCTTAATTTTCATCAATTTTTAATTTTTTTTAATTCTTTTGTTTTGTGACAATAAAGAATATTTGTATTTGTGTATTCTAGACACTTCTCGGCGGGATTTCTGGCGCAATAAAAGCATTGTATGGCTACTAACCAACGCGTCACAGGTTGCTTTCCTACCAGTTCCATAATGTGTCTAAATTCATTCTTAAACATGTTCCATATTATCTGGAAGCTCTGGACTACACCAGATATAATATCTGCTATATCGTAACTCCGATATGGTCAAAAACCACAGTTAACAAATCAAAAATGTAAACTCCAGTAACTGCTACATCGTGTTTCGATATTATAGAACCAGAGCATTACAGATTTTTTTCAGTCAATTACCAGAAATCCGACTTACGCTTGTATCAGTTGGATGGTTATAAAAACCTTAAAATTCATCTGTATGGTTCCATTTTTCATGTTTATAACCAATTCCTTCCCAATCACAGGATATACAATCTATTAATAACAATAAATCTCTTTATTTGGCCTTCAGTTAGTACAATAATAATACGAAAAATAAATAATATTTAAAGATTGAATTTAATTTGAAGAAAGTTGGCCCCAAAAGCGTCTTGCGTCAGCATAAGTTACAGCATAACATTAATTTTGTAACAAAACCTTTATTCGTCTGTGAGACAGCGATCATACATCCATTTGATATTAATTAAGCATTTGAGCAATCTATGGACCGTAATACAGGTGTAGGATTCTTCTAAGATGCAACATGTTATCATTATGTCATATTGTTTAAACATTTACAAGCTCTTGGCTAGACTTTTGGGCTCGTCGCCAAAATCTATAGAACTGACAATATCAGAACTAATATAATTAGCTGGTCCCTGTCATGAGTCAATAGTTATGACATACTCACAAATATATTTAACGATCTGATATAGGAACACGTCTTAAAAATAAACCCAATTTATTCTACGAAATCTACAAAGACTTTTACAGTTTTTTTCCAAATTTCCCACTCTTATTGGTTGCATGCAAGCGTAAGCGCAAGGAAGGAACACAAAAATAATTGATCAATTCCTGAGATTAGCGCGTTCAAACAAACAAACTCTTCAGCTTGATAATATTAGTATAGATAAACACAAATATCAAAACAGTTTATTACCAACGCTAAAATGGAACTATCTCTTTCAGAATGCGTCTGCAGGCGCGACAGCTATCGAAAATCTGGAACGACAGACAGAACCCGCCCCTGGATACCGCTGTCTACTGGGTAGAGCGCGTGATACGCTGGGGTCCAGCAGCCAAGCTTCATTCACCAGCTAGGGACATGCCATTCTACCAAGTGGCGTTACTTGATGTTGCAGCAGCTTACATAGCACTGGTGCTAACTATGATAGCATTGATGTGGTTCACCATTTCCAGGATATCAAGGCTCTTCATCAGGGAAGGGAAACAGAAGATACATTAGCTTGCTTGGTGATTGCAATTAGATAAGCACTTCGATGCATTTTGAAAAAGTGTATTAGAAATTAATATAGGGTTTAATAGGATTTTCTTCTTAAGTGTGTACTAAATAATTCTTCTACTTAGACTATGCGACCTACTCATGTGAAAATTAAGGTACACTTGGAAAAAATCCTTGTTTTTACGTATTTTTTAAGTGGTAACAATTCATGAGTAAATGCGCATGAAGGTGTTCGCCAGCATTAATTTTAAAACAAAAATTCTGTGTACTAACAGTGAAGAATTGGACGGGATCTTTGGTCCAATAATATAGCATTGACGTGGGTTAGATTCCCACCAAATCCAACAGGTTATAAGAAATCAATTAGTATTTATTTTTCCCATTGGTCTTTAAAAGGAGGTGGTAGGAACACCTAAATTCCGCCCAGGTCCAATTAAGTAAAACTTTAAAAAGAGTGAAAAATGTAAATCTATGCTTTGGTTCTAAAGCCACAATAGATCTAGAAAGCATCTCGTTAAAATGTCAAATAGCTGGAGTATTTGACCTTCCATCAATTAAACCGTATATCTGTTTGTCCTCTATCATTAAAAGACAATAAATAAGAATTTAACATAAGGTGTTTTTTGTACAAAAAAGTTTCAAGACACCAAAATACCGCCTTTATTTATTGCTTACATTGTATTTACCTTTCATAATTGATCTTGCCTTAACCTGTAATCTGCACTAATAAATAACGACAATTTTTATTAAAATCAAATTACTGCTTTAATACAACGCTAGTTGTGGTAGTTATTCTATAGTACTTTAAAAATAACGACTTTTACGTAGACAAATGTAACGTATCAGAATGTGTTTTCCGTACACGCATTCAGAGGAGGCGTCGATGTTTTATTCAGATAATTAACAATAAAATATAAACAATAATTGTAATTGTGTATTTGTTTTAAAATAGCGAAAATGTGATTTACTCATAGCTAGTGTTATTAGTTTTATAATAAAAAGTGAGAATAGTCTGTTACGAACGCGTTTTATAGAAATGTATTTTCCTATTTACATTTTAGTGTCTTCATTGCTGTTTACAAAAAGCTTATATGTAAAGTGTTCGATTTGTTATTTGTTAAAATAAAAACTACGGTTAAGATAAATATTTGATGTTTTTTTAAATTAAAAATTGTGTATTCTAATATCCCAAAAAAATATTGTAGGTAATAATTGATTATTACGTCAATGCTAATCTCAAAAGGGTTTTTTTGAACTAAATTGTAGAAGTTAACGTCAAGTGAATAGTAATAGTAATACACAGGAATCATCAAAATCTATACTAATATTATAAAGCTGAAGAGTTTGTTTGTTGGAACGTGCTCATCCCAAGGACTACTGGTTCGAATTGAAAACGTTTTCTTTGTGAACAATTCGATTCGTTTCGATTCAGCCGTTCAGTGTCCACTGTTGGACATAGGCCTCCCCCATAGACTTGCAGTACGACCGGTCGTTCGCTAGTTGCATCCAGCGCTTCCCTGCTACCTTGACCAGGTCGTCGGTCCACCTGGTAGGAGGTCGTCCAGGTTTTCGACGTCCGGTACGTGGTCTCCACTCCAGAACCTTGTGAGCAATAGGAGCGAAGAAATAGAGGGAAAAGTGTAAAAAGAGAAAAAATATTGATCTAAAAATATGTATCAAAGAATTATTCTTCTTTATAGAATCTACAAAATGTCTGCGATATTATATGGCGATAGATTGTCTGTCAGGTCAGCTAGTTAGTAGGTCATCAGCTATAAGAAGTATTAAAGAATTTAAAGGGACACAAAATATATTTTGAAGATATAAATTATCTGGGTCTCCGCGGTCAAAATTGATAAATAGTTTAGTAGTGGATACAAACGGTCTACAATAGTTCTCAATATTTTAAATGTAGATTTAAAAAGATATAACTTTGTTAAATATCAAATAGATTTTATTCCTAAAATTAAGTGTACATTTTGAGAATTAATATTTCATGTAAGGTATATAAAAACATAATTATGTTGTTATTTAAAACGTACGTATGTTAATACTTATCTCTACGTAATTAAAGTCAGTAGAATATCGCTTCTTAATTACTATAATAAATTTGTAATTAACATCGGAGCCATAACAAATCAATTTATTCGAAATATATCATCGCCAACACGAAGACTAAGTCTGCGACTACTACGACAGTGTATTTTTTAATAAAACTGTCTATCACTGGTTCTTTCAAAGTCCTATTGCATTGTTTCATTGAGATATACTCCTATAAGAGATTAAAAATACCAGTAAATACTTTATAGAAACTTTCTTTTCCCTACTATGCCAATAAAGGGCTTATATTCAATGGGTCATGGGTTTGATGTCCAACGGATCCATGTTTCTAATCAGTTTATATTTTTCTTAAAGATAGAATTTGTGTGGACATGAAATGAGACCACAGGACGGACCACTACGCATCTTTTTACGGTGTCGTATGACTAGGATATTACATCTTCCATCAATGAAATCCGTCGTCCATCTATGCCATAAAAATTCACACTTCTAATAAATATAATTTTTATAAATATACTTAAGCAGCAACAACATTTTATATGAAACATGTCACTCGACGAATAATTACTTTGTTATCACATGTTGCCCTGTGAATTTTAATTACTAACTATAGTTGTTTTATATCGACGTTTCACAATTTTTTACAATGTAATGACAGTTTTTTCTTTTCAATAAGTAATGTATTCTACTTTTCTAGTGTTTATTTTTTTGGTTAAAAAAGCAGGCAAATATTTTACAGTAATTCAACTGACAAGAAACATATTAATATTCTTTTGCTGTCTGTCTTAGTGATGATAATTAGACATTCTTAAATAGATAATGTTTAAGCAAGTGTTCCATGAAGTGTTAATTTAATGAATTTGAATTAGTAACAATAGTTAAAAAAAACAATAGGTTAATGAATACCATTCGTTTGAGCACACAAAGTCGCTATAAGAGTCTACTGAGTTAACATGAAAACCAAATGAATAACGAATTGAAAACATAGTCAATTTACTAAATTAGTACATAACGATAAGCGAACAGGTAGCATCACGAATAAGGTTTTAGTGTTTCACTGGCACTTCTGGAGGAAAGACCATTCTGGCGCCATGCGATTGATCATCCTTCTATTCCTTATAAGCAATGGCTTAAACCTAGTTCTCTCTGCTCGAATACTGGGACTTTTCCCTCATCCTGGAAAGAGTCATCAGATTATTTTTGACCGAGTGATGACGGCGTTACCCGGACGCGGGCACCACGTCACAGTAGCTACATTCTTCCCCCTCCAGAACCCGCCAGACAATTACACACAAGTCAATTTACAAGAGCTGGCGCAGTTGAGGATGGAATCGGTGAGCTCCGCGGACTTTGAATATCCAAGATGGTTCGAGAGAATACCTATTATCGGAAGTATTATCGATCAATACGCACAGCATCAGGTGCTTGGAAACGTAGCCTTAGATATCTGCGAGAAACTCATAAAGTACGCGCCGTTAAAGGAGGTGTTGAAAAAGGAATATGATCTAGTAATTGTGGAGACGTTTTCTAGCGTTTGTATGCACGGGCTCTTGGATGTGTATGAAATAAAGGCACCAGTGGTTGCCCTTGCGAGCTGTTCCCTTTTTCCCGGTGTAGCTAGACGAATGGGTGCTGGCGATAATCCAGCTTATGTGCCCATCGTTTCTTCGTCGTTTTCACAGGAAATGACGTATTTTGAACGTTTAGAAAACACCATTTTACATATTCTTTTCAATGATTTCTACGACAAATTTCATAAAAAGGAGCAAGCTTTGATTGAAAGGGTGTTTAAAAGAGACATAGAGGATATAAATGCCCTTGCGACAAACGTGTCTTTGATTCTTGTAAATACCCACCATGTCTACAGTGGTGTTTATCCTCTTGTGCCTGGTATCGTCGAAATTGGAGGCATTCATGTGACACCGAGTAATCGAAGTTTGCCACCGGTGAGCACTTTACGTCATGCTCAACAGTTTTATTTGTCTATTCCGAAAGCCGAGAATCAGAAAAACGTTTTCTAGGGTGTACTCTAGTTTCCAAAAAATAGTATTTAATCGTAGTTTTATCTTCCAAACGCATATACAAATTAAAAACTTAATAACTATCCATTACAGCATATAGAAAAATTCGTGAATGAAGCTAAAAATGGAGTAATCCTGTTCAGTTTTGGATCGCAGATCAGTTCCACTTCAATCTCGTCTAGGGTACAGCAGCTTCTTATAAAAGTATTTTCTCATCTAAAACAAAGAGTTATTTGGAAGCACTCAACGGCCGCTGAAGATGGGACATTTATTGGTAGGAACATTTTGAGGGTGAAGTGGTTGCCCCAAGTGGAACTATTACGTGAGTTCTATTTTCTATTTGTGCGGTAGTTATATCTCTTTCGAGTTTTAACTTTTGGTGTTAAACGCAGCAAACAAATGTGCCTTTTTTTTGGCAGCACTCATCCATCAATACTTAAAACGTAGGATGATTGACTTCCTTAAACAAATTAGCAATTATTACTTATTTATTTATTGTATATTATTTTTGCGAAAGTAATAGCAATTTTTTCGAATACAAACTTTGCATTCTCTGATACTGAAATTGTTTTGAGAGAAGCGGTCCCCTAAGCTCAACATTATCGTCTTCTCGATGTTTGTTAACGCTGAAACGTCGAGAATCATTCCTTAATCACAATAGAACAACGGTTTAAGAACTTAGCATGTATCTAGCATAATTAAAATTTCAGAGCATCCTAAAGTCTTAGCGTTAGTGGGTCATGGGGGATTACTAGGAATCTACGAAGCAATAGCGTTCGGCAAACCGAGTCTTGCAATTCCTATATTCGCCGACCACAAATTAAATTCCGCAGCGCTTAAAGCGATTGGGGTGGGCGAAGTTCTGCCCATTGTTGACCTGCAGGAGGAGAACCTTAGTAGAGCCTTACAACTCGTGCTAAGTGAAAAGTAAGTAAGCGTGTAGTTGTACATCCGGCATTTAGTAATACAAATGTAGTGTCTGTAGTTTACGCGAGTAGAACACATTTAAATAAAACACTTTAACGGTTTAAAACGCGTAATATATTTGTTAAAATTATTTGAAAATAATTTTAACTACGGTATTGCCGTAGCTCAAATAATTTTAAGTAAAATTTCCCGTTTTAAGTACTTAAAGTGTTTTATTTAAAAGACAAACGTAATCAGGAGATATTATTTTATATTATAACGTAAAGCATTACATATGTGCAAGTATTATATATGAAAAAATACCACGTTGGACTACTGTTTCTTTTTCAATTGGTTGAGTAAGTTCAAGTAAGTTTTTGGGTCAAATCCTACTTGTGTTATCCTATTTTCGAATTATAGATAAAGTTTTATGTAAAAAAGTATATGAAAAGTATTATAAATGTCTTTTTTAATGATAGAGGAGGACAGACTAGCGTGGGGTTCATTTGATGGTAGGTGAAATTCTCCAGACTAAATAAAACACTTTAACGGTTTAAAACGCGATATATTAGTTGGTCACGGGGAGACACGGCTGCTGCAAAGCATCCGAAACGTCGGGCTGAAGTTAAAAATCATTTTCAAATAAGTTTAACTAATATATCGCGTTTTAAACCGTTAAAGTATTTTATTTAAATGTGTACTACTCGCGTAAACTATAGACAGTATTCGCCAAACTATATCACCTAAACAAAATGCGTTGACGACCCATTTTAGTTTAAATAAATTATTTCCAGAATTCGTCAAAGAGCTCGATTAGTAGCGTCAATGTGGAATGACAGAGAAAACCCCCCTATGGACACAGCCTTATTCTGGATAGAGAGAGTGATTAAATGGGGGAACCATACCTCCTTATCTTCAAAAGCGAAAAACCTTTCATTCTATCAATACTCGTTGCTAGATGTTGTGGCATTTCTTATTTTATCTACAACGTTGATTTTAGGAACGTTATTTTATATAACAAAGACAATACTACATGCATTGTTATTTAAACGTGTTGTATTAAAAGAAAAGAAATTCTAAAATTAATTTTAAACTACACTTTTAATAAATTATTTGGGATATTCCTCGAAATAAAACGCGCAAATTCATTTATTAATGCGGTACTTGACCACGTTATGATCTTTATCGCTTTTATTATCATTATTAATTTTGAGAATTTTTATAATATTTTTAATGCAGTCATTCAAATTTTTTATATTGTTATAAAAAAGTCACAGCACGTTGCACGTAGCAATTTAAGGATATTTTTTACCAATAAATCTTCCAAGTTATTTCTAATAAAGTAGATTAAATTAAATAAACTTTAAGATCTATGACTCCTTAGCTGTAGGTTATAAGGATGTTTTAAGAGGGATATATGAGTACCCTAGACGAAATCATTATTTCATTTATAATTAGTCAAATTTAATTTAATATTCGTATTATGAAAGATAAAATAAAGTATTATTTTTGCAGAATGCTGTCGTTAAAACAAATTTGTTACAATTACTTTAAATGTTCTTTTTTCTAAATTCCGGAATCAGGTAATATTTAACCTTCAATTGGCCAACATCCTATGATGTTTATAGTCCAACTAAATGAGTCCTTGATGCAGTGAAATCATAGATACTCTATTAGATAACTTCGCTCCAAGTGTGAAGCAGAAAAACTAGTATGTGTACGCGAGCGAGCCAAACTTTGATTCTTATTTCAAGCGCACGTTAAAAGGTTAGGTCGACGTTCAGTCTCAAATCGAAGCGGGCAAGTGCAACATGCATTTACACACATCGTGTTTCGTAATTCTGCAAGCCGCTTGCATCGTTCAAGCCGCTCGTATCCTGGGACTATTCCCACACCCGGGGAAAAGTCATCAAATGGTCTTCGACCCCCTGCTAAAAAGATTAGCGGAAAGAGGCCACCACTTGACGGTAGCTACATTTTTTCCATTAGAGAATCCCCCGAGCAATTACACAGAAATCAGCCTTCAAAGCCTCGCTGAGCTCAGATTGGAAACGTTCAGCGCTGAAGATTTTGAAAAGCCGAGCTTTCTTATGAGAGTGCCAATTTTAGGTGATACTTTAAGCCAGTACGTGCAACACGATGGCTTAGGAAAGCTGGTTGCTGTAATTTGTGAAAAACTGACGAAGTATCAACCGCTTAATGATGCACTGAAAAATGATTATGACTTGGTAATCGTGGAACGATTTGATAGTGCTTGTGTTCACGGTTTATTGGAGGTGTTCGGTATTACAGCACCAGTTATCGGCATATCGTCGTGTGCTCTAATGCCTGGTGATGCTGCGCTAATGGGAGCTGATGGAAACCCAGCGTATGTACCTATAGTCACATCATCTTTTTCGCATAGAATGCCCTTTCTACAACGCGTTGAAAACTTTATAGCGAGTTTAGTACTTCAGCACAAGTATCAAACAATTAGGTCCAAAGAAAGAGAGATAATTGAAAAGCATTATGGTAGATCGATTACTGATTTGGATAAGCAAATACAGAAAATAGCACTACTATTTGTGAATACGTTTTTCGAGAGCAACGGAGTGTACCCGCTTGTGCCTGGTATTGTTGAAATCGGTGGAATACATATAGATCCTGTACATAGAACTTTGCCGAATGTAAGTCCTTAATGATTTTAAAGCCATATTTTTTATGGTGCTGGGATTATGATCTGCTTTTCAGCCATGTTGACGAAAAGTACTTAATAAAGATCATGATTTTAAAAACCTTATTACAAAGGGATATACCAAAAAAAATATAGATATATATGTAAATAAATAAATAAATACATAATTGGGATCCAATCCCTTTTTGACCAATAATATCATAAAATATTCACCAAATAATATAATAATAATAAACTACTTCATATATTTTAAGTAGTAGCTTTTTCATATCATAAATCTAACAATAATCCAATATTTCCTTGCTTTTGGACTATCTCAATTTATAAAGTAAATAATTACAATAAAGAAATAAATACAATAAAAGTTAAAAACAAATTACCCTTAATAAATTGTGTAAGGCTTTCACGGCCATCGTTCAGCATATATTTCGGGCTGTTCGGCCGACGTGAGCGAGAAGAGGTTGAGATATGCCAAATTACCATTGTTTCTCAATAGAAGATTTTTTTTTGTAAACATTTGAGAAATAAATAACTTTAAACGGTAAAGCTTTAGAGTATTTTTACATTTTTTATTAATTTTAAGTTAATTTTTGTGAGTAGTTTAAATTATAAACATATTATTAATTTCCAGTATATCAAGAGATTTATAACAGAATCAGAACATGGGGTAATTTTATTCAGCTTTGGATCACAATTGAGTTCAACTTCCATATCAAAGGAAAAACAGGAGATGTTCATTAATGCCTTCTCTAAATTGAAAGAACGAGTACTTTGGAAGTTTGCAGATAGCGATCCTGAAGGAACTTTTGTTGGGAGCAACATTTTGCGTGTCAAATGGATACCGCAAAATGATTTATTACGTAAGATCTTTCTTCTTTCTCGAAAACTCTTCAAGTTTTATTGCCTTTTTTGCACTACAAGTCATACTAATATTTATAATAATCTAAGAATAAACTTATTCTAATTTGTTGTATATTCCATCATTTTACAAGTCTTGGTCAATCATGCATCTAAAATTCTTCTCTGCCATTCTCATCGATTCTCACTGTACTTGTACGAGTATTTAATTTCCTTTTAATGAAAGAAACATACTCATTTATTAAAGACTTTACATAACTTAATCTAGCTCTCTTTTTTTAGAACACCCAAAAGTCAAAGCTTTTATATGCCACGGTGGTATGCTGGGCTCGCTAGAAGCTGTATCTGCTGGAAAACCAATGATTATTATACCAATTTTTGCTGATCAAAAACTGAATGCAGCTGCTTTGAAGGCCTCAAGTGATGCTGAAGTTTTATCGTTAGCAGATCTGAAAGAGGAAGAATTAGATAAGGCCTTACAAAATGTTTTAAGTGAAAGGTTGGTATTGACTGTTCGATATACTAAATATTGATATTTAGTTTAGTTCATTGTAAGGGCTGTCAACTGATGTTAAATGTAATATTGAATTAGAACTATATAATAGAAGAAAGAGGGATTCACAAAAGTATATTAAAAAATAAAATAAGTCCTGTTTTCCCTACAGTCCGTAGTTATAAAAAGAGGGGCTGTTTTCCGCCCTGTATGTAACTAATTGCCACGAAATTTTGTGTTTACCCTGGAATTGAACACCTCTAGCGTTTAACGTAAACCGAATGAACAACGATTGTATTTGGGTACAGTAACCCAGTCATAACTCATATAACACCAAAATAAGAGGCGCGATCGACGTATTTAGCTTTCGATATTTGGAATTCCACAGACTGAAACAAAACGATTAAACTAGACGGCTTTTTGATATGTGGATGGTGGTTTGCATAATCTATAATAATTTGCATAGTCCAGCAATTGTCGATGTTTATTAATTTTGTTATTGTGTGCAAAAAAAAATTTAGGTAGGTACGTTAACGTTACAATTATGTCACAAATAACAATAACAGACATTACATATTTATATCTCGCCATTTTCGCAAGCTCTTGTATTTCCTTATTGTTTCTTAATTACTTTGTTAAGTAGCTTAATGCGTTGGCAACCCTATATTACCTGACCATGCACAGTCTAGTTTTTGTTGCCATATATCTATTACCAATTATATTCGATATCTTTATAATCTTATCAAGGTTAAAATTAGATAATACACGTTTTAAAATGTAAGGCTAACTATTACATTGTACTCAGGTCATACATGGTCATTACTTCGCGACTAAAAAGTCCAACGAAGTTAAACCGGTGTTATAAATAAAACTTTCCGCAAACTATAAATAGATTTCTTCCGTTTTTTCTCAGTAACCTCTGAGATTCGTGGAGATAACTTTAATTTAAATACGTAGACTTTAAATGTTGTTATTTTATCTTTGGTTTCTATAAAACTTACTTCATAAATATAGAACGAGTATATAGCAATGTAGGTAATATCTAATATTTGAGAACTCCAAAGGCAAATAAAATTGAATATTAGTTCGAAAAATAATGTGCTCTTGTACAAAATAAGCCTTTTTGTGACGACGAAATAAATTGTTCCTTCGTTCCCTGATATTAGAATGCAAAACCTCAATGCCTAGAAATAGCGTCTCAATAACTAATTATGAATATGGCGATGTCTACAAAGTAATACTGGTGGTGCTTAAACTTTTTGTTGGTTCCAGGACACGTATAAAAGCGGAACTTGTGTCAGCCATGTGGCACGATCGACCGGCTTCTCCTCTGGAGACAGCAGTATTTTGGACAGAACGAGTCATTAGATGGACAAACCAGTCGTCACTCTATTCTGAAGCCAGAAACCTAACCTTCTATCAGTATTCTTTATTAGACGTCGTCGCTTTCATTGTATTATCTTTCATCTTATTAATTTTAATATTACTGTATTTAATTAAACATTTATGTAAATTAATACTGAATTCTGTATCCTACAGTCCAGTTAAAGAAAAATTACATTAATAAACTTTAAAGGTACCTACACATTGTTTTCTTAATTGCTAATTAATTAATAATGACTCTCATTTCGCATTGACAATGACAAATTCATAAATAATAACAATGTAGCCTCGTGAAAATAAATAAGGATAACTCATTTCCATTTTATTCAGTCTTGCAAGGAAAGCGGCACTATGCACTTTAAAGTGATAAAATGTTTGTTACTCCTGACGATTTTCAAGAGTGTGGAATCCGCACGAATTTTGGGGCTATTTCAATTTCCATCTAAAAGCCACCAGGCGATGTTCAATCACATTATGAAAACGCTAGCGGAACGCGGTCACCACATCACTGCGGCGACTTTCTTCCCCATGGACAACAAACCAGAAAATTACACAGAGATAAACCTTCAAAGCCTCGCGCCTCTAAAATTGGAAACCGTGGACATAAGTACCTATGAATTTCCCAGATGGTACACACAAATACCAGTTATCGGAAGATCTATAGATCAATACGACCAATTTCTTACTTTAGGAAAATCTTCGCTGTCGACTTGTGAGAAACTCATAAGTTACAAGCCACTTTTAAACGCAATGAAAGAGGAGTACGATGTTGTTATCTTTGAAACGTTAAATGAGGGATGCGTGTTGTCACTTCTGGCTGCATTTGAAGTCAAAGCTCCTTTAGTAGGCATTAGTACAACAATCTTCTTACCTAAAGATACTATAAGAATGGGAGCTGACAATAACCCCGCTTACGTCCCTGTTCTCACATCTTCGTTTACACATAGAATGTCCTTCTTGGAGCGTTTAGAAAATTTTCTTATATACCTGATTGCTAAAGCGCATAACCAGAACATTTGGAATCAAGAAAGAGCAATGGTTGAAGAACGATTTGGTAAAACGATTCTAAGTGTTGAAGATATAGATGTCGCGGTGACTCTGGTTAATACTTTTCCCGATTTGAATGGTGTTAATCCAGGTGTACCTGGAATAATTGAGATTGGAGGTCTACATATACAAGGTGGCAATAAGAAACTACCTGGAGTAAGTACTAATTCATATTTTAATGACAACTACTATAAGTACGTCTATTTGACTGAATTACAATTTCATAGTTAATTTTGTACCGTATTGTCTCTATTTTTAGCGAAAGGAAATAACTAAATAAATCCTCGCAGGTATTAAAAATGCACTCGAAATGGCGGGTCGTAATTAAAAGTGAACGACTCGTGATTTATTTTACTTTTTAATTATTCTTTGTTTGTGAAGTTTTATGCATTGCTCGTCACTAATTAACCTATCCATTCTTTTCAAGTTTATTCAGAAGTTCCTTGACGAAGCAGATGATGGTGTTGTGATATTTAGTTTCGGGTCCCAAATAAATTCGACATCACTCTCGGAACGGAAGCAGGAAATGTTTCTTAACGCTTTCGGCAAATTGAAACAAAGAGTTCTTTGGAAGTATACAGACAGTGCAGAAGCGGGGACGTATATAAGGAAAAACGTTTTACAGGTGAAATGGCTACCACAGGCTGAACTTATAAGTAAGTGCCTATAATTATACGAACTAATTATAGAGATACAGTTTTATCTAATGTATGCATAGAATCAATTTACTTTTGTGTGGTCGCTGGGGCCATTTTGATTTTAATTTTAACTTTTCCTATATTCTAAGATCTATTATTAGTTAAGACACATCGCAAAGCTATAATATAAAGTCATATTTAAATTAAGTCAGATCATGTAGTTCATGACGAAGACTACAAGATATATATCACATTATTTTATAAAATAATACACTAAAGTACCGTTCATAATACGGTTTAGATAACGATTTTAAAGACGTATGTAGTTAATACAATAGTTATAATCAATTCAAAATCAAAAAAACAAACAAAAAAAAAATTATTGATATGAACCACTATATGTTTACACTACTACAAACTATTATTCAATTTGAAGTTTGTAGGCAATGTATATTATCCTGTAACAGGACTTCATCTCGAAAATATAGATATTAGAAAAAGATGGCAGAAATATTGAAATTCCGTCCATGTCATGCCAACTATCACAAATGGAAATTTTTTTAAAGTTGAATCGCCTTTCGGTTGCCGTCTGTGGATTTATGAATGTCCAAATGCAAAATAGGTAGACAGCGCATAGCAGTGGCATTTACCTTCCATCAAGAGAACCCCAAGCTTGTTTATATCGACTTTTTCTATGTTTTTTTAGAACATCCCAAAGTAAAAGCGATGATTTACCACGGAGGTATGCTGGGCCTGACGGAAGCCATATCAGCAGGGAAGCCTTTAATCATCGTACCGATATTTGTGGATCAAAGGGTTAATGCCGCAACGATCAAAGCAGCAGGGATCGGAGAGATGCTATCGCTTCCAGATGTCCAAGAAGAAGATATCGATGCTGCTTTGCAGAGTGTTTTAAGTGAGAAGTGAGTATGACAAGCAATTATTTCATATATATTAAATAATAGCAGTGTTTACGACATCGTCCGAGTAGAATAGTTATAATGGGCATAAAAATTAATTTTTGACATCCTCTTTTATCTCCGATATTTTCTAGATATTTACAGACTATCCATTTTTCATAATATTTTTTGGGTATATTGAAGTTTTCGTACCGTTCGCAAGGAACCCCACTAGGAGCATAATTTTCCCCGTTTTTTTTTCACATTTCTCGCTGCTTCATCGCTCCTGTAAAGTGCATCGCAATGTTTTATAGCCTAAATATAGCCTTCTTCCATAAATGCTCTAATCAACACAAACATATTTTTTCAATTCGTACCAGTAGTTCCACTGCACGCGCTAGTACAAACAAACAAACAAACTCTTTAGCTTTATTATTACTATCTATACTAATATTAGTATCTGAAGAGTTTGTTAAGTTTAGTATAGGTTTAATAAAAATTGATTTAATAGTATTAGAATTATCTTTTATTACAAATGCAAAAGCGTTGAATATTATACGCCTACAAAGATATTTTGGCAATTAACTTTTAGTTATAAGTCTCAGATTCGAATTCCGCTGTAAAATTAAATTCTAGATCCGGCAGGGCATAGAAGTATGATCAACAACTCACACTATAATCGATGAGTGAGACAGACTTATTAGTCTGTTTTTCCATACTGAGGATTTCTTAATGTAGTTAGAAAATTTAAAAATACTGAATAATTAATGAATCAACTGAGGCAATAAATAGCTTTTGTTCTATTTTAGACATAGATTTTTAATATCTTTTATTGAGGCACCTTTAGTTGTAGTTTAATAGATGAAAAAAATTGCCTTCCTCTCACAAGTTACATGGTCGATAAATACTCATTAAAAAGTTAAAGCATCACATTCTTCTCATACTTTACATTTTTATTCGATTATTATAAAGTTTTTACTCAATAGGTATGTTTATTTTACCTTCAGTTTTTTTTTATTTATTTATTTAATATTTACATTTTTATTTTAAAGGGCATACTGGGAACTGGTAATTCCAAAGCGATTGCATTAGTTTTAATTTTATAGCGGTATTTGTGCATATTACAATTTAATTGTCTGTATAAATTATTAAATTGAAACAATAGTATAAAAAAGGGGTTTTGAGACATTTTTACGTCATGGGGCAACGTCATTTGAATGCAGATGAATTAATGCAAAGAGCTGTAATGATGCTGCGAGCGGGAAGAAATCAATCTCAGGTATTTTGGCCAGCGTACAACAATCACGAAAAAGTGCAAAGAAAAAAAAAACTCCATTGAGGAAAATATGTTTCGTTAGATAATAAAATATTTGTTAGTAATTTTAAAACCTTGTTAGTACCTGGAAAAACGTACTTAGCCTTCATAAATGGCCATTCAATTACGATAATAATAGCGCGGCTCTGTGTTCGCACCTCGCGTTTATACACATAATTTCTTTTTAAATTCCATTGTTGTTTTTTATAAATATTTGTAAGATATCGATAGTTGATTGTGAGAATCTTTTTGCTTAAAACATTATCTTCACTTGCACTTTTGTTTTGCTTCTTTACCAATTTACTTGGATTCGAGTCCCATCGGTGTCATAGATCTTTCCCAATCCTGAATTAATTGTTTATGTACTAGCGTAGTCCGCAATAATGTCAAGTAGTTTGATTCAACCTTCTTACGATTATCTGTATTGTACAATTAATTGATTTTGTATGCCTACGACTTCAGGTCTCGATATAAATATCCAAACTCAAAATTCATAGGTTGATAGAGCATAGACATTTTACCTTATACCAAGTGTACTCCATGCCTTTTTTGTCCTTCTTTATTCAATAAAAAGGATTCTGAATTTAAATTGAGGAAACAAAAACGATTAGAAAATTCTCGTAAAAGTGGTGTGAAAATGTTACAGTGTTTTCAGATAATTGTTTTTGCGGTTTTACTTAAGTACAGGTTTAATTAGCTTGCGTTAAGTTTAAGTTAACAAAACCTCACTACTTTCCGAATATCCTGCCGATAGATGTATCGCAATTATAGAATCTAATTTATATACATTCAAGGAGATTTTATACCACAAAGTATCTACGCCTTTTATGTTGAACTAAGCCATGATGTTCTTTGAATGTTTCAGGACGAGAGAAAAAGCACGTTTGTTATCAGCGATGTGGCACGATAGACAAAACTCTCCTTTAAACACTACAATATTCTGGATAGAGAGAGTAATCAGATGGGGAAATAAATCGACTCTCTATTCAGCAGCTAAGCACCTCTCCTTTTACCAACATGCCCTGATCGATGTCTTGCTCTTTATTACTTTGTGTTTATCTGTTATATCCGCCTTGATATATTACATAGCAATTAAGATATATAGATTCGTTTATAGAAGCAATTATTTTATATTTAAAGTTAAAATGTCGTAGTGCTTTCAGCAGAAAAATCAGTTCACGATTTTTACAAAACTTTTGTTGTAACTGTGAAAAGTTCCATCCTTATCTATTTCGAATGGCAAGTTCTCTTTTCTGATAGGAACACCTAAGGACTGAAACTCTTAAATACTGTCTATAGTTTACGCGAGTGGTACACATTTAAATAAAACACCTTTAACGGGTTTAAAACGCGATATATTAGTTAAACTTATTTGAAAATTATTTTATAACTTCGGCCCGACGTTTCGGATGCTTTGCAGCAGCCGTGGTCACGGGGAGACAAACACGGTGCAAAGATCCGAAACGTCGGGCCGAAGTTAAAAATAATTTTCAAAAAAGTTTAACCAAATTTTCCCCTCCCCCCCCCCTTTCAAACCGTTAAAGTGTTTTATTTAACTGAAACTCCTTTCCGATTGTCTGTTTACTCAATGTTTAAAAGGGCTTTTATTAGCGTGAGTTATCACTTAAATCTGCGTCCGCCCCACCAGGTGGATAGTTGGAAATAGGAATATCATTGTTTTTCGGGCGGACGCGGAGCGAGCAAACAACATCATCAGGAGATGCTCCTCGATTGCTCGAATAATTAAATCGAGAAGCTAACAACATCCCGAAACGTCGAGAACCTCTTCTCACTTAGGTCGGCCGAACAGCCCGAAAAACAATGATATGCTGAACGATGGCCGTGAAAGCCTTACACAATTTATTAGGAATTAAATTAATTTTAAAAGGTGTTTGATAGAAAGTTAAGAGATTAGTTAAAAATAAGCCTAGCTCTAGTCTTTCCGGAGGTTTCCTGGAACGGACAAACGAATACAAATAATTAATGTGTATTTTGTTTTATGAATAGATCGTTTTCTAATACATAAAACCTTAGATTGTATTAACATAACGAGTAAAGAATATAGTTTATAATGTTTAATGAATTGCAAAAGATTACGTGATTATAATCCATGTTTAATAACTAAACAAGAGGTAAATAATGTGAAATACTAACATATTATGTATGCTATAATTTCAAAACAATAAGCAAAAATGTATATATTTTTTTCTTATCGCAAGTTAAAAAGAAACGTTAAATACTTTCTATAGTTTACGCGAGTAGTACACATTTAAATAAAACACTTTAACGGTTTAAAACGCGATATATTAGTTAAACTTATTTGAAAATGATTTTTAACCGTTTCCCCGTGACCACGGCTGCTGCAAAGCATCCGAAACGTCGGGCCGAAGTTAACAATCATTTTCAAATAAGTTTAACTAATATATCGCGTTTTAAACCGTTAAAGTGTTTTATTTAAAAGAAACGTCAATGTTAATATAATATATAGCTCGTATTAAGCCGCTGCATATATATATAAGTGAATTAAATATAATATACTTACTTAGATCAAAAAGTAACATATATATTTTTTGGTTTATATTCCACTTCCAAGATTCAGGTCTTCTTTGAAGTCCAAACCTTCCCTGGGACCCGAATTCGTGATGGCAGACGAAAAGTGACGATTTTTTGCTACGCAAAAGAAGAGTCGGTAACGATGTCAGTTCAAAAAAAATGTTCCCTTATCGAAGAGCGCAAAGACGAGCGACCTGGAATCAAACTTCCGATCTTACCAAAAGAATATCGATCGACCACTTTACTGATAGTTCTTAATTCTGTTCTTTCAAAATAGTATTAAAAATGTAATCATTATTATTCCGACTACCCAAAGCCGAAATAGGTCAACAGCGTTCCCTGTTTATGTCATATGGTTGAGGTTACTTCCTTCCATCAAGTGAACTTTGTAATATCTTAAAGAAACATTACACAAGGCTAAAAGATTGTAAATCAAATTGTTAAGTTAAAAATAATCTATCTAGTTCCTTATACTCAAGGTCTTGCGATAAAGCGGTAGAAATGAAACATAGTTTTGTACTGTACAAAATGTTTTAATGTTCTAATATAAATAATAACAATAATTAAGTATTACGTATTAATTATAATTTTAAAAATAAATGTTAAAGTAAAAGTAAATTCCATTAATAAATGTATAACTGCCTGAATGTGTTGTCACTTTGTTATCAAATAATTAGACCATTTAATTGGTCATTACCGTTTTATAATACGATAATAGAAAGAAAATTGAAGTATTGGACAGGAGTGGTGTGAAAAACCGTATTTTAATAAAGATAAATTTCATTAAAAACGTTAGTGAAAGTCTGGAATATTTATCCTGTTACAAGACGAAAAGTATCCTTCACTGAACAAGGAAAGAAAATCAATTCAGTTACAAAACATTTAAGACAACTTTGTGTTTTTACTTACGATATTCATCTTTGTGCTATGTTCCCATAAGAGTCCAATAATTATTAATACATAATAATCGATGAATTGTCTATTTAGAAAAGCGACATCCCTCGGTGTAACTTAAAAACGCAATCTACAGCTGACACTTCAAGATTAAGTTTTACTTTCAAGTTGTAATAAAATGATAAAGACAACTGACAAAAGCAAATATTATTTTCCTTACTTAATTAATCAACAATGCCAGTTATACGCGAATGTAAGTTTGCGTAGCAACCCCCAAACAGCTGGACTGATTCCGATGGAATTGTTTATAGTCATTAATAATATAATTATATCATTCAACTGTTTTATATAATTGAAACTGTACTTATCGACACGAATCACTTTAAATAAAACACTTCTAAACAGACTAAACGCGAACTGTATTGGATTTTAGAATTTTTAACTGCAACTTTTTAGTCGATTTACATTTACAACAGGAATAAACACGATTTAGTCTGTTTCAATGTGTTTTGATTTACTTGACATAATTATTGGGAGCTATTTTTTTATGTCCAAGTGAGTTTAACTTACTTATCGTTATAAAAAACGTAGTTTATTTATTAGTTACGTTTATATAAAACACTTTAACGCTTTAAAACGCGATATATATTAGTTAATCCGAATCGTCGGGCCGTAGTTAAAAATAAATTTAACTAATATATATCGCATTTTAAGCCGTTCGTGTTTTTTTACAGACAGTATTTAAACGTAGTTTAAGATAGCCATGCTATTGACGTTATATAATAGTTTTATCTATGCTAATATTACTTTTGTTTCGTACCTAAAAACTTAAAGTACCCACCATCCTCTCCCTCAGTACAATTCAACTATTGTTAAGCAATATTTACAGATTTATTGAACAATTTAAGGCATGTTATTTATTAATAATTATCCATTCAAATACGTGAGGGAGGACCTTTCTTAAGTGCTAAACAGGGAAACATACAGTGACTTATAAATAAAAAACTTTAACAGTTTAAAACGCGATATGTATTAGTTAAATTTATTTGAAAATTACGGCCCGAAGTTTCGGATGCTTTGCAGCAGCCGTGGTCTCGGAGAAACTTTCAAATAAGCGCAACCAATATATTATATCGCGTTTTAAACCGTTAAAGTGTTTTATTTAAACGTGTACAACTCGCGTAAACTACAGACAGTATTAAACTTGCAGTGACATTTTATTTTCAAATGAACACGCATGATTTTGAGGGTTTGAATAATATTTAAAAGCGGGACGAATGATTTGTAAAGTGTGTCCTTAATGCAATAATAAAAATTATCTATCACAATAAGAGGTTTTAATTTGCATAAACTATTATTTATCAATGTCAAAGTTGACTTAAGCCTTAAATCTGCATTTGAAAATTATTTTTATAACACTGCCTGTATTTTGGTTTTATGAAAGATGTTAAGAGCCATCCGAATTAGACTTAGGACGTGTTTAAATAAAACGCGAAGTGTAATGTTAGACTTTACAAAGGACGGGTTTCCCCGTGACCACGTATGCTGCAAATCATTCAAAACGTCGGGTCGTAGTTAAAATAATTTGTATAGTTTAACTAATACATTTCGCGTTGTAAACCGTTAAAAGTCCATTGTATTTACATGTATAGGCTAAAATAGGTTTGTAATTCCAGACATGAGCACTAGTTCTTTTTTTAACATAAAAGAGAAAAATAGCTGGCCTATCAACTCTCAAACACTTGATGCTCCCTCCATACCTGATCTTGCAAAACAAGCTATAAACTTTACAACAAGACAGAATGATCTTGTCCAAAATGCAGTTAAGCAGCACATAATAAACCCAACGCAAATAATATACAAGAACATATTAACACATATTTGTAATTCGCTAGCTATATAATAATTTATGAATTGTAAGACTTACTCATTACGATTTTACAAACATAAAACACAAACAAATATGTCTGCCACAATTTTAAACCCAATTCCAATATTTATTCAACAACAAGTAATAAAAGTAGTTAGTACAAACCAAGTGATGTATAAAAATATATTTACTTATAACTACTGTACAATTACATATTTTAATATTATGGGAATAATTAGTTCAAATATAGGAATTGGGTTGACAAAATAGTTAAGAAACTACTGAAAAAATATGGAAGTCCTAAAATGCAGGGGAAAATAATGTCTCCCTAGATCTTTGTTACCTAGTAGAAAAATTTAATAAAATTTTTATTAACATGAAAATAATTAGATACTGTCTATAGTTTAAGCGAGTAGTACACATTTAAATAAAACACTTTAACGGTTTAAAACGCGATATATTAGTTAAACTTATTTGAAAATGATTTTTAACTTCGGCCCCAGGTTTCAGTCTCCCCGTGACCACGGTTGCTGAAAAGCATCCGAAACGTCGGGCTGAAGTTAAAAATCATTTTCAAATAAGTTTAACTAATATATCGCGTTTTCAACCGTTAAAGTGTTTTATTTAAATGAAAAAAATTACAGTATTTTCATTAGGTCCTTTTTAAGTATGACTAAATTATTGTTTCAGATGGTCAACAAAGTTGACTTAAGTTAATTTCAGAGTCCTAGAAAATAGTTTGTAATAGTAAAAAAAAGGACTTCCATATAAATTTCATATACATTTTGTGTGCAATACAGATTTAGCATTAAAAAAATTATAAATCATACAATGAGTAAGATGTACCAGTAGACACCGTTGTGTACATAATTCTATATATGTATATTGTAACGAGGTTGGAAAATAAAGCTTAAGTCTTTAACTTACCTAAGATGAATACTAAGAATTATCTTTAATATGCATTGAAATGTACATCCTCAAGAAGACTGTTCTTATTGAGAACGACAAGCAAAATTTGTATTAGGAAACATTTTCCATTTCCGGTTCATCTGTTGATAGTGTGTGTGGAGGTGACGAGTGTGCTAGTTGTGAGAAAACCTCCTTTTCCCCGAGGGCTAAAGGATCTGGCTGTGTGGCTGGGGAAGGCACATAGACCATCATTGATGGTGATACCGGTCGTACAACACTGGTACCTGTCGTTTCCTGTTCTTCTAAGAACCTGTCCATATAGTCAGTATGGCCGGGATGCAAATTGTATTTTTTCTTCTCCAACCGTGTCTTGTTTGCAAATATATCATGCCTCTCTGTCTTTTTCCATATATAGTAGAATTGTACTAACTCCCCAACAGATCGAGTTCGTACTTTCTGTTGTCGTATTGAGTGAAAATCTTTACCATGTATTTTTATCCCACTTTCAAAGTTACGACATTCTTCTTCTGACCAGACATTTGCATGCGCTGGGGTTTGGGAAGATATGCGTCTTCTTCTTAAAGCTTCGTCTATATTGTGACCACACTGCTGCAGTAGGAATAATGCCTCTTCATCATCACGCAATTGCTTACCACGAGGTACAGCATCTATACCAGTACTAGAGTTCATTGCACAAATTTTTCTCATATAGTCCTCAATAACTCTCTCATCCAGGATGTTTGGATTCCATAACAGTTTGTCTTCATTTTCATAGGGCAAAGCATCATCATAGCTGCACAAACCCTCTGGTATACCTGCCTGGTAATCACTACCAACCATTATGGTCTTCTTCCAGTCATCTTCATCTGGGCTATAATCATAATCATCTTCTTCTTCAGATGGAGGTCTAGAGCCAGAGCGTAGGCATCTAGTAGCTTCAGGACTTGTGGTCTCAGTGTAAAGCTGCTGTAAAGCAGACTCTGTCTTTTCTGTCTCTTCAGGAACCACCTCTGGTGGTTGTTCAGGTATAGGTTTCTCCATATTTCGATTATAACCGTACAGAGCTAGTAATTCCTCTAAGGGCATATCACCTTCACGTTGGAGGCTGTTAAGTTCCGCCTTAGGGTCCTGTTGCTCACCTGCCGCCAAAGCCTCTTCTTCGTCTAATGTTCTCTCGTCGTCGAAATCATTTACCATCATTTCAACTGTAGGCTCGAAGAGGGATTTGTCGTTCCCCACATCCATACTAGCATCGTGCTCACTTACACTGGTTACCAGCGCGCAATCTGACATGACTAATACCACGGGCTATGGGCAGCAGCGCTCCGAAAACATGACAATGCTCGACGATATTCACCTGGTAATTTATTGCTTGCGATTGTTTAAATAGGCTTCTATCATATTTCTCACATATTAGGCATAATTAAAGGAAAATACGACAAAGAAAAACAAAAATATTTTGATACAGAAACCAACTACAGCCATAAGCCATTACCTAAGTTTGACGTTTGACAAATGGCATTCGGAGTGTAAATTGTCAGTTTGTTATTGCGTAGTTGATACTAAGAACCAAGAAAGCTTATCGAAGTTACATCTATATATTATGGCAATTCATTAAATTAGTATATGAAAACACTCATCTCTTAAAACGTAAATAATACTTCAATCGCAGTAATTCTTACCCATTTTGACAAAAATATTTTTTAGCATGTCATTGATATATAAGAACTGGCAACTAATCGTTAAATCTTTTTTGGTAGATCCTGGCAGCACCACCGTTATCGGCAATAATTGATTTGTCAAACTGCCACTGTCACTTGAGAGTTGTGTTTTATTTTATAATGTTCAGAATAATTACAAGTTATCTTAATTTATTTTATAATTAAAAAGGAATTATAACTATGTCCCGACAATACTTGATGTTTAAGAAATAATTTAGTTACCGTATAAGTGATTAGAGGTTACGATGAAAATTTTATTTAGGACTGTATTTATACTAGTCGTAGCATCGCTTAAATTAGTTTTAAGTTTCTCTGATGTTGGAAAATGGGACCTTCAGCTTGATGGGGTAAGTAATTTAAGTTCAGAGAAGTTGTATTGGCTTTTATAAATATGTACTCATTATCGATTTTCATCAACTTACAGCATTGGTAGAATTTTTATAGTGAGTCATTTCCATTACTGATATCTATGCTATCGCTAAATGGTGAAACGTGATAATGAAATACCGCCTATTTGTTTTCGACGTTAAATTCACGCTTCTTTTTCAGGAGACCTGCAATTTCACACTAGCCAAATCCTTATTTAAGGACTCAAAATTAATTATAGTGTGTAAGTATAGCTTGTTCATTTTAGTAGATTTCTAATCTTAATCTAACATTTCAAATATATTTTTTGTAAATATTTAATAGTGTTATATAGTAATCTTTTAGTAATTTATTGCTTAATTTTCTCTCTCTAATTCTAAAATCTTTTTAATCCTTTTTTCTTCCAATTGGAAAATGTATGGTAAGGTCATTGCCATTGGAAAAAAATACAATGAATAAAAATGATTGAACTATTAAAAAAAAAGGGTAAAATCAATATGAATTATTGGACATATGATGCAGACATTTCTTGGTCCAACTGTGTGTTTCTAAAAGCCTTTTTTTTTTAATCCAAAGATCTTCCTTTTTAATTTGAACTCAAAACTTTTTGTGCTTTAAACTAAGGGCAACTTACCAATTACACAAACAATACAAAATTATTTTTTCAGTACACTGTGAAGTTCCAGCAAACCTCACTGTAGCAAATACCTGGAGACAGACAACATGCTCACCAGATTATTTCCACTTTTTCGAAAAGGTAATTAAGTTGAAAAATTAAATTCATCAATTGTGTATGTTAGTTGCATTGAGGATTTTATCTATATAGGAGCATAGGAGGCACTCAATTTTGTTAAACTGTGTTACAATATTATAATTTAGTTGATTTCTTTGCTGTTACGTTAAAATACCAATATAAGGGAAAAAAAACATTCTGCATGATATTATATGATAGAGTAGTGTGTTAGCTAGGTAATCATTTGTTGAAATACATTACATTCACAAATTAATGATTTATTCTAATCTAACTAAATATAACAACTCCCTGGAATACTTGAAAAGAGAAATAAAATATTGTTGAAATCAACACAAAAAATGTAAAATATTGTAATATAAAGAAAAGTGTTACATTTCAGAGAATTGTAGATTGTTCGAATACATATGACAAGGGGTTGTACCAAAGCAGTCACAGTACTGCCCAGATTTTTAATCTAGTACAAACAATATCATGTGACTCAAAAAATCCAATATTTTTCCACAATGAAAAGGATAAAGGTGCCGGAGATGAGAATACTAAATCGGTAAGTTGTGACTATGCTGAAGGCTCCTAACCTCCCAATATCTGACTCTAACAAAGTGTAGTGGTAAGTGACTCAATGTAACATAAATTATATGCACTCTGTTAAGCACTAGGTGTCCTAGGTTCAAATTCCAGGGAAATAAATAAACCTGTTTGTAAATAAATAAGTTGTTACAGCAGTAATTCAGGTTTTAGTAGTTATAGATGTGTTTATAGCTTAAAACTGCTGATTTTCACATTGAAACATTTTATTATGGGCCAAATGTATATATATTACTTATGTTTACTTACAGCTTACCCCATCTCTCCTGACAATAGACAGAGAAGGAATATATGCATTAACAATGTCTGTGAGGAGTAGTAACAATTACAAAGCGAATGTTCACATTGAAATGGTGGCGCCATCTGGATACTTGTCTGCAGCCATTTGGCCACTATTACCTGTAAGTACTTGGCAAAGAAGAAGAATGGTAGTAAGGAACTTCTTGTTAGTTTTTGGTTTAACATTATCTTTGCAAGAGCAGCATCGCCGCAGTAAGAATTATGCTTATTTGACAATTTTAAGGGCTTGTCTTAAAGTTACGATCAGCATGGTTACAGCACACTGTCTGTAGTTTACGCGAGTAGTACACATTTAAATAAAGCACTAGTGGTTTAAAACGCGATATGTATTAGTTAAACTTACTAGCTGCTGCAAAGCATCCTAAATGTCGGGCTGATTTTAAAAATAATTTTCTTATAAGTTCAACTTAATATATATCGCCTTTTAAACTTGGTTTTATGTGCTTTTAAAGTGGTTTATTAAAAATATGGTTTAATGCCAAAAATACAATTAAAATAAGAATAAAAAATTTATATCATAAAGTGTACCTTATATTGTATGAACAATGATAATAATTTTAATATCTTTCACACGATGGCACTGTATATATATTAAAAATCGATTTTAGATTGAAAAAATTTACGTCACGAACAGACGGCAACCTGAACCGGCATCCATAGCGTTCCGTGCTGGTGTAACCAATAATCGTTTTTCAATTTATAATGATAATAATACCAAATGTTACGTATTTCAGTTCTTTGGTGTTATGTGCGGAGTGTATGCAGTATTATGTGCCGGTTGGCTGATCGTCTGTGGTCTGCAGTGGCGTGATTTACTCCGCATTCAATATTGGATTGGTGGAGTAGCCCTACTCGGCATGGTGGAGAGCGCGACTTATTATGGTGTCTATTCGTCAATTAATAGCACGGGGTGAGGTATTTTTTATATAAAACTTTATTAATTATTGATCTAGTTGTATGTACGTCTAAAAGTCTTCCTGTTATGCAACAAAATATAGATTGTCTTATATTCCTTGTCTCTGGCAATTTTTTTTTTATAATTAAATAATAATTATTATTTATTTACACACATCACAGAATTTCAAATCCTAGATCCATTTTTCTCAACCTGTTAAATACTTTGATTTTTTTTTTAAATAGGGCACAAAAACACTAAACATAGCATAAATTGTTTGAGCCTGTGTCTGTATCCCTGAACTGTGTAGTGAACTGAACAGCCATCTCAGCCTGGTCATAACAAAAGTCCTTGAACATAGAATCCTTGAGCTACTTGCAAGGAAGAAAAGGATACTGTATAGCTGATAATACTTCATATTTCCAAATTGTCTTATTTATAATAGGTATTATAGAGTTACAGTAAAGACTATAATTGTGCATTTTTTTATGTGTTTTAGCCTATTTAGCCCGAACGTGTACATGTTCGCGGAATGGGTGTCGGTTGCTAAGAGGGCGCTTGCGAGAATGCTCGTGATTATCGTCTCGTTGGGTTTCGGCATCGTCAAGTAAGTCTTTTTTTTAGATAGAGGAGGACAGACAAGCACTTGATGGTAGGTGAATGGGATACTCCAGCCTATAGCATTTAAATGTGAAGCGCTAACGACCTATTTAGGCTTTGGATATTCGTATTAGTAAGTCATCAATATTAGATCTATATCGCTACAACTATAGAAGATATTGAAAAATTATTGTCAAAATATTATTATGTTATTTATACTTTTTTGAGTGCCCTTGTAGCTCAATGCTTAAACGTGTTTCCTAGTGTTAAGCGGAGAAGTCCTAGTTTCGAATCCTAGGGTAACAATGTATTGTTTCGATCGGGCAGGGCACAGAAGTCTGAACAACTGCTCATATGTAAATAAAACCGATCAGTCAAATGGGCACAATACTTTTACGTACAGGCCTCGTTTGGGTCCGGCATTGCAGCGAGTGGTGGGCACCGGGGCACTATGGGCCCTCCTAGCTGGGATAGAGGCTTGGTTGAGATTGCACCACAAAGCAGACGATTCCAACCGTGATCTCTTGTTGTCTGAGGCGCCACTTTCACTTCTCGATAGCGCCATCTGTTGGTGGGTGTTCGTATCACTTGCGCACACGATGCGGACACTGCAGCTGAGAAGGTATTTAAGGGCTTCCTAATTGTAAACGACATTTGTGTACACCACTAAAACACAGAATATTTTTGATCATCTAGCTATATAACATTTTTGATAACTTGAAATTTGAAATTTTAAGGCACTATATAAATTATAAAACGATTTTAGATTGAAAAAAATTAACGACACTGGCAGGAGTTGGACCGGTATCGGCGATTTTTTTTAATCTAAAATTGATTTTTAATATACATTGTGCCCTCATGTGAAAAATATTAAAATTATTTTTATGGTGTGAACACTTTTCTAGGAACACAATAAAACTGTCTCTCTACCGTCACTTCACAAATACGCTGATCTTCGCTGTGATTGCTTCGGTCATTTTCATGCTCTACTCGCTCAAGTCGTATAGAATACAGTTCTGCATCACCGTAAGTTATCTTTCAAAGTTAAAACTATATAATATAAAAGAATAGGCATGTAAAGTTTTATAAAAATCGGTTGAGCCGTTTTGTGGGAGTAAGATATAACATGGAGACGAGAATTTATTTATTTTTATATTAAATAATTTTTTGCAATATTTTTTAATGAGTTACTTAATCGTGAGTAAAGACTAAGTACTTTTAACAGGAATGGAAAGAGGTATGGATGGACGAAGCCTACTGGCATATTTTGTTTGCCGGTGTGTTGACTGTGATTATGGTGCTGTGGCGACCGACCAACAACAACCAGCGTTACGCGTTCACGCCGCTTTTGGATAACGCTGAGGATGATGATGGTAGGTCGAATATTAAACTACCCACATAAATATTAGTCTCGGTTTAAATATAAATTCATGATGGTAGTTTGACGATTCAAGAGAGATTTAGACGATAAATGCTTGATTAACACAGACAACATTTCCTCTATTAACGATTTAGTTTTTACTTGGGTTGCTTTAAACATATATTTACTAAACATAAAAGAACAGAATTTTAAACGATAGAACAATTGCATGTTATGCAAATATAACAATAATAAGTTATTTACTTTGAATTTTATGGTTTGATATAGGTACTTGTAATATACTGAATAATAAAAAATATAAATATATATAAAACAAGCTGTGCCCGCGACTTCGTCCGCATGGAATAGTGACTTGGGGTAAATTTTTTATTTAGGCTGTTTATTAATTATGTAAGGTGCATTTATGGCAGCAAATTTATGTTGTAAATGCTACTTGACGCAACACTTTCACCTTACAAATCGCTCTTATTTTCATCTTTAAAACACAAATTCTATAAAAACGGTTTGGCATTAAAAAGAAGCCTATGCCTACTTTCTCAGGCTCTAAAATATCTGTGTACCAAATTTCATTTAAATCAGTTTCGGAGTTAAAGCCGGACAGACAGACAGAGTTACTTTCGAATATATAATATTAAGATTAATTGTAAGCAGTAGACCCAAGTCATGAGTGGATGACTCCAAATCTATACCAGTTACTTTTATTCAGCTAAAAATGTATATTTTACCGAAAAGTATTTCTTAAATACTAAATTTCTATTTTAACAGAGGAAGAAGAACAATTCGTGAACGACGCATATGGCGTGAAAATGAGGGGTACAAGTATAAGCGACCCGGTGGATAACAGGGAACCTCCTGAGCCCAATACCACTTCCCTGGACTCAGACCTGCGATGGGTCGAAGAGAATATACCCACTAGCACCCTTCCTCTACTGGATTCGGACGAAGAAATCATTAACACGAAATTCGAAGTGTCCAAGATGCAATAAGTATTAAATGCGAATGTGACATACTTTTGTTTTATTAAATCTATACTAATATAAAGCCGCTAGGCAAGGTAGTCTAACTGCAATTTTACTTGACTTATCTATAATAGTATATAATGTTAATCTATAAGAACAGAGTGACCAAAAATTGCCAACACAATTCTTACACAAATAATAGTACAAATTTATTTTTGCCTATATTAATTGCGAAATTGTTTTACCCTTCCTATGAAAATCATGTTTTTGTTATTAGGCCACTCTGCCTCTAGCAGCCTCATATATAATTTTCTACCCCTATAATTATTAACATTTCTAAAATTAAAGAAAATGATCTTTCATAATATTTTATTTTTCATATCATAGGATAATTATTATCTTTGGCATACTGAAGTTAACTACAAAATTGCCACAAACATTATTATAAAAATCAGAATAAATAATTAAAAAGTTTTTAAACTAATGTAGAAAATATAATAATTAAAATCCTAACAATATGTTAGTTGAAACTTAAATATTATGTGGTCCAGTGGTTAAAATGCACAATATATGTTTGTGCTAAAAAATATGCAATTATTTACATAGAATACATAATTCCGCTCAAAATCTTACAAGTAACTCTCTATAGGTTTATGCTTATGTTAGTTTGAAAATAAGCTTACAGCCACACTCTAAGTAACTTAATAATAACTAAATTACATTCCCACCATACTATTTCTGTTTTAAGGTATAAATTTATTTATTTCTCTTTTTGGTCTCTCTCTCACGGATAATTATATTTTTAATCATTAATTGTCTCATATACTTTAACAACTGTGAGTGGGGCTGCAAATTGTTTGGTAAAAGATACTTGTCTATATATATGGCCTTAATTGGTATTAAGACCTTAAATGATAATACTGCCCATACTGGTAAGTTAGTTATTTTCATAATAGAAATCATAGTCTTCTGGCTCAGGGGGTATCTGAGGTGGATTTTGTGGAATGTCTATTCCTTCTGCATCAAGTAGACGCACCTTGATGTCCATCGACAGCAATGTCTCCAGATCATTCTCGAATGATTTGCTCGTCATCTTCTCTTTCAGTAACGCATTAATACCATCAGTCCAGTAGTCGAAAATTTGTTCATCTGGTGCTACAAAGTCTAATGATGGTACCTCTGCGGCTTTTAATATCAGTGAAAATGCCAAATGAGGACTACTTATTTTTCCCTTCAAATCTTTCATGTGAGGACAATCTTTACCTACAACCACACATTTGATATCAGCCACAGCCAACTTAGCACTCAATTCCTCTAAACTTGGGGTGCTCTTCTCATCACATTCACCGTAGTGCAAAATTTTATGGTTTGGAGAGAGACGAACAAACCAAAATTTGTCTTTCCTATTGATTTTCATGTACTTTTTAAATCTTGTTCCACCGACTAACACTCCAAGCCGTTGTTGCTGGATTAAATCTATGATTTCTGGAGTGATTTTCTCTTTTAATTCAACAATCGGTTTTGCATGTGACTCCCAAACTTCCCTGTTTGTTCTTTCCTGTTGCCATAGATGAGTGATTTCATTATATGTCAGCTCTTTGACCTTCTGTCGGAATTTATCAAAGCTTTTTGGTGCTGCAGCTAAAGCTCTAGTGATTTGTTCTCTGACAACACTTAGTACTTTAACAAAATCTTCTGTAGTTGCTCTCATCTCCTTCCAAGACTTATTCAGTAGTACAATACAAATGCAAAATAACTCTTCAAAGGGATGGTCGTGGGTGAAAAATAGAGGGTGGTATGTCTGACCCTGTTCACTTGGTGCTTCACCAATGTACAATATTTCACACAATAATTTGACCAACTCAACACTTGTCTTACCAAAAGGACACTCCAATTCATCTGCACGACAGCTGTTTCTTAAAACAATCTTTGTGTAGTCTTCCCTGTAATTCCTTGCAAAATAAAGCATACAATCCAATGCAAGAACACCAGGAGGCGTTTCATTAAAGTCTTTAATAGGATCCAGCTCACACTTAAAACCAAGCTTTTTAAAATCTTTAGACAGACTTCCCGTCTGACGTCTGGTTGTTACTTCAATATTTGTATTGTTATCACTCTCAAATGCAAATTTTCTCAGTTCTTTTATCTTCTCTTGTGATTCTTGTTCTTGTGAGTCAGCTCGTTGGCGCATTCTCGGTTCTAATAAGCCCAATGTTAATGTTTGCAATACATAAAGTTGGTGTGCCAGTTCTGTAACCGAAGTTTCTTTGGAGATATTTTTGGTGATTAAATTTTCATAGATTTTATTTCGCACTTGCTTAGAGCACAATGTTGCAGCTATCGTCTTCCTTTTAGTCATGTCGGCTTTTGAGAAAATAGCATTTATAAGGGCTATTGCATTTTGCTGAATAATCCTATCTGAATTTTCTAAGTGTGAGATTAAACTTGGTATAGTTATCTCTTTCTCAACATGAGAGTTTTTACCAGAGCTATTGAGTACTATGTTTTCAAGAATAGACAAACATGACTGTATGATCTTGGCATCTTGTGTGTTGGCTTGATTACTGACAAAACTTACAACTTTATTGATAAATTGGTTTTCAAGAATGTCCCAGGATATTATGCCATGATCCATGAGCTCAACAAAAGTTACTAAAGCATATTTTAATGCGGCACCTTTGAATTTACCAGTTTCTATGTTACTTATTATCAAAGATAATCCTTTTTTATTGATAAATTCAAGTGCAAATGTTAGGTCACTGCTGACTGCAGATAATTTTATTAACGCCTGTGTTTGTTCCGATTCTGTTCCTGTGTTAATCTTAGACAGTATATCTTGCACTGTCTTTGCGGGGGACTGTTCCAAGCGCAGGACTGAACCGTTCTTAATTTCGTTTCGATTCTTTTCTGTAATGTAATTCTGGTTGTTGCTCTCGGAAAATTGTAGAGCGTAGTTATTGGGATCCGGAAGTCCCCAAGCCTTGCAAAGCAGCTGTATAATACTGGATAAGGGCTGACTCTGATCGAATTCAATCAATTGTGGCACCTTATCAGGCGCGTTCAACATTTCCACCGCAATCTTCAAAATTGTCGAATCTTTCGTCGCTGACGGCATTTTTAATGGTTTCATAGACATTTATTCACCATTTGACAATAAGCTTCCTGAACACGAAGGAAGGATATGGAATTTTAATTTCGTCCCTGATTCGTAACGAAAACACAGGAAAACATTAATCAAATGAAAATAAAACACACATGTCAAATGTCATTGGTACAGTGACAATTGATAGAACATTATCCCTCAATAAATGTATATTTGAAACGAATATATTCGATCCAGCGGCGATAATGGATAATTTAATAAATAATAAAAGTTGAATTAAGAAATTTATTAAACATCGATATCTTGTAACATTTTAACTTGTATCAACATTAATATCTCATTTACTTCCACACAAACTTATTCCACAGACCATATTCTTTTTGGAACTAAGTATTCAACTGCAATTAAATACAATATGGTTTCAAGACACACAATACTAATATAAGCACATCTTCTTAAATAGGGTCACGGTTACTTAGAACGCGATCCGATGTCTTGAGCATATCAATCGTTTAAAAAGTAACTTGATCTTCATGTGCCTGGACAAAATGGAAGTTCCCATTATGCTCCATTTCCCGTAATAGTTACCATTTGAGAAGTAAACGGAATAGGACCAACATTCAAGACGCCTCTTAAAATAATATTAGTCCATTGTACCTTTGTAAAAAAAATAGTTTAAGAAGCATCTTTAAATTATATAAGAATTAGATTTTCGAAAGAGATGTTAAACTTATTGCTATGGTTTTTATTCTTTTTATCTATAAAACAGACTTATTCGTGGCGCTGTGAACGGCGACCCTACGGCGCTTTGACCTCAGCGTCTGCACCAGATGGAAGGTTCAAGTTAGTGGTTGAAGGGACCGAAGATACTTACATCCCAGATCAGCTGTATACGGGTAGGTACCAGACCCACGAGAGTTCTAAACTTTTAAATGTCTTTCTAGTAATTTGTATGTATGAATTGTTTTATATTGGAAACAAGTTAGTTTTATTTTTCCCATGTGAGATTAGGTCATTTTTGTATTTATACAAGTTTTTGTCTAAACCTCACAACACCTTTATAATATGAAACCTTGTTACATAGTGCTTATAACGGAAACTGACGGTGAATCACGTTTTACTGGCTTCATGATATCAGCAGAGGGTGAAGTGAGGCAAGATCCCAAGAACCCACGAAAAATAATAGCGCTATCGCCGGGGGATTTGAGACCGCAAAATTTGATGACGGCAAAGTACAGCGATAGGTGTTTGAATTCGGTCGAACACGCTGTGGGTACGCCGAAGGGAACCGCGGAGGTAAGTTAATTTTTTTTTATATTTATTTATAGCAATTTAAACCGTAACGCCAATAACTGTGCCTCTAACTGTCATAAGAGACTCTATTTTTAGGGGCATCAAATCTCATCTCATCAGGTTTGTTACCATGTTGTGGTTTGAAAACTTAACTTTTCACACGTCATCACATGATGGCATTGTATAAATTAAAAAAGGAGTTCAATTGGTTAAAAGAACAGTACGAAACTCGGTGGCTGCGGTTCAAGTACGTACCTACCGCCCGTGTCGTAAATTTTTCGATCTAAATAGACTTAATTTATACCATGTTGTAGTTATTTTCTATTGTTACTATGATTTTTAATATTTCAATTTGTATCATCTTAGGGAGGCGCAGATCGGAATAAAAACCAGATTTTTTACGCGGTTGGAATCTGTATTGTATATTATAATTAAACATATTTTTATCGGTAGAAAGTCACACTTATTAATAAGATTGTAGGTGTACTGGCAAGCTCCATCATCAGGAAACGGCTGCGTCACACTACGCGCCATGGTGTCTGAGAACAAAGAGACCTGGTACGAAGACGGGTCTCCATTGTCCCTCAAACTCTGCGAAGATATGCGTCAACCGGACGACGTAACGCCACAATTGAACTATGATTGCCAGATTTGTGATGAAGCAAAATATGAGGTAGATATATAAGAGAAATATGTACTTACAGATATAGACCTTAAGCTAGACTTAAATTAGAAATTTAAAGCTTCTAAGCTTAAAAAGAAAAAGAAAGGGAAAGAAAAAGAAAATCATTATATTTTTCACGTGATTTTCATTTTCTCAACAGATAACATTTACGGGTGTGTGGTCAAGAAATACCCACCCGCGTTTTTACCCACAAAACGACTGGACGCCCAGATACAGTGATCTTGTGGGCGCATCACACGCTGCTGACTTCATACTTTGGGCCCCTGGTTCTTTAGCTTCTGAAGGTTTTAAGGACCTCGCTGAATATGCTAATACTTCTCGACTGGAACAAGAAATACGGGAAAAGGTATTGTAGACTTTTAAGACTATATTCTTCAGTCTTCATAGGAAGGTCAGTAAAGACCTTTGGTATTACGTTACTTTCATATCCTTACAATGTAAAAAGGAAGGATATGAAAGTAACGTAAGTTAGATGAAATAATAAAGTTCTTTAAGAATTCTTAGTAGTCCATAGATAATTAATCGAAGTTTTTGACCTTTTTAAACATACATTCTTCTTTATCAGGTAGTAGTTACTTCTTTCACCTTCAACTACATTCTTCTTCTTCAGGTAGGAGATGGAGTGCGTACATTAATAAAGGGCAAAGGTCACGGATACCGAAAAATGAGTAACCCAACGTATTCTTTTATTCGCACGGATAGAGTTAACCATTTGATAACTGCTGCTATTGGTTTGCACCCATCGCCAGACTGGTTCCTCGGAGTCAGCCGCTTCGAGTTATGCCAAGAAGACAATACTTGGTTAGCGGAAAGAGAACTAAATCTCTTTCCGTGGGACGCTGGGACTGATGACGGGGTTTCTTATGAGGTAAATAAACATCTTTTCCATCTTATATTCAAACTTCGTCCACGTGGAATAGTTATTTTGGGCAAAAAATATATATTTGTAAACATCCTCCTCAGCTTTGTAAAATACAGCTTCTTGCGAGTTTGGTAAAAGATAGACATGCCTACCTATACTGTCGCAAAAATATTTTAAGATCATTTAAAGAAGAACCATGCTTCCATACATATTTTTTGGTTTACTGAATGTTCGAAGTACGTCACGGTATTTCGTAAAATTGTATAATTTTCCCCGTTTTTGCCACATTTCCATCTGTTTCTTTGCTAATAGGTATTCGTCGTTGTCTAATGCTTGATAGCTTAAAGCCCTCCTCAATAAATGGTCCAATCATCCCAACACTAAAACATATATTTTTTAATTCGAACCAGTTAATCCTGATATAAATAATCGATCAAATAAACAAACTCTTCAGGTTTTTAATCTTAGTACAGATATTAGAATGGTAGACGTAAGAAAAACATAACAAATGTCTGCCAAACATTTGTTTTTATTGAATGCACGTTTATAGGTTATTAGCCTGTTCAATAAACAAAACATCTAAGATATAAATTTTTTTTCAGTCGGGAAACACACCCACATTCCCCCAAGGCAGCATAACAAGAGTCCAGACTAATTCATACGATCATAACTCGCCCTTTTACGAAATGGACGCGAAAGATCTTCATCCATTTGGGAAGTTACATATAAAATTAATTAAGACGTACCATAGGGCGTGTGAAAGTATTGAGGATAAGGACACCACGGTTGGAAGCACAGGTTTGTTGTACCAGTCTCTACGATTATAATAAATGCCTTTCTTTATAAATAATGTTTATACAAATTATATTACCATCTTAAAACACTTTTAAGTGTTTATTCAGACATTTATAAAGCTTGTTTTTATTCTTCATAGATCATTATATAAATTATGTATTTAAGAACTATAATAAAAATATTAAAAAAACGCATCAAATTTAAAAAAAATAGTCTCGAGCAGGACTTGAACCGGCATCGTCAGCGTTCCGTGCTGTTTGCTCTACCAATTGAGCTACCGAGTCCTTCATGCACCTCTCGCGCAATATAATTTCAACCTTATCACTCAATTTATTTTCGATTTTTAAATTATATACTGCCATCATGTGCAAAAAAAATCGAACTATAATTATAATAAATTAAAACATTGTTTTGTTCGTTTTCCAAACCATCAACTTCTTTATCTCTTCTTTATCACAGATACGACAACAACAGACCAGACTACAACAACTGAAGCAGAAGATGGAATGTCGGAGCCAAACGAGCCATCCAGGTATCAATATGATCTTGCTTCCGAGCACCGAGGGTGAGCCCCTAGTAGTTTTAATTTCTGTATACTCTCCAATTGACGGTGAGAGTAAATACATTGTAACTTTTATAATTGGATGTAACGTTTGATAATTTTAATATTTTTCACATGCTATTGCATATGATAACACTAAATAATTTAAAAATCGAAAATAAATTAAAAAAATGTTCGACTCGGGCAGGACTTGAACCGGCATCTACCGATTGAGCTATTGAGTCCTTGTAGGACTTGGTTGTAGTTAATTGTTAGGACGAACTCTTTCATTCATTAGAGATGAAGATTGGGTTTCCATGGAAGTGGAAATGGACGGAAATGTCGTTTGCATAATTTATTAACTTATGGTGGAAACGGATAAAATGTAACAAATGTTTTTAACTATTAATATGCTAAATGCTGTTAATGTAGTTTACGCGAGTAGTACACATTTAAATAAAACACTTTATTTGGCAAAATATCAACTTCGACGGAACAGTCTCCATCTTTAGTCTCCCACGGCTGCTTTGGCAAAACGTCGAGCCGTGGTTAATATAATTTTCAAATAAGTTTAACTAATATATCGCGTTTTAAACCGTTAAAGTATTTTATTTAAATGTGTACTACTCGCGTAAACTATAGACAGTATTTTATTTCTATGCTTATAAATATATCTTGAATACCTTTAAATGCATTGTACCTAATCATCAGAGTCGTGAAAAAATAATTTTGTTTAAAAACTGCTTGGTATCATCAATCAGTGAAGCGCCGCTAGTAACTGACCCTGAGTCATCTGAAGACTGCCCCATGACGCAATGGTTAGAGTGGACTCCTTGTGACGGTCCATGCGACAACGGAAGAGTCACAGGTTTCCAATGGAGAGAGAGATTCCACCTTGTCGACGGAGTGGCTGTGGAGAAATACGATCCTAATGTACGTTAATGTTCATTTTGCTAGTAGGTATTCAACATTTTCAAATTCGATAAGTCAATGATGAATCCTGTATTCTCCTATGTATGGTATGGTGCAAGCACACTGCTGAGTTTGTATCTATAGACGATTTTATTTCAGGTTTTTCCCTAGTTTTTAATTTAGTTTTTTTTTCGCTTAACAATCTTAACTAAATGTATTTTTAAGAAAAAATACATTAAAAACTATGAAATCAAACTTACACTCAGCTAATCAAATCGCCTATTATAACTTGAACAAAAATTAGAATTATGGGAAGCGAATCTATTTAAGAGAGTCCATATGTACAATCTACCTAGTAAGAAAGAGATCGAAAAGTTTAACATTATTTAAAATAAAAATAATAAGTCATATCTTAAACAATATCCTTAGCCCTTTATGTCAATTGTTAAAATTGTTACGAGTAAATAATACTTTACATACATAATATTATTATTTAGGTGGATCCATCAACTAGGCAAGAAGTGCCAAAATTCTGTAAGAACCATTACGAAGGCTTTGAGAGACGAGAGTGTGAAGACGATTGTGAAGATGACGACAATGAAGTGAAATAAACAAAAGTTAAACAAAGTAGAAGTATTAAGTAATCTTCTTATATATGTAACATTTTATAAGCATAATATTAGCTTTACTAAGACAATAATTGGTACCTAACCATAACATAGTCTGTTTAGCTTTTAAAATATACAATATTGTCTCAATTTTTAGTTTATTTTGATTTATCTCCAAAAAGGTTAACTTCTAAAACCTATTGTGGTGTATTCGTTTAGTTAGTCTGCAAGGACCCGGCCAGTTTCGCCAAATATCAACTTCGACGGAACAGATGGCGCTAGCGTAGCAGTTTTTTTCACTTTGACGTCAGAGACACCCTCCAACTTTAGTATCCGAAACGTGGGCCGTAGTTAAAATAATTCAAATAAGTTTTTCTAATATATATCGCATTTAAACCGTTAAAGTGTTTTATTTAAATGATTTTTAGATCTGTTTCGGATTAGTAGTATACATGCAAAACATTACACTTAAAATTGCAAATACATATTCAACATTCAATGTATAAAATAATTCATTTTATTAACTTTTATATATGGAGATCATTAACTATATTGTTAGTATATGTGTTTATTCTGGAACCATTTATTAATCAAGAGACCACACTAGACACGAGAAATGGCGTTGTGTTATGAAGTATGATTAACACAAATTAAAGCGGATTCAGTTATTACATCAATCGTGGATCATACAGTGCTCTAAATAGACAAGTGTTGACAATGCTTAAAACTGGTGAGTGACTATATTTCTGCTGGTTATTACCCAAAAGCGTTGTTTGGTTTTTAAACATTATATTATTGGTTACACGACACTTTTCGAGTTACCTTTAGTTGTCAAATATAAGCCAAATTAGAACTTGTGTTTCTAGAATTTACATTCTTGTATAAGTTTTTTACGAACAGCTGCTTCTATATAACATAATCAATCTTTTTCGATCGAAAAAAAATCTGGATCAAACATCAACTTATCGTGTGTTCGATCCCCACCGTGGCCAACAACAACACAAATGTTACTTATCGATTTTTTAATTTTTCTGAAATACGTAGGACGCCATCTGCTAATCAGGACCTTCAATGGGCGGCATATCGAAAATCCCGTCCGGGTCACGAACCGCCGTCCACGGATGAAAAATCTGTTAGTTTTATCGCGTTTCCGTTTTGTAGATTTCAAAATATCCATAGGTCGACGACGCATATAGTTTAGGTGTATGTGTATATGGGGTATTTGGGCTTATATCAAGCTTGCCTGTCCTCTCATCATAAAAAAATAATCCATAAATAGACATAAAAAAACAGTAAAACAATAACACAATGGTTAAGCATGGCAGAAGGCATGGCACTACCATGCTCCTGTCCTGCCTTTCTTATATTTTTAACGATCTTTCTTCTTGTATTTAATTTAATTCTTTTCTAATGATAAGTATTTGCTACGCAGGTTTCATCGCTTGTTATATGCTACTCTTTGCATGCCATAAATGTTATGGAGCCGGATTGTGCAACAGAAGACCGCTAGGCACCAAGACGGAGCCACTTCCACCTGATGATCGCTTCAAAATTGACATTCTGGGCATCAACGATGACATGTATATACCACGGCGGCAATACACCGGTAAGTTAAATACTGTCGAATAGTTTATCGGCGAATAGGAGCGAAGGAACAGCGGGAAATGTGGAAAGAAGTAAATAAAGAGATTTATTATTATTATTATTATTAAAAAACAGGGAAAATTCATCTTTGTGGTTTTCCGTTCCGTACGATGCATAAACGGTTCAAGATATCTAAAAAGTATGTATTATGTATGAATTTCTCATTAAATTATCAAAAAATGTCCGCGACACTATTATGTCTATATTTGAGATTCACTTGCAACAACGATGGGACGCGGACACAGGAAGGAGAGGTTTGCAAAACAAATTTTGACGCAAAAATAACTATTCTACGCGGACGAAGTCGCTGACACAGCTACTTATATAATATAAATATTTACTATATTAGTTGCGTTCGAACGCCATTCGCCAACAGCCCTTGGGTCCACCTGGAAACCACTAGGTAAATACTGTCTATAGTTTACGCGAGTAGTACTAAATAAAACACTTTAAGTATAAAACATTTTAAACGGATTTTTAACTTCAGCCCGACGTTTCGGATGCTTTGCAGCAGCTGTGGTCACGGATAGACAAATAAATTTAACTAATATGTCGCGTTTTAAACCGTTAAAATGGTTTTATTTAAACCACTAGGTACTTTTCTGAAGGCACTACCTTTTGTAAAATTAAACCTACTGTTACACTAATTGTACATGTACATTCCTAGTATTATTTTTTTTTAGTTCGTCTCTACGCAACCGACGATATATCGACATTCATAGCTTTCACAATATCCGCCCGCGAAGACACCAGATACAACGAGAAGAATCCAAGAAAACCGATATTGTTGGATGCTGGCGCTATAAAAGTGTCAGCGGACGCGCCGTCTGTACCCAGTCCTATATGTAAGAACTCGGTCATTCAATCAGACATTACACCGAAAAAATCGGTGGAGGTATGTAAAACTGTAGAAAAAATTGTATGTTTGGAAACTTTTATATTTTTCACAAGTGGCAATATATAACACGGGCAGGACAGCTCGTAAGTCCTGCCCCTGTCGTAAATTTAATCAATTTATAATCGATTTTTATAAATTACACCGCTACTGTAGCCAGCTGATTAAACGTGCTGCGTAAGGCGGGAGAGGTTCTGCGTTCAAATTCCAGGGTAATAATAGATTCTTTCGGTGGGGCAGGACACAGGAGTCTGATTAACTTGCATATATAAAGAATCACAGAAATATTTTCGCCCCATAGCTCACGGGAGCGAACGGTTTTTTTATCTTCACGATGCATAGCTTAACAGATTACTCTAAATATTATTTGGGTAGAGCGTAGTTTTTTTAAACCTAAGATAGTTTTTTCTACTATTTATTCTACAAAATTAATCCATTTGTATTTTTCCCCTATAAGTATATTACTGTGTCCTATAGGCTCTTTGGATTGCGCCACCAAAAGACAACCAATGCGTTACGATTTACGCAGTCCTGGCCGTGAAGCAAGATGTGTGGTATAACTTCGATGGACCTCTGTCGAAGAGAGTCTGCGAGGACCGTCGTAACATGGAGGACATGCAACCAGTTGAGAATGATAACTGTCAGGCTTGTGAGGACGCTAGATATTTAGTAAGGTTTTGTTTAACGAGTTTGGTCATGGTTTCCGAATGATAAAATATGCGCTATCGACTTATGTTTGATGTTTTTGAACATTCATTGTACTTTGCTAACATAATATGTTTATAATGTTCACATACACCTAATTATTATATAAATTAATTTTAAATAACGGTATTTTTTGAGTCTGAAAAATAACATAGCATGTCGTATAGACATGCTATGGTGTAAATACTGTCTGTAGTTTACGCGAGTAGTACACATTTAAATAAAACACATTAACGATTTAAAACGACTGCTGCAAAGCATCCGAAACGTCGGGCCGTAGCTAAAAATAATTTTCAAAGTAGTTTAAATAAAATATATCGCGTTTTAAACCGTTTAAGTGTTTCATTTAAATGCAATGATGTACTTAAGCTAATTCCTTTATTTAATAAATTATGTAAAACTACTTACCAGCTAACATTTGATGGCGTCTGGTCTTACAATACACACCCCGGAATGTTTCCAAAGACCCAAGAAATCGCACGGTTCAGTGATGTTGTGGGCGCATCGCACAGTGAGAATTTCAACGTTTATAAGTTTAACTCGGAAGCCAGCGCCGGCTTGAAGATGCTGGCGGAACAGGGCAACACTACAAAATTGGAAATGGAAATACTCTCCGAGGTAAAGGCCGTAATCTTAATCTTAGTAGAATCTTTTAATAAATGCGGTGGGAAATATTTCATACAGCCTCTATTACAAAACATACCGTTTGCCCAGGAAGCTTTCAAATTACACTAAAAGTAATTTTAATTGCAATAAGATAAACATAGAATTGACAAGGTTTAAAATTAAACATAATAGCTTAAATCTTAAGGTATCTCCAACGTTTCTTTAATGTCTGATTAAGTAGAACTATACTCTATATACCTATTTATATTTCTTTCTATCTATAGGTTGAATTAAACGTTTTCTTCCAACAATTATTTGTTCTCAGCTAGGAGCATCAGTTCGCACAGTTATCAAAGCTTCGGGAAGACCGAAGCCCAGTATGGCGACGACTGCCTCTTTTCGAGTGACACGGGAGCACCATAGAGTGTCTCTCGTAACAGCCATACTGCCTTCGCCAGATTGGTTCCTCGGTGTCTCTAACATGGAACTCTGTGATGCCGTGACAGGGACTTGGGCACCAAATTTGACTCTTAATTTGTACCCTTTGGATGCTGGTACGGATAGCGGTGTCACATTTGAGGTACTTACGGCTAGTATTCACAATAAAGTCTGCACAGCGTCACAAAAATTATGGAAATTTAGTTATTTTTAACGTAAAAAAAAATATGTCAATTATAATATTTTTAATTACAATTTTGTGTTTTGTTTAGAAACGCGCGCCAAAAAATCTATTAAATTTATTGAGGACACGGATTTTAGAATGATAAATAGTGTTGCATTATGTATAACATTTTGTTGAGCGCGATAGGTCTTGGGAAAACAATAAATTATTTCGATCGGGCAGGGTACAGAAGTCTGATCAACCACTTGCCTGTGTATTACACCGTTCACTGAAACAGACACAGAAATATGTTTGTCGTGCCCCACGGGGGGCTTTTCACTTAAACTAGAAATATAAGTGAAGGTTAACTTTATTCTTTATTGAAGGCTTCTAACGACGATACAATGCCACCTCAACCCATATCATCAGCTCCAATCAATAAGGAAATACCCAAGGAACAAATAAAGCCGTTCGCCAAATTGAAGTTTGAGCTAACCAGGACTTATCCCACTATGCTGTGTTCTGCGGAAGCATCCTCTGAAACTGCTGTAAAAGGAGGTAAATATACGGACAGGGTGGAAATTAGTCGTCGGAAGTCAGTTTAGTCGTTATATTATTGCACATGATTGCATTATATAACTTAAAAAATATATTTAGATGTTTGTAGTTTACGCGATTAGTAGATATACATTTAAATAAAACACTTCAACGGTTTAAAACGTGAAAAATATTAGTTAAACTTACTTTAACCACGTCTTGCTCATTTTGGCGGTGGTCACGGGGAGACACGACTGCTGCAAAATACCCAAAACGTCGGACCGTAGTTAAAAATAATTTTCAAACACGTTTAACTTATGTATTTCGCGTTTTAAACCGTTAGTGTGTCATTATCCTACATTTATTGAAAAAAATTACGACATGAACCGGCATCCACAGCGTGCTGTGATGCTGCTTTAACAAATGACATAGTAGCTCAATTCTTTAGACCACCAGCACGGAAAGCTTTCATATCAACGCTTGTTCATGTCCCGCCCGTGGCTTAAAATGGTTTCAATCTAAATAGATTTTAAATTTATATTCTTGTTGATATAATCTACGTCTATCATGATTATAATATATAAGTAATAGTCGAGGCTGTAAATCAACAATTTTAGAAGATGACTTCATTGTTTAAAAGTAAATTTATTGGCCTATATTATATTATTAAAATATATTCATGTTTTAGAAGATGACCAAGGCAGTAGAGAAATTGTTCAACCAACAACACCAGCTCCAGTGTAAGTAATAAAATACCAATAAAATAAAATAAACGTGTTAACCGTGTCCGAGAGCAAGTTAATTTTTAAAGAAACTTATACTGATGCAGAAATCAGCAGTATCATCAGAATGAAGCAGCCGTGGTCACGGGGAGACATCAATACTGCCTTCAGTCTCCCCGCGACCATGGCTGCTGCAAAGCAGCCGAAATGTCGGGCCGAAGTTAAAAATCATTTTCAAATAAGTTTAACTAATATATCGTGTTTTAAACCGTTAAAGGGTTTTATTTAAATGTGTACTACTCGCGTAAACTATAGACTATTACATTCATTTTACTATTTCATAAACAATTTGTTTCTTAAACCGTGCAAAAAGAAGAAGAAGTAGAAGTTGCCCCGTTTTTTCCACATTTTTTTAAACATCAACGACCTCTGTCTCTTCGCACCTATTGCTCGCAGCGTAATAATTTGTATCATAAAACTTTCCTCGATAAAAACCAAAAAAGATATTCTTTTAATTCGAACCAGTACTTAGTTCCCGAAAATAACGCGTTCAGACATACAAACAAACTCTTCAGTTTTATAATATTCCTATAAATTAAAGCGGTACTTCTTTCATTATATTTATTTTTCGTGAAGTTTTTTTATGAACATGAAATAATTTATTGTATTCCTATTTTGCAGGGAAGTTTCAATAGCGATAGATCCAGAATCCTCCCCAGATTGTCCTATGACGGAATGGGAAGATTGGCTACCATGTGAGGGTGAATGCATTGATAACAAGTTAGAGGGATTTCAAAGCCGTTTTCGCTATCATTTAGTGGATGGAGTCGCTGTGGGGAAATATATTGAGAACGTACGTTTAATTTGTTGCACATGTGCGCAAATGCAAAGTTAACTTAGGCGAAAATGAATTTGTACTATTTGTTTGTGTAAGAATTATGTTAACAATTTACTGTCACTGCGCTCTAGTAAATTAACATTCTTCCACTAAAAAAATATAAATAACTCAAGTCATAAAATTGCAGTTAGGCTACTCTGCCTCTAGCGGCCTCATATGTCGGTAATTAATTTGTATTCGAAAATATATACTTCCAACAATTTATATTCAGTTGAGTTTTGTTACGAACTCTAGTGCAATGTAAATATTTAACTTTTAGGGCCCTTCCTACGCCGATAAACAGGTTTCGCGTTATTGCCTTGAAAATTACGAGGACAGCGAAATACAGGCCTGTGAAGATACTTGTGACGAAGAAGAAGATGTCAATAGGTATGTGAAATTAGGAAAAAATATCTATTTATAATACAGTACTTAGATATCTAAAGTAAAAACTGTCTATACAATATGATACGTAACCAGTAAATGTTTAACAATATGTAATTATAAATTATATTGTTTTCGCTTGCAGTTGAAGTGGACCTACCCACATACCTACCTACGTTGAAGTATTGAAACAAAAATTGTACCGACTTATTAAAATATATTCTTTTTATTTGAATTAAAATGATATTTTTTTATTTTAACCACGACCCAAAGCATTACCAGAAATGTCTCGCTGAACATAAAATTAATTTATTTTGGACAATTGCTATTGAGTGCTTATAACATTAGCCAACATTGCTTAAGGAAAAAATAATTATCATTGAAGCGTGCTTGGTTAAATGGTTAGATAACAAGCTGTTTGTTATCGTTAGGTTTACACATTTCTGAAACAGAATTTTGTGTTAATCGTATCATATTATTCTTGTACCAGGAGTTCACATAAGAGTTAATGAAAACATTTACTCTTTTTATTTTTGATAACACTTGTCATCTCTTCTGCTTTGTTCTCTCGATGTATATAATATTAAAAATTCCAACATCATGTAGAATGTATATAATGCATATAATAAAATTAAAATATATAAAAAGGTCATCACTTAATTCTGTATGGTTTGAAATCGGCCATTTGTCAAGTTAGAAAAAATATCACTATACTATTAACTCACATAATACACGTAGATATGATACTGGTATCACCAGCAAGTTTACGTCATCATTTGACATTTATAATCTGTTATCGTGCTGTTATCTGTCAGCGGTCTTTGTCATTTGTCGACTTCCTTAAAATTAATTTATTACAACTTTTAATGGGGTGTGCGAAATATAATTGAAAATATTTTTATAATCGTTCATGAATGTTATATTATGCTTCCCAAAGAACCTAAATCTAACCTAAAACGCATTTTAAAAACCACTGCGGGTGTTATATTCGTTGTAGAAGCTGCCGGCGTTGCTTTAACTTACGGTCTTTGGTACAGGCTGAATACGGAAAGAGGTAAGATTAACATACATTTCACATTTAAAGGTCCCATATCTTACAGACATTTAATGTTATTTTGGCCATAGCTATTTTAATTCGCACATATTTTATCCGGATGTAAAGTCACCTACTTGACTTGTTAATTGTGTCATTTGATTACACACACCTTATGTTTTAAAAAGTGGAGAAATTTCTATTCAAAATCACATTATCTTGTGCCCATTTCAGATTTTCGTTTGTATATGCACAAAAATTACAGTTGGGTATTGGAGGGATACTATTCATTGGGTGAAAAGGTTGGTGGGTTGAGAACTAGGGAGGTGGACAAGAAGATTTGGGAAAACGAGGGAAAAATTTAACTGGTGAGATGAGTATAGCTGCTAAGTCCCTGTTCTGGATTGTCTCCATTGGCACAGTCAGTTTTGGCCTCTTCACATTTTTCAAACCTAATGATGAATTACTTAAGCAGGTCATTATTTTTAAATCTTTCATTGTGTGGTCTCTGGTTGACTGTCATCGTGTTGTGTTCACTTAACTGACATGCCATGAGATTGTGTTAATATCTGTAATCTAAGTGTGTTTGTTCCTTCAAAAATCATAATTTTGTGGCCATACAATTAATACACTACTTTTCTAAAATTGTTAAATTGGACACTACAAAACTAAAAGAGAAAGCTTTCTAATTGCTTTAAATATTTCTAATAATCAGTGGTTGACACTCGTTGTTATTGTCATCATGTTTGATTAATAGTGGAGTAATACCATTTTCATACTTCTTTGTGGTCAAGTCTATTATTAAGGTATATTTGGAAGTTAAATTATATTGTTATTTGATTTCAGCTGGAGACAGGATCAAAACACACTACGGCTAGAAAACTTAGTAGAGATACAGTAACTGTGCTTAAAGAGGCTGCACAACAAGAATCTGAGGTTTCCAAGAAAGTGGATGAGTTGATTAAGAGGGGAAAATGAGTGAAAAAACTGCAGTTTTAGAAAGACTTAGTAGACGTGAAGCACAACGGATTGAAAAATTGCAAAAAGCACACAAGGCAAGGGAAGATGTAGATGCAACCAATGAAAACGAGGAATATTTTTCTGGGGCATTCAAAATCCGTGCAGAAAATGTTGAACAATTACTTTCCCAAATTCCAACATTAGAAACAAACATATTGCCGGCCCATTTTGACAATATCAAGAGAGAAGTTAATGAACTACAAAAGTTTGTTGTCACATCGTCATTCTTTCTTAAGGAGTTTAATCTGCGAAAATTTCTTGCTATTGTTCAAAATTTACAATCTAAATGCTACGAATTGGAAGACAGATATGTTCCACGAAAGAAATTCGGGTTCACACGGAAGAAACTGCCGAAATCACATAGTCAGAAGCAAGATTCACTGGATGAAAACGATGCAACTGGTAAAGTGGATAGCAATAAATGGGATGAAAAGCTATTTGGGTTTGATTCAAAGGAAAGCCAAGTTTTAACTTTAAACAATGATGAGTTATTCCAAAGGGATGTTGCACTGCGCAACCTAAAGAACTGTACTATCGGATTGAAAGGTGTAATGGCAACTCTACATTTAACGAACTTGGAGAATTGTATTGTTCTATCAGGGCCAGTGACATCATCTGTATTTATGGACAAATGTATCAACTGCAGAATTGTCACAGCCTGCCAACAACTCCGTATGCACAGTTCGATAAAATGTGACATTTATTTGCATGTTACTAGCAAAGGTATTATTGAAGATTGCTCTCAAATCCGTACTGCCCCTTACAATCTAGAATATGATGATATGGAGAAGCATTTCAATATGTCATCATTAGATAGAAACAGTAACAATTGGGATAATTTGGATGATTTTAACTGGCTGGCCCCAGATGTGCCATCTCCTAATTGGTCAATTCTTGAATCAGCTCACCGTATTCCAAGTTGGAGCGAGGTCTGGTCGAAACTACCCTCATAATATTTTAGTACAAAAATCATGCTTATTAATGATCAAAGCTAATCAACAAATAATTATGTAACAATGCCTCCTTATTTGTATTTTTGCATTTTTAATTCAAGGTGCTACGTCTACCAAGCTTGTATTTTCGGTAGTTATAGTAGTAGAAAATTCACTGTAACACCTTTAGTTATAGCTTTATAAAAACAAGTAACAATATTTATAAATAAAATGGTTTTATAAAAATGTGTAGTTTAAATTACAAATACCTTTAAAATGGTTATTCAGTCATAATCAGACCTTTTTGGTAAAGCTATGTTCAAAGAAACATCGATTCAGCCGTTTGTGTCCACTGCTGGACATAGGCCTCCCCCATAGACTTCCAGTACGACCAGCGTTTCCCTGCTACCTTGACCAGGTCGTCGGTCCACATGGTAGGAGGTCGTCCAGGTTTTCGACGTCCGGTACGTGGTCTCCACTCCAGAACCTTTTTGCCTCAACGGCCGTCAGTTCTACGAGCGATGTGCCCAGCCCACTGCCACTTCAGCTTGCCAATTCATGGGCTCCTCATTCCTGATTCGATCACGCAGGGTAACTCCGAGCATAGCCCTTTCCATCGCACGCTGAGCGACGCGTAGTCTGTGCACCATGCTCGCGGTAGGATACCATGTTTCGGTACCGTACGTCATCACTGGTAACACACACTGCTGGAACACTTTAGTTTTAAGGCATTGAGGTATACGGGATGAAAAGACTTTGTCTAGTTTCCCGAACGCTGCCCAGCCGAGTCGGATTCGACGATTGACCTCTTTCTCGAAGTTGGATCTACCTAATTGTATTACTTGACCGAGGTAGACGTATTCGTCAACAAGATCTCGATCGAATCAAAGGCCTTCTCATAGTCCACAAACGCTAAGCATAGTGGCAGGCATACTCTTCGGCTTTCTGTATCACCTGCCGCAGCGTGTGTATGTGGTCTATGGTGCTGTAGCTTTTTCGGAAACCAGCTTCTTCGGGTGGCTGGAATTCATCGAGCCTACGTTCGAGACTATTCGTGAGGACCCTAGAGAACAGCTTGTAGACATGGCTCAGAAGCGAGATCGGTCTGTTGTTCTTCAGGCGGGATTTTTTGAAGAAGAGGACCACTACGCTTCTGCTCCATGCGGCGTTGTGCCTTCGAGCAAGGTGGAGGTAAAAAGCCTCTTAAGCAATCTGAGAACTGGTGTACCACCAGCTCTCAGTGGCTCCGAGGTGATTCCGTCCTCACCCGGTGCCTTACTGTTCTTAAACTGTTTTAGATTCATCCTAATCTCGTATAGGCTGATGTCCGGGATGTCTTCGGTGTAGTGTCGGGTAAGTTTGGTTTTGGGGTCTGTCGCCGTGCTCACGACGGGCTTAGCAACCGACGAGTAAAGTTGCTCGTAAAACATTCAAAGAAACATAGGATAACAACAAATATCAATTTATTTCTACTATAATAATATAAATACATAAAATGGTCAAATCTTAAACATCACAGTACTAAAATCTATCTAGGGCGGATAGATGACTTGCGCGTAATAGTTCTTACATAGAAAATCTGGCCCTGTATTGCTAAAATTAGGCTAAATGGAAGAATTTCTCAAAAGAGCACAAAGCTATGAATACACATTCATTCCAATATACTACTTTTCATGTTTTAAAGTGCAAAATATTTTTAGAAATGTTGCATAGAAGATCAAATACGAAATGACGCCGCTAGAGGCAGAGTAGCCTAACTGCAATTTTATGGCTTGTTATTTTCATAATCTAAAAATTTTAATTTTCAAAAGCCAAGAGCCCCCCAAAATTTAACATATTTTTTACACAACTAATAGTACAAATTCATTTCCGCCTAAGTAATGTGTATTTTTATTTTCCTCCTTAGGGGTTGTCCATTAATCACATGAGGCTTGAAAGGGGGGGGGGGTTTGATAAAAATCACGAAAATAACACTAGGGGGCGAGGGGGGTGTAGTAAGATATCTCGTGTATTTATTTTTTCGTCAAACGCGCGATTTTTAAACAAATGGTGTAGACATTTTTATTATGGTCCTTAATTTCAGAATAAAATAAGATTAAAGTTTATACCTGTATTGAAATTAAGATAATATTCAGAAAATTTTAAGATTCTTTGTAGGTACTAAAAATACACGTGATGTTGACAAGGGGGAGGGGGGTGATCTTAAACCTCACTACGTATCACCAATGGGGGGGGGGGTTAAAAATTCTAAAAAAGGTGTTAATTAAACGTGATTAATGGACAACCCCTTATTGAATATCATGTTTTTTTTATTAGACCACTCTGCCTCTAGCAGCCTCATATATCATCCATATATACAAATAAATTAGATAGCATCTTTGTAACTTCAAAATTTGCGTCTAAAACAAGACGCTGAGACCGATAGCGCAACAAACACACTTCTGTTACAACTGAATCTTAAAATTTCTGTAAAAGTGTTGAGCAACCTTTTGTATATGGCAGAACAAATTGGTTTTTGGTTTGGTGTGTAAATAATTAATATTTTTAGAGAACTGCGAAGTTTGAAGTGCACTTAATATTTTAAATTATTCAAAAACACCTGTTATATAATTATCTTGCAGTAAGTTATAACCAAATGATAATGACAGCTGCAAAACTTAAATAAAAATAAATTAATATAAAATAATTTTGTCAATATATTTTTTTACTTTAGAAATAAATGCAGCATTTGTATCGTATTATATACATACAGACTATATTAAATAGAAACTGAGATTCAATTAAGTACAAAGCTTGCTATAATTTGAATTTTAAGGCTAATATAAATAATAATTTCACACTATAAAGCATAAGTGTCATCGAAATAGTGTTATAAGTAGCGGCACGGATCTTTAGCGCTGAACAAATCCTGCGCAGAAGTAAAAAATATGGTACGTTTGCATCTCGAGAACAGTCACGTTGTCCAATCAATTACGTGCGCGATTGTACAGATGCGCAACTATCCCCTCTACACTTCGTTCAGCGCTAAACATCCGTGCCGCGACCTATACAGTCTTAAGCCAATCTGAACATACACTAACACAAGGCAGTACAGTCTAAGGTTCAAAATATTCATAACCTCCATGCAACCTCGCTAAGTATATCAAGAGACAATTATAGTTTGTAACCAAGTATCTGTCTAGAGTATTTTAAATTCAAAAGTTTTATAAGTCCTAGTAATATATGAGTGCAGAATAAATAAATTATTTAGAAAATTGTATAAAACTATTTGAATCTGCAATTTAGTGCAATTTTCTATTCACTTAGCATAGTTTTATTGCTTTTTTGCCTAATAATTCACTAATTCCGATAGTGTATTTTTTACTAAAGAAGTTCTAACTTAATATTAAAATGAGGATTTTTCAAAGTGGGTAGAAAACTTTTTTGTTAAGGCTATTAAGAGCTTGCTAAATGTCAAGCGATTATGCGATACTTTGTATCGAAAGGAGTTTTAAAGATGAAGAAGAAGAAGAGGATATAGCTCTCGTCATTTATGCCTTCTAAATTCTTTTAATTACTTCAGCGAATGGCAACACTACAAAGCTAACACATTAGTTTATTTTATTTTTGTCGGCCTTATAACAGTCTTAAGAATTTTATGAATTAATTTAAGCTTAAATGAAAGACACAAATACATTGTTGAAGCATCGCCTTTCATCGCTTGATATTTGACAAGAGCTTTCATTCCTACATCACGATACTAATGTTTGTCTTTGTGACGTCACCAATTCGGTTTCTTGTGCGTGATGGTCCACTGCTGGTATGTGTTGTTGACGTCACAGGGCGCGAGCCCTAGAGTCCTCGAGTGGGGCTGTAGAGTCAGACAATGGCTGTGCAGTCTATGTATTATGTGTTTGTGCTCATCGTCGTATCTATAAACAAAAGAGAACCATTCATCTAAGGTTAATCCATCTTTAAACGGTGATTCGTGACCCGAACGGAATTACGATATTCTTCCAACCTAGAGTCCAGATTTTCAAAGCAAAATATTATAAATTGACTTGTTGTTGGACCTGGGAGAAATCCAACCCTCGACCTGTGTATTATTATTAGCTATACACTTGTACAAGCTTATCAAAGATAATATTGAGAAAAGATAGGTGACAAAACGGTATGACAATGCGAAGAAAGAAATTTTAAGAGTCGAAAGTATCTCATGCAAATTTTGTTCATCTCTCGTTCTCATGGGAAAATATCTTACCTCCACGGTCCATCGACTGTTCCCAACCGACAGATGGCTTGCTTTAAACTGTCAGAGTCAGCTTCCACACACCTTTCACCAACGCCAAGCTGGCCTGCCTCATTTAGCCGGAAGAGTTGGTTATTTCCAGCGCCATGACACGATGAGGTACCTGTATTTTTTAAATATTGATAATTTTTAATTGAGTGGTGCATGTTTAAAAAAAATATTTAACGGTTTAGGACACAAAACATTTACTAATATACTAATATATTTCGCGTTTTAACCCGTTAAGTGTTTTCTTGATATTCTTTTCGCCTTCAAAAGAAAAGTATTTTGTACTATTTTAAATTCATTATATTGGTATCTATAATTTAATTAACACGACAGTTGAACAAATATACTATTTACTTTTAATGAGAACAGCTTGTGTAAATGTTTGCATTTAAAACTGGTCTAATATCTTACTCTTCAACTTACTTGCTTCTTAAGTTAATAAATTAAATGATACTACAAGCACACTACATTTTAAAAATGGGTGATCATCACCAAACACCATATTAAATGTTGAACATTTCACACACATTTAAAAATATTTAGTACACACTATGTCAATATACACTCTAAACTTTTATTTAGATCATAATCTTGCCACAGAAAGTGCTGATGTAGGAGTTACCTGGTACCCTGGTACCAGAGTCAAAGTTCTGACTATATGCAATTTTATAAATCTTTGAAGTAACTTTTTACTAGATTATATTATAACGTACCTATATATGCCGGTGCAGCTTTCCCCATTGTATCCAAACAGACACCAGTCGCCTTGTTTTTCACCATACCCCAATGGGTATTCTTAGGCAGCTTCGGAAACTTGTCATAAACATCATAAGCAACATTCTCCATGTACCATCCAAAACTCTTGCATTTCAACTTATCTCTCAAAGCGATCTGATCACTTATATCACCCATGTCCAAGAACCTAGCCATGGGTTCCCGTGTGTAGAAATATTCTTTGTGCTCTTCATCAAACCAGGTCTCAATCACTCTCTTATAGTTAATTGTTATAAGCGACCCCTTGCGATTCTTCGCTAAATTACCAAACGAATACGGCATAAAGGCTCTATAAACGTGGCCTACCCTCGAACATGGCACCCATTCAATACTACCCCCACATTGCCATATTTTAAAGCTTAATTCGAAATTCTCTCCTCCCCACACTAGTAAGCCTGGGTCATACGCTCCGATCTCCAGAAAATATCTTCTATTGATCGCGAAAAGACCCCCAGCGTGGGTAGGGCTTTTATATGGTTCAGACTTATGTTTGTGGAGGTTTGCTTCCCTGTCTGGCACTTCATTCTCCTTGTACAGCATTCCCCATTCAAATATGCCTCTGTAGTTTGCCCCATGCTGGTAAACAGGTCTATACTCAAATGTTCTGTGGTCAATTCCGTCTATAACGGGAACTGTCATAATTCTATAATCTCTGTAAATTGGCGCTAGGAGCGGAGGCAGCCAGTTGATATTGACTTCACAGTGAGCGTCCAGAAACACGATGACGTCACCAGTTGCTTCTTGCGCCCCCCGCGACCGTGTTCTTATAAGACCTTCCCGTTGTGAATTCCTGATAAGTCGAACTTTGCCGTTCCAACGTTTGATGTAATTATCTAGGTTTTGCTTTAAATTATCCTTGTCAGAGAAATCGTCAACCTGTTAATAATTCATATTCAATTAATCTATTTTATTTTGAAAATCATATCCTTTAAGTTTTTTTTGGAATGGAAGCATAAAAAATTTAAAGATTAAAAAATCATCATCTTTTAAATAGTACTTTTAGTTTTAAGCTTCGAAGAAGAACCTATACAAGAAATAAAAATCCTGTTTACCCTATATCAGATGTAGGACATTTTTTTAAAGTGATTATGTGTTTTTGGTGGCATTCCTACCAGAAGAGCTAATACATAGTATCTTGTCCCTCCCCACACCCTCGAGAACTTCAAAAACTGCTTATTCTATTCATCAAAATCTTACCAACACTATCTCATGCAGCACATTTGGTGGCGACCGATCTATCACTGAATGAACTGTTCTCATGAGAACAGAGAACCCTTCGTTATGAAAAACTATGATGACAGATGTGGATGGCAGTTCTTCAGGGTAGTGCCAGTATTTGCATTCATCCAACCGTGTGTCAGATACTGTTCTGTGAAAGTATAACTTTTTACATAAAAGTGGCTCTACAAATATTTAATATTTAGAATTATGAATAACAATTAAGTAACTAATGAAAAACAATTAACAACAATAAATAATAATTACTCTTCATAATGATTATATACTTACAGATAATTTAGAAATGTCAAAGGTTTATATGTTTGCATAAAATATAAAGTTCAAGGCCACATGTGAACTTGTTTGAGGCTAGTTTGAAAGCTTCTTAGTGAAGATTTACTAAATGTATACTTTTATATTTAAAATAAGTGATTGTAGATTGTACAACTTACTTGCTTAAGACACAAAAATACACACATTCGTTCATAAAAACCACACTTCAAATATGTAAACCCATACCTATTCATAGCAATATCGTCAGATGCAGCTATATTCATGCCATATTCACTCTCAGACTCTGCAATATCATTTGCTCTGTCTTGTGCCATGTGGTAAGGCTCCCCACCTTCTCCGGGCCCTTTAACTGTCCTTTTCACTTTAGGTTCAAAGTTTCCAAGCTCTGCAAAAGACATTTACTATAACTAACAAAAACATAACTATTATAATAAACAGTTGGGGAAAAAGCCTTAAAACAATATTTTTTATATTTATAAATTTTACTACATTACAAAGTTCTAAAAATTATTAATAAATTACTATATAAAATATATAATTATTGCTCATGTAACAGCTTGCTGCTTATGCTTATTTCCACATTTCTCTAAATAATATTATATATAACCATAGATTTACAAATTATTTATATCTAAATGAACACTATGACATGTTTTGTCAATTAAAACTTAGATATAAACTATCAGATTTCAAAAACATATAATTTCACTGATACCATCGAAAATACAAGGCAGAAATATATTATATCTAAGATGAAAAGTGGAGGTGAAATTTACGACATAGGAAGTTTACAAATCACATAAAAGCTACATTGTCGCATTACTCTTCGTTACACGTGAACTGGTTTATGTTAGTTTACAATTTGCAGAGTGAAAAGGCGACAAAAACATTATGTACACACGCCGGTAATACATAACTGTCTCGTTGAAACTTTTAATGTGCCAAGTTAAAAGAAAACTTTCACCTGTCTTTAATGTTGGATATACATCCCTGTGGGATTTATAATACTCAGCCACTGAATCCGGGGCAGCTAGCTCGTTAGAATCTCTTGCAACGTTAGCTTGGGAGTAGTTGTGTAAAGCATATATTAAAATTAATAAAATAGCGCATATGCCGCCTACACGAAAAATCCTTCCACGTCTTACGTTCGTTATTCTCATTTTGTCAAATTATTTGAGCATTAGATTTAAATTATTTAGATTGTTAGAGCCGCATACAAAATGCATTAACTATGTACACAATCACAAAACTGGCTGATGCCGTGGCCGTGGCAAGAGACTAGAGAAAGTTACGTCAAGAATCAAATGTCATTTTCTACTGACAGTTGTCAACACAATTATTACTATATATTTAGTAAAACAATATTATCTATTTCATTAATTTCAACATCATATTAAAAATATGCTTATTGATAAAGTTTTCCAGTGAAAGTTCATTTTTATAATTAACACTTTTACATACATAACACTTTTACAGCATATTTTTTTTGAAATCTGTCGTCTAGCTTCTATCTATGGCAATGCTTATTATATCTGTGGATAAATAAATTCTTATCCGTTACACTAGTTTAAATGTATATAAATTTTTAAATTTATTTTGAAGGACTACCGACTGGTATTGACCAAGGAATATTATGATAAATACGTAGTTCATATAGCTGGTTAATTTTATACTCAAACATAAATAACATTGTACAGCCTAATTACTAACAGCAATTCAAAGGTGTAAAGTGTTTTGAACAAAAATAACGTAATTATGAACAACAGTAAGTATAACGTTTCAGTTAAATTTGAAGCTCATTAAAGTAAAGAAAATTTAAGTAATACTGATTGTATGTTTATTCCACAGCTGTAGTGACAGTCGACAGACTGGTAGAAATGTGGAATCAAGAATTTCCATCCGACCCATTAACCGTTGCAGATATGAAAGAGCCAAAATCCATTTTTAATTCTTTGCTTTTAGTTTTTCAAAGACTTAACATTGATAAAGAAGCAGTTTTAAAGGTAAAAAAATCAGATTAAATAAAATGGTTGCTCAGTATTTCTGGTAGTGGAAGATCTTTATCTAAGAATTATAATATTCATCTTGATTTAAATGGAATAAAATAGATGTTAGAAACAACAAGAAAAATATATCTTTATGATTTGTAAAACTTCAGAAAATGGAATATATGTCAGTACACACAGCATATATTTACTAACTTAAGGATTCATAATATAAAAATTCTAATGATATTAAATTTTAAAATGTCACTTATATAAATGTATTATAATTAATCTTGGTCATAGTATATAATATCATCTTTTAAACCATTATAAGTGTTGTTTATATCTGTTGCTTATTGTTGATAATGGTTAATTACAAACATTTATTTTAAGATAATGATGTTGGTAAGGATTCTTATTCAACTTTTTTAACAATATTGCACTTTATATTCTAGCCCTGTCCCAAAGAAGAACAAAATGAAAGCTCCTACTATTATTCGGACCTCATACCAGTGATAAATTTAACAAGAGTGCTAAACTATGTCTTAATGGAACCGGCAAAAATGAATGTTGAAATTATGATATCAAATTTCCTGCAGCCCACAGTAAATGGAACTTTTCCAATAATGATGCTGATTTTTAATTATATGCTGTTTGTGGAGCTACAATTGGAAGCAATAAAACCGTTTGAGGATGATATTTTGGTGATACATGAACAAGTATGGTTTTAAGTAATAAGTAATTGCTCAATGTTAAGCTTTTTTTTTCATAATATACTGTGTTTTTCTTTAATATAGTTGCATTTACCTACAATGCTTAGGAGTGTTGGCATCTGATACATCTTATCCAAAATAATGGGTTTCGACTTCTAAAGGAATTTAAATAAAACACTTTAAAACGCGATATATTACTTAAACTTATTTGATAATGATTTTTAACTTCGGCCCGAAGTTTCGGATGCTTTGCAGCAGCCGTGGTCACAGGGAGACATTCCAAAAGAATGTTTGATACACATCAAGCTAGATGAAATAACAAACTGTAATGTTTTGTATAAAATTTCTCAGGTGAAAAGTTTGGAAAATCAGAAGAATGATATAATAATACGTCTTAACAATTACTCTTTGTCGAAGAGTGAAAGAATACAGAGAATGTTGAAGGTACGCTAAATTTTCATTCATTAAGTTTAATTACTTTTTTATTATTGGTACATTTAAAAATATATATATATACTGTATTCTCATGCTAGATAGCATAGACCATAGTTGAAGTCATTATTTATTTTCATTCATTCATATTTTACAGCTAGAGGAACAAATCAAAGTTATAGATGAAGAAGTAAGACGTGAGAAGGTAGCCCTTGATGCAGAAAGCCTAGAACTGGAACCAATACTCCAAAAGAACCACAAAGAACAGAAGACAGTCGAACAAATTATCATACAGAAAGATGCAATCAATGCAGACATTGAGAAATGCAAATCACAGCTGGTAACAGATGCAGACGATATAAAAGAACAAGAGAGGAAGCTTGTACAGGAGATGGCTGAAGCGGAGATGATATGCAATAGTCAATCGGCCACTCTTCTCCAGAAAGAGAATAGATTAATGAACTTGCAGACAATTAAGCAGATTTTTGATGGTGCAAATGAGTGCTTGCAAGAGATACTAGTAATTGTAGATTGGATGAAGTAAGTATTAGTCTTAAGGTAGTGTAAGATAATTTCTGCTATATGTTTTTTATCACTAATTACAGTCAATACATCTGATTACCTACTAATAGTGGTTAAACTTGCATTGTGTTAAGCGTGAAAGCTTTACCCAATGCAAGTTTAACACAAAAATCGTTACGCCTCGTAAACCTGCCCGCGTCGTTAACTTTTTTCAATTTATAATCTAATTTTAATTTTTCGATATAATGTTTCAGAGAATCTGAGAAAGGTGACTTTGATGGTGATAGCGAAGAAGGTGAACTGAAGATGTTGAACACGGAGCTTGGGGAGCTGCACTCGCAGTATTCAGAACTGATGACAGCTCGAGAGGAGATCAGGAAAAAGCGGCAGGAGTCTGCTGCTCGACGGCAACAGGCCAGAGCTACGGCGGATAGGTAAAGTCAAAGTCGAAGTCATAAGTTATTTATTCACATAGGAAACTAAATACACTTATAAACATACCATCAGTTAAAAACTAAAGGCTCCAATTTACAGTTATTACTAGTTCCCAAGTTAAGGGCGTAGAACGAACGAGAAGAACTGGCAAGAAACTCGCCGCCACTTCTACATGATGTTTTTCATTCAAAATTTACTAATTATATATATACACTAGTGGCCCTGTCCCGGCTTGGCACGGGTAGACATAAATAAGTACAGATATTAAAATTATAAGCATGCTAATTAAAACGATCATGAATCACTAAATTAGAAAAAAAAAATATTTCGCGTCCTAGCTGTTAACGACCTTTGTCTATTACGCTGTGTCAGAAGCCGCTGCGAGCGTTCGCGAATTCCTAGCTCTATTTCCTTCAAGTCGTTGAGACGAACTTGCATTTTGTTCTGCAAAACGAACCTGAACATTCGACGATAGATTCTCTGGCACTCTAATACTTTCCAGACGATCATTTTAGAAAGAAGACTCTCCAATACTACATTTGGAACTATTATTAAATAGCTGCGACCTTCTTTTTCTAAGCATATTGCTATGAAGGATATTTATTTTAAATCATAGAAATTAAGAATAAACTAATAATAATACAAAAGAAAATATTCAAGTTCAAAGCGGTAGTTTTGAAAAGAACTTTGACAAATATTATGCAAATTGTGATTCCTAATACTAAAGTAGCTTTGAAAATAACTTTTTAAGTGAAGCATAAAAATGTTTTAAAAAATCGGAATATTCTATGTCGTTCGCGACCACTGCCCCTCTATCGTCGAGTTAGTTACTCGATGCGCGGCGTGGCGGCTGCCGGCATGTATTTTTATCTTAACTTCATGATATCTTTTGGATGGAATGTCCGATTTCAATAATTAAAAAAAAATAATCATCAGGTATTGAGACAGTCTTGAATATTAAATTTTAATTAAATTTATTCGGATAAAAATTTATAAATGGTACGGATAACACGGTCTGATTTCGATCGGCATTTCTATTAATTTGTTAAATGTAAAAAAGTAGTTATAGCGACGTAACTACAATAGTTAGACATATGCTCTCGCTATGTTTTTTGTAGATATTGATATATTCTATAATATTGTGGAACATTTTTTTGTCCTATCATTAATACTTTTCGCAGCGTATGCGAAGAAAGACATTTTACGGCTAATTTTTTTACGCCTTCCGTTGGTTTTAGTAAGAATTTCTATAGATATCTATAGTAATCGAGTACTAAATATAGCCTATGTTACCCAGTGATAATGCAGCTGTCATTAAAAAAATAATTATTAAAATCGGTCCAGTACTTTTTGAGTTTACTTGTTACATACAAAAATACAAATCTTTCCTCTTTATAATATTGGTATAGACTAGCTGACCCGACAAACGTTGTTTTGCCATATAAATGAAGTAGCCTGTAGACATCTGGCAGGGATAACTAATTAAATGACGATTGATTAGTTCTCGACCGGAGAGGAAAAATTATTAAATTACTAAAATGGCTCTTAAAAATAAGGGTTGATCGTTGTACCATAAAAAAATAGAAATTAAAAATTTTGTCTAAAAAAATAAAAATAAAAAATTAGGGGTGGACTACCCCTAATATTTAGGGGGATGAAAAATAGATGTTGGCCGATTCTCATAGATACCGGATAAGCACAAAAAATTTCATCAAAATCGGTCAATCCGTTTCGGAGGAGTATGGCAACGAAAACTGTGACACGAGTATTTTATATATTAGATAAAAACTGTTTGACCCTGAGTACGGTCAGTCAGGTGTTTAAATTTAAATAAAACACTTTCAACGGGTTCAAACGCGAAATTTGTTAGTTAACTTTGTGACCGTAACTACGGCTGCTAAGCACAGCAAAGCTGCAAAACGACAGTCTGTAGTAAAAATAAATTGTAAAGTTAACTATTATGTTTCTCGTTTTAAACCGTTAAATGTGTTTTATTTCAATGTTTGACGTAAAGATTTCCTTATAATAAATAAATGCCTTTGCAAATAGATGTATTTTGAATTGTCCTAAGTCTTTATTTTTTCTAATTAAATTACAGGTGCATTCACGATTTAGAGAAGAGAGAGAAAGAGCTGAAGGAGAAGGCTAGAAAGGAAACGCAAGAGATAGAAGAGATTAAGCAGCGTCTAAACGAATATGATCGCTTGGAAACAGTCTATCCACAACAGCAAGCAGAAGTAAAGGAACAGTTTATGAAAGAGGTATATTGTGAACTTATAATTATTATCTAAGTTACGGTCAGCATTGTTACTTACTTACTCAGCTGGCTCAGCGACCCAAAGTGAGCCATTTCTGCCGATCCTGTGCGGCTGTTCGCCATTCGGCTACACCGAGCTCGCGCAGGTTCCACGCGCGTCCTTCCAGCGATATCTTGGCCAGTTGGAATTCCGATATACGCTTTCTTGACACTCCGATCATCTCCCATTCTCCCCAAATGGCCAGCCCAGCGGAGTTTTTGGAATTTTGCTTCCCCCATAATATTGGGTTCGTTTACGAGGTTTTCGATCTCCTCGTTTTTCCTAATTCTCCAGCTTCCATCCTCAGTCAGCATTGTTACCAACGTTTAATCTTAAATTGCCTTCTTACACACAACTCTCTTTGAGATATGTTATTTAAATACTGTCTATAGTTTATGCGAGTAGTACACATTTAAATATAACACCTTAACGATTTAAAATGCGATCGGTAGCAGCAGTCTCCACGTGACGAGGGCTGCTGCAAAGCATCCGAAACGTCGGGCCGAGGTAAAAATAATTTTCGAATAAGTTTAACTAATATATATCGCGTTTTAAACCGTTAAAGTGTTTTATTTGAATATGTTATTTGTTGTAAATAATGCAATACCGAATCGACCGACGTCCTGGTCAAGGTAACAGGGAAACGCTGGATTCAACTATCCAGATCGACCGGTCGTACTGGAAGTCTATGGGGGAGCCCTATGTCCAGCAGTGGACACCGAACGGTTGATACAACAATATACCGCTTGTTGAAAAAAAAACGTAACGTGCCATGATCACGGCTGCTGCAAAGCAACCGAAACGTCGGGCCGCAGTTAATAATAATCGCGTTTTAAACCGTTAAAGTGTAAACTACAGACAGTATTAATGTAATAATTCTATCGCAATAGGGATATTCTGTAATGGTAGAATATGTTTTTAAATAATAAATAATTTTAGTTATTGGAAAATTGCTTTGTATTGGGTCACCTATGATATACACTATTAACTACTATTCTCTTCTCCGGAGCTTAAACCTTGGACCGTTTTTATTGTCTCAAAAGGCAAAACATGTTTTAAACAAAGATTAAAAAAGATATAACTACAATAAAATAAAATAAATATATTTTAAAAATTGTTAAATTAGAAGGCTTTAGTTATTATTCGTTTGTTTCAGGTGAAATCACTAGACGAACAAGTTGTGAGTGAATTAAAGAAATTTGGTGAGATAATAAAAGTAATGCTCGAGAAACGACGGTAGATGATTTCAATAGTCTTCTAATATAAATAATGCTTTAATAAACGTTTGGATTGATTACTTTAGTTTTATTGGTAACGACTTATAAAACGTGACGTCATTAGATGTTGAGTCTGGTCCAATCGTATGGCTCAAGAAAGAATCGGGTCCTCGTCCCCTCGTTTAGCATAGCTTGAATTAAATGATCCTCTAAAATTATAAATAGCAACAAGTACGATAAAAAATCCTTTGCCTCTACGCTTATATCTTCTCAAAGATAGGGTTAGAGGGCCCCTCAGCTCCGGGGCCCTGGTGCATTTTTGTTTTTTGGTTGAGCGGTCTACTAAGCGAAGATTGATCAGTCTACAGCTAGAAGAGCAAAGAAGCTTTGCAAAATGGCCGCAATAGTCGTCTTTTTACAATTTACACTGTAAACACTGATGAATTTGGATATAATATTGAAAATTATTTAAAACAAAGAACTACACGCGTAAGTTACAAAGAGAATTTGCTATCTGTAATTGATTTGTTCGTTGGCAAACTAATTTTACTATTTAAAGGCACGTTTAACGGTTTAAAACACGGAATGTACACTTATTTACAAAATATTTTAACTACGGCTCGACGTTTCGTATGCTTTGCAGCAGCCATAGTCACGGAACGTTATATGTTTTTTTTAACAAGCGGTGTATTAAAAATGTAAAACTTTCAATAACATGCGTAAGCAAATTTCAAAATAAATTTGTTACCATTGAACAAGTAATTCAATTATAAGGAAATCTTTCACGAAAAACGTAAACGTTGTGTGCAAAAGTTTCGAATTCATGTCCATAACCCCCATCAAAGCATAAAATCAACATACACAACAGACTCAAAAATGTGGCCGTCTCTCTTAGTGCTTCAGTCTAAATTGTTTAATCGTTACTTGTTATCTTAGTGAACTAACAAAAAACAAGGAAATGTTTTATGTAGGGTCTTAACCACAAATCAATATATTTAAGATGTATTAAGACAAATACCTACTATAATCAATGTTGTAATATTATCAATACAATAACAGCTCAATAGGTAAAATGTGAATTTATAAATTACCTTAGCAAAAAGAGATCTAACAACATAATATGTTATAATGTATAAGTATGATTATAGAATTAGGAAAAAAAATAGGATTTAAAAAGAACATTGACAGTGTTCCGTGCTGTTAACCTAACCAATTGGGCTACCGAGTCGTCACCGTCGAATTTTTTTCAACCTATTAACACACGCACCACTCGCTCAATGTAATTTCAACCTTAACACTTGCTTGTTACGGTTCAATTTCTAATGATTTGCAGCTTAAAATTCTTTCAATCAAGCGTAATTTTTTTTTTCAATCTACAATCGATTTTTAAGTTATAGAGTGCCATCATGAGCAACGAATCGAAGAATATGTTGAAATTGCAGTTCGTAGATTTCAATGTATTATCGTATATTGACTTGTGAATCAATATTGCTTGCAATAGAGATGTGAGTAATTAATAATAACGACATGCTTGGTAGATTAGTTTTTTCATTTACCACATGACCGTGTATGCTTGCACTGTTTCTACACTTTACGGACGGCGAGAGAAATATCTATACTGATATATAAAGCTGAAGAGTTTGTTTATTTGAACGCGCTAATCTCAGGAACTACGGGTTAGAAATAAAAAAATCTGTAGTGTTGGTTAGAGCATTTATCGAGGAAGGTTATAGGTTATAAAACATCGTTCTGCGACTAATACCAGCGAAGATAGAGTGGGAAATGTGAAAAAATTGGGAAAATTATTCATCATTCTGGGTTACCGAGGCGTACGCTGCAAAAACGGTTTAAGATATCCAAAAAAATATGTATGTGAGAATAATTCTTCGTTCAATGATCTAAAAAATAGATACGCTATAGTATGTCTCTCTCTTAACAATAACATGCAAGAACGACGGTAAGGGACGCGGACGTCGTGGGTCACATCTTTAGTTTATAAAGATAGTACAAAAACGGCTTAAGAAACCCAATAAAAGATTGTATGAAAGAATGATTCCTCTTTTAATGGTCTAAACCTCAAAAAAATGGTGCGACACTAAATATCAAAATTTTAAAGATTAACTTGCGAGAACGACGAGACGCGGACGACGTCGTGGGTAACAGCTATAATCTATACTAATATATAAAGCTGAAGAGTTTGTTTGTTTGTTTGTTTGAACGCGCTAATCTCAGGAACTGCGGGTTCGAATTGAATAAGTCTTGGAAATACTGTCTATAGTTTACGCGAGTAGTACACATATAAATAAAACACTTTAACGGTTTAAAACGGGATAATTTTGTTTAAAATTTTTGGAAAAATTTTTTTTTTTCCCCCCCCCCCTTTTCCTTTCCGATTTTGCACAGCCGTGGTCACGGGGAGACACGTGACCACGGCTGCTGCAAAGCATCCGAAACCCCGGGCCCCGAAGTTAAAAATCATTTTCAAATAAGTTTAACTAATATATCGCGTTTTAAACCGTTAAAGTGTTTTATTTAAAAGTCTTGGAAATTTATTCATCGTTATGAGTTTCCGAGGCGTACGCTGCAAAAATTGTTCAAGATACCCAAAAAAGTATGTAAAAAAAATGATTCATCTTTAAATGATCTAAAAAAAAGTCCGCGACGCTATAAGTCTATCTTTTAAGATTAACTAGCAAAAACTACGGGAAGGGACGAGACCAACATCGTGGACAACAGCTAAGTTTATAATGGTGAAGCGAACCATTCTCGCGAACGAAGTCGCATGCCCAGTTAGTAATTTATAAAGCTGTATTTAAAGCTGAGACGGTTGTTTAAATAATATGATGCCCAAAATAACTATACAACCTGGACGAAGTCGCGGGCACCGCTAGTAAATAATAAGCGCCCGAGTGACAACGCGGCGCAGAACAATCTTCATAGACTCAAGTTTAATTTATCGATCGCTTGGGGACGGGAAACCCCCGTGACTCAGATAAGGGTTAGCGGTCTCGTTAATTAATTATCGCTGATAAAATTTGTAATGCAAACGAAGCGTGTTTCAAATAATTGCGTAACAAACGCGATAAATTTATGAAACAAGCGATAACTATATTTGTTTCGCATTGAATGGCAGATCTAATTCTGTATTAGGTGTTGCAAATTTCGTAATATAGAATTATTCAATGCTGTTTATGCGGTAGTCGTAAACAGGAGAGAAACTTGATCCCTTTGAAAAATTTGTAATATTTTGTAGGTAGGTAGAAAATAATTATTGTAGTAAAACAGTCAATCAAAATTGGGCACACATCTAGTTGAGTGTTATTACCTATGTGTATTTTTTAGTGTGCTTTGACTGTAAGTACACAACCTACTCTCTACTGAAATCAACGGTCGGACCATTCTGAGTTGGTTCCAGGACTTAGGTGGACCACTAATTTAACATATTGATGTTATTTACAAATGATTATATTGTGTTAGGTTTTTCAAGTGTTTTCAATTTTACTTATGTAACTTACAATTTACGTATATTAATAATAAAAGTGATCATGACTATGTGACCCACCCACCCTTGGTGCCACAACTGGACCCCTTTACTAAAATAGGTACATAACTACCAATCATCATGTCTCTCAGGCACTCGAACACAGCCTATTGTCTACCAAAAACTCTAACCAATTTGTGTCTCATTGTGACTCAATAACAACGGTTACTTATATATACAGACATCGATCTAGGGACTTACCTCTTACATAGTGTGGGGACACTGAGGTCAGTTGCACACTGATTGGTACAATAGCTATAAAGACGATAAAGAGGATTCCCCTATTACGTTGACTGTAGACTATTCCTGTATGTATATAAGCTTGATAGATCTTACAGCCAAGCACCAGTCCTTGCTCAGCCATCGAAGAAAACTCAACATGAAGGTCGCAGTGGTTCTACTCCTTGTCGCAGTAGCTGTTTATGTGACAGATGCAAAGACATTTACGAGATGCGGCTTGGTGAAGGAGTTAAGGAAACAAGGCTTCCCTGAAAATGAAATGAGGAATTGTAAGTTAAATAAAACACTTTAACGGTTTAAAACGCGAAATGTATTAGTTAACTTATTTAGCAATATTTTAACTACGGTCCGACGTTTCGGCAGCTTTAATTTTTTTTATATACAGTACTAGGTACTCGCATAAACTACGGACAGTATTGAATTGTATGTATTTTATTTAGTGTAAACTAAATACAAGTATACAATATGTATCACGGTTGGACATTTAATGAATTAATTAATGTATCTGGTATCTACACCAATAAAAACAGTAAACAAGGGAAATTTTCGCATTTTTTTTTACTCAGTTTTAAATTACTAACAATTGTTTGTTGTGGGTAATTAACATAATGGTTTTAAAACGATGAAAGTGTTATACTATGTATTTCGTTTAAGTGGGACTAACACTTTTGTTGCAGGGGTGTGCCTCGTAGAAAATGAGAGTTCCAGAAGGACCGATTTAGTGAGTAAAAAGAACACGAACGGATCCCGCGACTACGGCCTTTTCCAGATTAATGACAAATACTGGTGCAGTAACAATGGAAAACCTGGCAAGGATTGTAACGTTGCTTGTGATCGTGAGTTTTCTATTCTTAATTTCAAAATTAATTAATCCAATTAAACAGATAAAGATTACGTCTTTAGATTATTTAGATTGTGGGTCGCAACTGGTGGTCATTGGCGGACATATTTCTACGCCCTCTACTTGTTTTATGATAGGGACAAGCATTAACTAGGTAAAATCTGGCGAAAAATTTTCCTTTGGATATTCGGAAAACCACAAACCCCAAACAAAAACCGCAATCCCCCCCCGGATTTTTTTTCTTTGGGTTGTGGTTTCTCAGCCCCCCCCCCCCCCCCCCCCCCCCCCCCCCCCCCCCCCCCCCCCCCCCCCCCCCCTTTTTTAAAAAATAAAACCTTCCCCCCCCCGGATCCACACCTGTGATTATGAGCCATACATTTTACAACTTTACTTGAATGATGTTAACGATTGGGTCATGAAAATTTTGATAGATATTTTTATTTATTTTAAGAACTTATCACCGATGACATCACGAGAGCTTCGAACTGCGCGAAGAAAGTCTTCAAGCGTCACGGGTTCAACGCCTGGTACGGGTGGAAGAACCACTGCCAAGGATCCCTTCCCGATATAACACCGTGCTAAAATTAACTAATTTATTTGAATCTTATAAATGGAGTGAAGTTCTAATCAATTATATTAATTAATAAAGTATTATACTATAATATGAGATACATTTTTTTTCCAATAAGCCTTTTATAGAAAAAATTGCTTGAATTCGACCAGTTTCTTGTTATAGGGGAGGACAGGGTTCCCTTGATGGCAGGTGAAATAAGCCCAGCCAAAAATGCTGTTGGCGTATTTTAGCTTTAGATATTAATAAACCCACAGACTGCAACCGGAATGCGACTTCATGGCTTCATGTGTAGTCGGTGGTAGTGCCCAATTAATATACAGAATTCCAGACGAAGTCCAAAGTCCATTTGTATAATCAATTTATATTTTCTTCTAAATGTTGTACCTGGTGGGAACTCTACCCACGACCCGTTAATTGGTAAAGAATAAGAATATAATGACGTCTTGTGTCAGTCAAGTCAAGTGCAATCAGGGAGGAAGGAAAAAATCCCTACTAACACTAAGGAAAGATTGAGATACACTTTGGTTGAGATACAAAAATGGTTCTTAAAATATATTTTAAGAACCATTTTTACGATAGTATACTATCGCGGACATATTTTAAGATAATTAGTCCAAGAACATAAAAATTAAGTTTTCAATTGGAACTACCAGGTAGTTCCTGAGATTAGAGCTATTTAAGCAAACAAACTCTTCATCTTTATAATATTAGTATAAATACATAACAAAATAAATAACTGTTGTTCATTTAAATAAAACTATTACTATTAGGGATTACTTAACTTTGTTTATAATATGTATGCAATGGAATTTAAATTTTATACAGCCCGGCGAATCAGTTGCTTTGCAGCAGTCGTGGGTTTGGGTAGACTGATAATAGAGGGTCCCTAATGTCCAAGTCAAATCTGCTTAAATTTAACTTCCTCTAATTGTTATCTCGTCGATTCACTAAAAAGAACGTATTGTATAAGTATTTGTATTGTAATGAATTGAAGTCTAAGTCACCTTTTCTAATCTACGGCATATGGCGTCCTTTACTTTACTTGACATTACTAAAAGGATTACATGAAAAAAATTGTATGTTGAATTCGTCTTTCACTTTTCACCTTCCAGATTTTTTACTTCTCAATTCTAAAACTCTGTTACAGCGACTTCCTCAGCTTAGAATAGTTATTTTGCGCTTCCAAATCAGTTTTTGCAAACCTACTCTTCAACTTTATTTTAAGCTATTTATCCACGCTTCACTCGCGTCCCCTCGTTCTTGCAAGTTAATCTTAAAAGGAAGATATATAGTGTCGCAGACGTTTTTTTAGATCATTTAAAGAGGAATCATTCTTTTGAACATATATTTTTGGTACATTCAACCGTCTTTCCAGTGTACGCATTGGAAACCCACAGAGATTAATAATTTTTCTCCGTTTTTTCCACACTTCCCGCAGCTGCGGGAAGTGTAGAAAAAGACAAGAAACTAATAGAAGTAAGAAACATCTTACTTCTATTAGTCACAGCGCGCTCTTGAATATCCTATAGTCTTCCTCGACAAACTCTTCAGCATTATAAGTATAGATATATTTTTTTACATTTTTTAAACTTAGATTTTATCATCAGACAATCTTACGAAACAGTCAGTTCTACTTTTCGTAAAAATATCGTTTATTGCGAAGGTTCAAAAATAAGAGTGAATGCAATTTTAAACTCTATATTAATATGTCTGAAATGCACGTGAGATTCAAATGGCAGTCCTTAAATTTAAGTAATAGAAAATCAGCATGACTTGATATCGGGAAGAGTTCCCTGACAGTGACTCTTCCATCCGTACCACGCGTCAAATCCGTGGCGCTTGAAGATTTTCTTTGCACAGGTCGAAGCCTTTGTAATATCATCGGTGATCAGCTCTGAAAAAAAAAACCAACTTAAGTATTATATTGCATCATGTGCAATAGATTTTTGAGGTATTTTGACTCAAAAACTTTCGGATTTGATGCCTACCAGGTCTTACATTTTTGTAATCAATTTATACAATCAATAAGCTGTGAAGTTTAATCGTATTTCGTTTCAGTCTGTGGATTTCCGAATATTCAAAGTCGAAATTGGTCGACAGCGTATCTTGTGTTGTGCATAATTGTCTGTCTTGCTCTATCATAAAAAAAAAAAACAGAAAAGAAGTAAGATACTAACGACTGCAAAGAACGTTGCAGTCCTTGCCGGGGTTCTTCTTGGTACTGCACCAGTACTTGTCATTAATCTGGAAGAGCCCGTAGTCTCGAGATCCGTTTTTGTTCTTCTTGCTCACAGCACTTGTAGACCTGGAACTCTCACTTTCAACAAGGCATACCCCTGCAAGAAACATTGTAGTGTATAATGCTTTGCTGTTCGTGTTTTGCTTTTTTATTGTACTTCTTGCACTTATCGATAGTTTAATGAATAGTTATGTTTACAAGTAGTATACAAATATTAAAAGGGGATTATTATATGAAAATTAACTTTAGGAAGGTTATTCTTGAGGTGAGTAGTGACGTTTTGCATGCCACTCATGTTCGATGTTTAAGGGCCCTTTATACACCAGCCAGTACCATATTGTTGTTGGCCGTCCGGTTGGACACAGGACGTGATGGTAACTGTTGTAAAGCTTCGACTACACTCAACATTCTATTATGTTACATTACACCCCACGCCTTTTTGATCATGGGGAAATCCTTTCGGATACCCACCTCACCAGAACGAACAAATGGGTTATGCCGGACTTAACCGACTATAACCCCACAGAAGAACCTCTGACACAATAAAGAAGCATCCCAGGATCTCTATAGAACTAGTAAGTGGCCTCAACATGTCTACCTCTGCTGGTACTCCACAGTATACACAATTGACTCATTAATAACATCAAGTGTACATGGTTCCCCATGCCAATAAGAATAATACTCGAAAAAAGAAACAAAGATGCACGTACATAATGAAGATATGTAAATAAATTTGTGGTGAATACTGCAAGTAACTCGTCCAACACTCTCTTTTTGCAACATAACAGTACCACATATTATGCACACCCCGAGTCTTCGCAGTACCCAGCTTAAGACCATGTGAAAACGCTTTAAGACGGTAACCAAGCAGTAGCTGTTCCTTGTAAATTGCATCAGACAATACTTACAATTCCTCAAGTCATCTTCTGGGAAACCCTGATTTCTCAATTCCCTCACCAGGTCACATCTCGTGAATGTCTTTGCTTCCGTGTCGAAAATGGCCACTGCGGCAAGGAGTAGAACCAGTGCAAGTTTCATCTTGATATATCTTCTGCTGTTTCTGTTGTCTGAGTGACTGATGCTCCTCTGCTGAAAGTATCAAGCTTATATACTCAAGATTTGACGGGATCGTAGGTATTTCGTGGTCGAATACGATAGGGGAATCCTTCTTATCAACGTTTAAAGCTATTGTTTTGTATTCAGTTTTTGATAGCGCTGACCCGAGTGTATCTATACTAATAATAGCAGGAAACCCCCAAGATAATGTCTTAAAGTTTTACGTTATCCTTATGTAGACCACAAGTAATATTTGCCTACCTTCTCTTGATGACATCTATTCTATTGTACTCCGCGACTTCGTGTACGTTATTTTGGGGATCAAAGTTAATTTTGAAGACTGTTATATTTTTCACTTAATAACATCCACAACAGATGCCGGTCCATGTCATGTCCATGTCGTATTCTTTTATTTATAATCGATTTTTAGTTTATAAAGAAAAAAATTTTGCAAACTATAATTTACAAAACTATTACTCAGCTTTATAAATTATAGTCCTTGACGTCGTTCGCGTCCCGTCGTTTTTGCGATCTTAAAAGACATACCGATGAAGACTTACTGATGCGGACATTTTTTTACATCATTGTGGACCATTTTAACGGGCCACGCAAAAAAAAAACACTCAAAATATCGTAACTATGGTTACGGTTAGGGTGATATAATATATACCCTGGATAATAAAAAAAAATATAAAGTTGAAGAAATTGTTTGTTTGTTTGAACGTAATAATCACAGCGTTCGAATTGAAAAAATGTTTTTGTGTTGGTTAAAGCATTTATCAAGGAAAGAATGTAACCAATAGAAGCAAAGGAACAGTCGGCAATGTGGAACAGACGGGGAAAATTATTCATCTCTGTCAGTTTCTGTTGAAAAGCAAGACCCAAAAATGATGTGTAAAAGAATGAATCCTCTTTGAATGATTAAAAAACATGTCCACATGTCTATCATTTATGATTAACTTGCAAGACCGACGGGATGCGATCGACTTCGTCGGTAACAGCGATAGCTTATAAAGATGAGGAGGCTGGCAAAACAAATTTTTATATCCAAAACAACTCTTCTACGCGGCCGAAGTCACTGGCACAGCTAGTTTATCGTAATAACATTTAAAGGTCAAAAGAATTATAACCCTTCTCGGGCAGGTCAAGGATGAAGTTGTCAATCAATATAACTTAATATGGAACAAAATTAATATCGACTTATGCCCGATGACACAAAAAATTTAATATTAAACATACTGTGGATATTTATTAAACAATAACTCGTGTCATTATCTTGGTCAAGGAGTCTTGTTCTGTTAAGGTGTAAGGTACTAGTTGTCGGGGTATGGGACACACCATACAATATAGTTTAGGAACTGATATAGATTTTAAGATCTTAAGTAGGAAATATTGTTAACAAAAATCGGATTGCAATATATACTTGTATTATCTTTATTATATCATCGAATAATATATTACTAAAATATAAAATTGTTTGTTGTCGGAAATAAATAATATTTTCAGATAAGTTTTCTTGCATCAATTAAAATGTAAATTATAATAAAACAGTATAACAAAAATGATCACGGGAATCGAAACCGAAGCTAGCTCTCATTGCGACCATAAATACACTTGCTTCGACTGTAGTTTCCAAAATTAGTACACATTTTGATAAATCAATATTGACGTTTTAAAACAGGAAGTGTATTAGTTAATTATTTATGATGTTTGTAACTATGGCCCGACGTCGCCCCGTGACCAGGGCTGCCGCAAATCATCTGAAACGTCAGGCCGTAGTTTAAATACTATAAATAAATTAGCTAATAAATTAAATCTACGATTTTAAACCGTTAAAAGTGTTTCACTTGAATACATAAAACATATCGTTTGAAAAGCACAATATAAAGAGATATACGACATAAAACTTTAATATTGTCACATGATGACACTATATAAATTAAAAATCAGGTGTTAAATAAAAAAAAATACAACACGGGCAAGACTTGCAGCGGCATCCATAGCGTTGCGTGCAGTTGCTCTAACCAATTGAGCTACACATCATTGTTTAAAGATTCCACGTTTGCATTTAAACATTTCGCGCGATAATCTGTGCTCAGCTCTGGTGATAATCGTAAAGTGCAATCCCACTAAGATAAGATAATTAATATTGCAAAGTTAGCGGCCGTTGCCCCTTACCCATTAAAAATTTCATACATTTTTTATTCGGCTTTCCTTATACGACGCGTAAAAATAAAAATTAATTTGATATTTTAAATAGATATCCCAAGTCATGTTAAAATACATACGATCTAATTAAGAATTTTCCGAATATGCAAATCCATAGGTCGACAACACATTTTGCCAAGGTGTTAAATGGCCTATTGGCTGTATGTATTTTACCTTCAATAAAGTGGACCCCAACCTTGTCCATCCTCCTCTAACATAAAAAAGTAGTGGGAGCCGAATAGAACGCATTGACGTAACTTCAGGACGGCTGCACATATGTAAATTAGATAAAAGGCGATTAGCAGTACTCAGTTTGTTTGGTAGACCAAATTTTATTTATATTTTTGTTATTAGTGGGTATTTTAACCTTTTTTACATCCAGTTTTATTTGATATCTTCATATCCTGATTCTCAGATATTTTTATCAGAAACACAAACAAGATATAAATTTCCATAGCAATTCTTATATCGTCGATAGATTCCTATTTTACATAAAATATTATGAAACTTTTTTTGTTCTTAATTTTTATTAAATATATTTTCATTCATAATTAAAATTATAAAAAACAATAATAAAAAAATACATTCAGGAGAATTTGAATACAAATACATTAGCGTTTATATTTGTACTTATTATTTAATAATGAAAAGAGACACTTGTTACAAATATTTAAATTTTTTTCAACTTTTTATAAATGACTAAATAAGCCGGATTTAAGATCGAATTATTTAAACATTTTTATATTTTATGAATACAAAGATATAATCGGTAATCTTTATTATTGTATACATATTAATAGAATATGATATGCCAAGAATTTGTCATAAAAATTAAACGACAAAACCGAATTGGGGATAACCCAAAACAAATATATTTAGATTATAATATAACAGATATAATATTTTTTTAAATAAAACACTTTAACGGTTTAAAACGCGATATATTAGTTAAACTTATTTGAAAATGATTTTTAACTTCGGCCCGACGTTAAAATCATTTTCAAAGAAGGTTAAGTAATATATCGCGTTTTAAACCGTTAAAGTGTTTTATTTAAATGTGTACTACTCGCGTAAACTATAGACGATAAATTTAAAGATAGAGAACTTACATTTACTAGTATAACTACTGCATCAGCCCAGACCGTCCTTTAATTTTTGTTAACCAGCACTTTTATAACGTCCTAATTAAATCAATGTTCTCTATATTGGCAGTTAATATTCCAAGTGTACTCAATACTTCTGCGTGTTCTCTAACTATCCCTTTCTTCTCACTTCGCTCTTGTGCAGCCGTGTCCTCATCTTCATCATCAATTTCTCTATCTCTTAAATGTACTTTAACAATCTCCTTGGTCGATATTTTCATTTTTACTATGCTTACATTATTATCATTTTCCTCATCCCATAATTTACATCCATTCACACTATAAGTACACCAGTCTTACATAAATCAGTAATCCTTATATTTTGTCTCTATTCGTTGCATAGAATTAGAGAAAGACACCCTACTTAAAACCTAAAACATGACGTATTCAAATGACAATCAAAATATACCTTTCCTTAATGCAATATACGCCATTACATTTTCTCACCGTTACCTCTTCGAATGCGTAAAAACAAGTCGGTTATCCTGAACGTCACATTACGGGTTTATTCCTCCATGTCTAGACTATATAAGATGAACAAATTCAGAAATGTCTTAAAGTCGTTCGGATTTTGAGAGCATTTCTTTGCTTGCGTCGTTAAAATGAAGTCTGTTTGTTTACTTTTTGTCGTGCTGGTCGCAGCGGTGGAGGCGCGACAATTTTCTCGTTGTGAAATTGTAAAAAATTTAAGACACCATGGCTTTCCGGAGCAACAAATGCGCGATTGTAAGTATTACTTTTTTACTAAACTTGCGACGAATCAATTGTTCTTTTATGCTATTCCGCCGAACATTCGGTCTTGGTAAACAAACGATAATATATTCGTCTTTTTAGAAAACTGAAAAGATTAATTATATAAAGTCTTAACGTTTTTAATGTTAGTTTTTTAGTGTTTATTTTGCAGTTTGCGCTTGGAATATTTTGAGCTATCTTCGAATTACGTCCATTTTGACTTCGACTTTGACAGGCCATTTACTTTTTAAGTCCATAATTATCTTATTATTTATAGTACGACCGCGCGTACCTTATTAATTAAGTACTACACTAACAAACAAATAAGAGCTAAATAAGGAGATTAAAAGTATTCAACGCAGATAAAATTACCACGAGTTAAACTTGTCTAAGAGTGCCACGACATCCGTTTAAATTTTGGGGCTATAATCTAACCTAATAATCGGTTTTCAATATACTGCCGAAAATTCGTTGCAACTTTTATTTTAATTGGTAGTAGCTTTACTTATACAAATAAAAAAATTATCTTGTATTATTTTGCGTTATATAGGACGTAAATATAACCAGCAGTCGCTCTAGCCGAGGCATACGTTTCGAATAATTTTTACATTTCCTAATGTAGCGCACTCTATTAGGTTTCATCAAAAACCGTTTAGTTTTTACTAATGTGAAGGGGTCGTTCAACTATTAATGGTTGAAGACATCTGTCGCCGTGTCTTTGTTTTATCAGACACTTAAAATTCCTAAGTTACTTATATTATTAAATACTGTCTATAGTTTACGCGAGTAGTACACATTTAAATAAAACACTTTAACGGTTTAAAACGCGATATATTAGTTGAACTTATTTGAAAATAATTTTCTGTCGTAGTTGCTATTTGGCGAAACTGGCCGGTCCATGTAGAACTAACTAACGGTGTTTTCATGTTTGCCGGTTAAACTTATACATTTCACGTTTTAAACCGTTAAAGTATTTTATTTAAATGTGTATTACTCGTGTAAACTGCCTGTAGGTTTAAATACTTTTAAACATACACAATATCAATATAGCTTTCTGTTTATTCCTAGGGGTATGTCTCATTGAAAAAGAGAGTCAGAATAGAAACGACGCCATTGGAAAGTTGAATGCAGATGGATCCTGGGACCATGGACTTTTCCAGATCAACGACAGGTACTGGTGCAGTAGAGGGCATGCGGGTAAAGATTGTAATGTTTCATGTGAAGGTGAGTTTTGGCCACTGTATAAAAATCCAATGCCTCTTTTTTAATGATAGACAGGTGCGCTGTCGAACTATTTTGGCTTTGAATATTCGTTATACGTCGTTTATACATGGTTTGAATCCCTTTTGTGAATGCCTAATGCACGCCCACGTCGGTCAATAGTGACGTGGAAAGTACGGTCCTCGGAGACAATAGCCAACTAGAACCACTAAACACACCACGGTGATTTCGACGGAAACATAGGAATACGTTTGTACGACTCCAAAGCTCCCAGCGCCCCCGGGTTTGAATCCTGGGGACAAGTAGAAAATTATCCATGTCAGAATCAAATGGCTGATCTTAGTTTTAATATCCAGATTTTTCACACAAAATCCAACATGTTAAATACTGTCTATAGTTTACGCGAGTAGTGCACATTTAAATAAAACACTTTAACGGTTTCAAACGCGATATATTAGTTAAACTTATTTGAAAATGATTTTTAACTTCGGCCCGACGTTTCGGATGCTTTGCTGCCCCGTGGTCACGGGGAGACAGTCTCCCCGTCATCCAATCATTTTCAAATAAGTTTAACTAATATTTCGCGTTTAAAACCGTTAAAGTGTTTTATTTAAATCTAACATGTTTCAGAACAATTCTAAAATGATAAAAAACAACTTAGATCCGGTGGAGATCGAACCCTCGACTCTTTTATCACCAATACATCGGTACTATTAGACCGATGAGCCTATCAAATGTAAACGCTAAAAAGCTGGCCCCGGGTTCGTTCCTCACCGAGTCCAACATGCTAATTCGAACGATATCTTTGGGAGATTGTGAATCTCTTGAACTTATTTTGTCCCTTTGCTATTATTAAAGAACTCTAACTTGTATTCCAGCTCTACGAAGTGATAACATGGGCCCAGCAGCCAAATGTGCTAAAAAGATATTTGCTCGTCACGGCTTCTCCGCCTGGACGGCATGGCGTGCTTATTGTCAGGGAGGTTTACCGAATATTGGCAACTGTTAATGTCAGTAATTAATTGTGTCTGTATATTTAAAATTTATGAAAGCCAATTCAATAGGCGATATTAAACAGTAGCGGCTTCTATTAATTTTATTATTATTAAAATATAAATAAATTCAAACTATAAATAAAAATCGATTATTAATTGAAAATGTATGACACGGGCAGGACTTGTATCGGCATCCGGCTGTTGCTCTAACCAATAGTGTTACCGTGTCCTACACATCATTGTCGATTTTTTAGTACTATTGAAGTTTTTCAAAATTTATAATCGATTTTTAATTTAGATAGTGCCATCTTGTGGAAAATATTTAAGTTTTCAAATATGAAACTGTCGTTGTTTGTAAATTATATCTACACTTTTGTCAATTGTCTATTGTAACTGTCAATTGTCATTTATAACAGCCTTTTTGGCCACATTGCATTTATGATTCTAGTTAAATAGTAATAATAATAATAATTCCATAAAAATATATGCTCTAGATATAAATAGTCATATATTAAAGTTGTATTTAAGTGGAAGTTGTGTTCATTCCTATTATTTTATAAATTACTTTAGCCATTTTTATTCTACATTAAGACTAAATACAGTATATCCAAATAACAAGATCTATGTAATATGACGGGCTCCTTGATCTTCCTAATATCTAATAGTCAACGGGCCATGTTCGTCGCTTCGATCCTCATCGGGTCCAATCATATTAATTTATAATTTTCTGAAACATATTGAACTTTGTCTGGTAATCTTTATATTAAATGGGCGATAGGAATATTTCGAGTTAAAAACCACCGTTATAAAGCAGTGAAGTTTGATCCCGTTTCATTTTTAGTCAGTGGATTTCTGAATATCCGAAACCAAAATAGGTCGACACCACATTTTGTTGATATGTTATGTGGTTGTTGCATTTTCACGCTCATCAAATAACCCCATGGTCGTCTGTCTTCCTCTATCTATATATAGGATATGTTCATTTGTATCCAGATATACATTCTTACCGACAAACGGTTTTAATTAAAAAACAATGTTACGATTGTTCATAGGATCGACCGAAACAATAGTTACACAAGACTTAATGCCTGCGTACAAACTATGAAGCATTTACACAACCCGATATTTTCATGTTGTCGCAATTTATGATTTTTTAAACTTCACAATTTATTTGCTGAATTATCTACTTATGTTCAGCTAAGTGCTAGTATTTATTAATCTCATTTTAATACATAAATGTACTTATATTGTCTTTTAATAATAAAAAGGCATTATTTATAACTTATGATAAATCACTAATTGTTTCGAGCAACAGCACGGATCGCTGTGCCATTGATTTTTTATTTTTTACATTTTTATATGTGGAAAAATTTGTTTTATAAGACCGATAATAGCACATACATATTTGGTTGCTTTTTTATCAACATCATACATTGGCATATATTACGAAAATATTATTCGGGCTCTTTTCAAAAATCATACTTGTTTCTAAAACGAAAAAATTAAGTTTAATTTTAGAGAATTATAATCTACCTTTTTCAATTCCTTGTGCATTGTTATACAAATCAGTATTAAATACTGTCTGTAGTTTACGCGAGTAGTACACATTTAAATTAAACACTTCAACAGTAAAACGCGATATATATTAATAAAACTTATTTGAAAATAATTTTTAATTACGGCCCAACGTTTCGGATGCTTTGCAGCAGTCGTGGTCTCCCCGTGACTAAAATATATCGCGTTTTAAACCGTTGAAGTGTTCAAATCAATATTGTTAATAAATCTTTTTACAGCATAGGAATATGTTTGGTACAAATATCGTGTCTCATGGTATAAAAAGCAACGCAAAGATACCGTTGATTAATTACATTCCTAACGAACCCGGAGCTAAGGAAGTTTGTGGGATGTTGGTTAAAATACCATTTATACCAATTTGTATTGGAAGATAATCTAGATTTAACACAAATGTAATCAGAGATAGATGTTATTAAACAGTTTATCATTAATATTGAGTAATACTTGATATATTAGTAATAAATTATGGTAGATAGGTACGGTAGATAAAAAAAGATTTTTAAATATATAGATAACAATTATAAATATATCCACGATAGTTTTATCTAATTACATTTTATACGTTTTTAAAACGTCTCTAACGATTCTTCTTGATGCTTAAAAAAGTACTTTATGGTGCTTGTCTGCTGCTTAAGAGTCTGAAGTGCAAACCACGGAAAAAGAGATAAACACCTCCTTTCCGTTGGGGCTAACGTGACCATGGACGCGAAACAGTTATCTAGAAAACTACAAATTACCTTAACTACTTTTATTAGTATATATGCACAATGAATTTTATAACAAGCGTACAATTAATTACTGCATCCAAGAAGTGGCGTTAATATCGTAGAGCCAGGTTGTAGAGAGCGGTAAGGTCAACAGCGGAGCCCCCTCTAAGCTCATTTTTGAAAAGATCTCATCTTATTAGTATCCCTAATTTTGAAGGCTTATATAAGATCAAGACACGCTGAAAGAGGGGGTGAGGGCTCCATTATTTCTTTGGCTAGCGGGCCCTTGTCCACCTAGCTACGCTACTGAAGCCAAGTCAATTCTTTAACTCTATCACGTTTCATTATTAGAATTTTAATATTGATGAGATTTGCTTGTTCAAATAAGCCAGGCGTGCCATTTATATATGAAAGCAGTCTTAATTTTTTTTGCAACTGATTAATCTCAAAATCACATAGATAAATAAAACTATATACCTTCTAAGGTCTCAATCAATTAAAGCTACAAATTACAGTTTACTTGTTCACACAAAGAACTACCTACGCGCACACAAAGACCTACTACTACCTACTAACCTACTAACCGGACACAAAAGTGAAAAAACTTGCTTTATCAAACTACTTCAATATTTGTCAAAAAACACCTAAGGAAAAAAGAAAATGAGAGTCTCCGTTTCCTCGTCACTTGATCTTTGATTTTAACAACACCTGCTAAAACATCAATAAACAAGAAATAATAATCTTTACTTAAGTTTATATAATTTAATGTTACTCTATATCTGTGAACTTAAGGATAATTTAGTACCTACTATAGTCTGTAGTTTACGCGAGTAAAAACAACACTAAAAACATTTTTAACGATTTAAAACTCGAAATGTATTAGTAACAGTTATTTGTAGTTTGTATAATTACATAGTCGTGGTCACGTGGACCCCCATGAGCTTGAGTTGAGCTGCAAAGCATCCGAAACGTCGGACCTTAATAAATAAGTAATACATTGCACGTTTTGAATCGTTAAAAATGTTTTATTTCAATATTTTAATAGTGTTGAAGAACTGTATTTTTCTAAAATAGAGTTCTTACATATAAATAATTAAAAATTAACAATATTTTATGTTTAGTATAATTATTTATTACAGCCAATGTTTGCAAAATAGACAGTAAGATATTCGAAATAAATAAATAAATGATATGATATAATAAAACATGCTCTGCAATTTTTACCCAACCTTAAACACTTTTTATATAGCTATAGCCATAGTTAGATCTGTGGTGACAATAATAATACGCACAATATTGCTATATTTCGAATGGATTGGGAACAGATTCCCAATCGACTAGAACTATCAATTTGCGGTCTGTGGTGCCGCGTTAACGAAGACGTTCCGCATTGCGAATTGCGAAGCCATTCCTCGAATATAGCTGTGGTTACGGAAATGCGACAACAACCTCTTTTGAGAAAACCTCTTTCTCTCGAAGACTTTGCACAGACTAATATTACTTGAGACACTCGTGTATATAATTATGCAAGTAGAACAAGTAAGAATTAGATTGTGACTAATCAGACTTGAGCGAAAGTACATAAATTAAATTATTAAATTTACGAAATATATTACGAACACAAAATGCAAAGATAATATTTTTTTCGCAAAAAATAGTGGCTACTTTTTAACTTTGCTGTTTTGTGTACATTTTTAAAAATCACTTATTCCTATTAATCGATGAGCATACGAAAAAAACGCCACCTCAAACATCCCTTAACCCTTCAAAGTGTTTAGGCATTGCAGTTAATATGCAAACAACCGTGCTTTTAGGACGCGGTCGAAAAAATTAACCTGCGCATGCGTGTCCCACGATAGTCCGCGCGGAGTGTTCTCAGTGTGTCATTTGGACCGCGTACGGGGATGTCGCGCGAATGGGTACTGGTTGGGCGCGTGGTGAAGCGCGTGTTGCTGACGACTCCGATTTCCAGACCCTGAAGACGCTCCTCGCTTCGGAGAGCGGCTGGAACCTGGAGTACGAGCGCGACGGCGTCAAAGTGTGGACGGAGGACGCGGCCCACGGCGCGCTTCGCACCGTCAAGGTCTATTTTGTTTCGTAAAACTGCTTAATGTAGTGTAATGTATTTCTGTAGTGGCTGATAGCGGAAAGCTTTTAGCATATTGTGTATGTTCGGCGTATTATGTTACGCACGCACCGCGCTGCGTTGAATTAGAAACTAGATTATATTTAAATAAAACACTTTAACGGTTTAAAACGCGATATATTAGTTCATTATTATTTCAGTTCAGTATTAACTAATATATCGCGTTTTAAACCGTTAAGGTGTTTTATTTAAATGTGCACTACTCACGTAAACTATAGACAGTATTTAAGTTAGTAAAAACAAAGTCATAGTGTTAAAACGCGCATCCCCCTGTATTTGCAGGTTCCCCTATTTATCTAGCTGTGTCAGCGACTTTGTCCGAGAGAATCGTTATTTTGGGCACCCAAATTCGTTTTTGCAAATCTTTATAAACTTAAGCCGTTACCCGCGACCCAACACAAAAAAAAATTCAATTCGAACCCGTAGTTCCTGCGATGAAACAAACTCTTCAGCTTTATATTATTATATTATTAGTATAGATATAGATTAGCGGGTGCGTGCTTAACTTACAATATCGATGTTACAAAATTTCAAAGCTGAATAGCAGTAACACCTGAAAGCATAATACATTTTCGGGGATGATATGACATGATGATAATGGGATAGTACGACAATAAACGAGGAAACTAAGAGGACTGCAGATGACACGTGGTACGAGAAAATTTTAATTAGGGGAAACTTCTCTACATCGCGCTTTTAGTCCGCACCGACAAAGTTGAAACTTGTAACTTTTTGTCACGTACTTGGAGTACGCGAGCAAAGATTGTTACTTCTACATTAGGTATATAAGACGTTTATACATCTCTCATATTGTGACGGTTTGTATCCAGCGCTGGATAGTTACTGGAATGAAGTAAAGGCACTATTGTGTACTAAAGCCAGAACAGCTTGACTGGCTCGTCGGTCAGTAGTATTGCTCTATCAACGGGTGTGGGTTCGATCCCCACCGGCCCGACATGTTTCTAACCGATTTATAATTTTTCTGAGACAGAGTTGGACTTCGTCTTGAAGATCTGACTATTAATTGGATGGTATCGAAATGTGGATTTCGAATGTCAAAAGTCAACATAGATCTCGTTTAGTTGCTGCAGGAGTCTAAGAAAAAAAAACAGATTTCTCTGTCTATCTTTAAAACCATTACGACTTCACCATCAGAATTATGCTAGCGCCTAAATCTCTTCATTTTCTCTACTGCCTCATAATTGAGTAGGTTTATTCCAGCGCTACTTTTACTACTCGTACTACTGCTGATGTAAATTGGTTCTACTTAAACCGTATTCGTATATGTAAGGTACATCGAATGCTGTGCACCCAGCCCTATAAGAAATTGTTCATTCTATGCATGACATGAGATATAGGACAAACGAAAAGTTATCAACTGCACTTCATTTTTAGTTACAGCTTTATTTTATATGATAGTGAAAAGCATTTTTATGTAAATTTGTGTATTTCATATTTTAATTACTTAGCTTTTTAGGTTGAGGCACAGTTAATTTCAAAAAGATCCACTTACGTTGTTGCGTCATAGATGTACTATTTTGCAGTTCGTTCGAGCACAATAATGAGTTGGCCGAGCTTTGAGCCTCGTCTAATCGGCAGATTAGTCTAAAGCTCGGAGTATTTTTTTAATTAAGCCTTTAACTGCTTTCTTAGCACGTAGCTAATATAACCGACCCAGTTTAAGTAGTCCGTAGTTTACGCGAGTAACATTAGAATAAAATACTTTAACGACTTAAAGTGCGATATATATTAGTTAAATTTATTTGAAAATTATTTTAACTACGACTCGATAATTTGGAAAAGACGAACTCTCTCTCTAGTCTCTTTGTGACCACGGCTGCTGCAAATCCGAAGCGTCAAGTCCTAGTTAAAATAATCAGAATAAGTTTAAATAATAAATATCTTAAACCGTTAAAGTGTTTTATTTAGTTGTGTACTACTCGTATAAGCTAAAGTACTTTAAAGGGTTTAAAACGCTATAATATATCTCCAAGGCCCAACGTTTCGTTTACTTTGCAACCGTCGTGGTCACATAATAATTTAACCAAGATATTTCTCGTTATAAACCGTTAAAACTGTTTTTGTTTAGACCTCGCGTCTAACATTCTCCTCTTTAACAGTTTCATTATTAGAATCTCTAGTAGAAATTAATAGTATCTAAAAGTTTCCAAACATTATCGCATATAATCTGCAACATGTCTCTTGACATAACTTTTGAAAGTTCAGTTTTGTTATGCGGAAAATGCCTTTGCAGGTGTTTTGATACAGATTCCTAGGCTTTGAACATTGTTTAATATCAAGATTCAGAAAACACTTATGCAACATTTTAACACAAAATCAGGGTAGTGCCGGCAAATACTTCAATGTTTAATTAATTTACATGAAATTTTGATTTTGAAGCTTTAGAGAACAGCAATTTTAGATTACAAATCGATATTATAAACAAAAATAATAATTATTTTATATCGTTTAGATATAATGTCAAAGCTCTGTGTTCTGTGAGACTTTGCAGATGACAGTGACAGTTGACATCAAAGTGACATTGACAGTAAATTTACTATTTATTGTGAAGCAGTTAATGTTTTAAGTCTGTACTGTTAACTGGTGTAATAATTGCATTTATTTAAGGGGATTTTTAACTTAATACAGAATAAAAGCTTTAATTAAAAAACAATTGAATATGAAGTAATGACGATTGTGTATTGAAATTGCTTAAAAAAATAATAATAACAATATGGCAGTAACTTAAATGCATAATTGAAAATCAATATTAACAATAAACAGAAACTATAAAAAAAATGGTTTTTAAATCTTGGGGAAAACATCATTGTATTGTAATTGTATAAGTCAAGCATTCAATGTTATTTTGAATCTTTATATATACTTAAATTCATTAATTATTTGTCGATTATTTTAAATAGCTTACGAAAAAATCGTTTATCTTCGAATTTAATTTGTCTTCTTCCTCTTCTCAAACTTGTTATTACGGGAGTAAGACGAATTTCATTTCAGCGGGAGTAATGAAAATTTAATTTCCTTGCATTTGCATTAAAGTCGCGTGCATTTTCTTGGAAACTCGTCAAATACAAACCCTATGAATATTCAGCTCTTTATAAGAGCGGCGTTAGCAAAGTAATTTTAGTGTTAATGCAAAAATATAAAGTGCGATGTCTGCAATTTAAATGTCAGAATTGTTCCTTTATGGTTCTAAAAGTCACCAGTTAATTCTGATATCACGTTTTTAGTTTTGAGTACTGTACACATTAGTAAACTAATTTTTAAGACTAAAAACCAAACACGACTTTTTCACGATGTTACGGTACTATTGCCACACTCCTAGACCTTGTTTCAGAAAAGTTATATAGTGATTTTACTTATTTATTTATTAATAAAAAAATTCTATTTCAACATTTACTTACATGTCGGAACTGGTGGGATAACGACCCGTTGTGTATTAGCTATATATTGTTATTATTAGACAAATAAGTTCGGCAAATATTTTAACTAATTATTTTAAGTCTTAGTGTAAATTTTATAATCTTCTCGAACAGAAAATTTCTAAAAGCTACCAGCTCACACTTCCCCAGTAAATTTAACATGCCTACTTTAACAAAATAACTCGTATATAAATCCGATTTGGTTATGTGACCCTCCGGAAGCGTCGCGCGTCGTCATAAACTTGAGTTACGGGGTCAAAGTTACCCCTTAATATTCGGTGGCCGATTTCATTTATAGAAAGTGGTCGAAACGTGTGAAGGTTGCAGAAGAAGGTTAAAGGAACGTTTACTGAAAAGGGTAGAAAATGTACCCGAACAGACATTATGAAGATATATTACTTTTGCTTACGTAGCGAATAATAAAGACACGATTTTGCCGAAATGACTTGATGCCTAGTTAAGTAAGATTGACGTTATTGGTTTAAACCGCGAACCGCGTGTCTTACAGGTCATCGTCGAATTTTTGCAAGCTATACATGCCCGTGTCGTAAAATTCTTTATAAAATCGATTTTCAATGTATATATCCATTAATTAATATGTGAAAATTTTCCTTTGCAAGGTCAAAGAGAAATTCTCGTTTTAATTTATTTCCCGCGCAACAATGGACCAGATCTTACCAGTTAATACAGCCTTAACTGTATAATATTTAATCGTTCAAAATGTAGGGTACATCTCAACATTTTACCATTTATATCGTTTACGGCCTCAAAACCCGAGCATTGAAATGAAATACCCTCCGCTGTTCTACTTTCCACGCTATTTTCCCGGGAAAGACGGAATTTCCCTTTTATATTCTGCATCATGGATAAAACCCACTTAAATATATATACGTACTTATTATTTTAAATAAAACCGTTTAAGTGACGTTTCGTATCCCCGGCTGCTGCAAAACATATATTTCGCGTTTTAACACGTTAAAAGTGATCTATTTAAATGTGTACTACTCAGGTAAACTAGAGCCTTCTAATTTTCTTAACATATCTTTATAATGCAAGTGTTAGCTAACGACTGTATTTTTTTTATTTTACAGTAGTTTTAAACTTTAACTCGATTTGTGTAATTTAAAATAACGTAACTAATATTGTTTACTATTAAAAACCGTCCAAAGTGTTATTTAATTGGTGTTCTAATTCTGGGGATACGGGTTTTTGAATTACATGAAACGTAGGGCTCCCGGTTATTGAGTGGATATTTGCGTATAATTTTTTAGATGTTTATCAAAAAATCCTTGCAGTTTTAATGCTAAGTTTTAGTACTGAAATTTTTGCCATTTCTCAGTAACTGATTGAAATGAAACACTTTTAACGGTTTAAAACTGAAGATGTAAAACTGATTTACAATATATTTTAAGTACTGTCACGGAGAGGCTGTAGATGGAGAGCGGCCCTATTCTCGAGTGCTATTCAGTGAAAATTGGCGTTTTAACCCGATAAATATGT